CTCCCAGTGGATCATTAGGAGTGCAAGTCAGAGACGTACTGCTCCTGCTTTCACTCCCAAATCTATGTATTATTCTAATTGCAGCCATGAAAGCATGTAAAAGGCTTTTAGTGAGAATAGTAAATCCTTAAGGATAGGAACCCCATCCTTACAGAGTAATTGCCTCTGACCTGATGTTTCGTTGACCTATTCCAATGCTCTATCAGGATGGCCACCTGTGGATGATACATGTCAGATGATCAGTGGATCCCATTGTCATGGGCTTCCTCCAACACTATGTGGTATAAAGTGGATACTTGGTCTGATGTGATGTTACATGGGATACCTTGCCCGTGAATCAAATACTCCAGAGCCCTTAACATAATGGTGCTGGCTGAGGCCCTATAGACAGAAAGGCAAACCTACGGAAAATACATGTTTATTCTCATGAGAACGAACCTCTAGCCCTTCCAGAATAAAAGGGGCCCAAAATAGCGAACTTTCCAGCAAGTTGCCCATTGGTCTTGTTGTGGATGCTATATTGATGCTAAGTATTGCTTTTTGCCACTGGTAAGATGGACATTTAGGGTTGAGAGTAGCTACAAGCTGCTTTGGTGAGTAGTGCGTTCATGCTGTTGCGTCCACGTAGTCCATTGTTCCAGCCCTGGAGTGGCCAGTGCAAGGACTACCTGATCTAAACTGGATTGATTTTTCCACTTGACTATTTAGTGCCTCTTTCATGGTGGCTATTCTCTGTTGGCTGTTAATATATAACTAAAAGATTACCACACTTCCACTGCCATATGTTTGTTCATTTGTATACCTCTGTCCCAGACCTTTTCATCCCCAATCTTAGTTTTTTTCCATTCATGCCCCCTGACTGTTTGGCCAGGCCTTTCAACAGTGCCCATAATTCCATACATATTCTCACCCTGGGCCTCTTCTCTTTTTACCCTAGGTGAATGACACGGTGCACCACTAGACATCTGCCCGTTGAAATCGTTTTTCCCTTGCCACCTTCTTTGAAGACTGCCCATAAATAAGGCTTCTGAAGTTCAGTTCCTATTCTTAGCTTTACACACATACTGAGCCACCCCATTTGTAAATCAAGTGTGAGCTTTTTTTCTCCTCCTCCATCTGCTCATACAGGATCACCCACAAAACCAAACGTGTTAGCTAAGGAAAGAGCACTGGTGTAACAGTGGTTGAAACCTTGGGAATCTGGCTTACTTCCTCATACTTGCCTCTGCTCTGTTGTCCTTAAGACGTGGTCCAGCAAGACCTAGCTGACGATCGACAGGCCGTGGTGGAAAACTGAGTCTAAGTAAGGTATTAATTGCCATTTTGTTCTGGACATCCTTTAAAAGGATTTTGTACAGAACCTTGGAAGATAAAGATAGGTTCTCTCTAGAACAGAAGGAAAGTTGCTTACCTATTCATATAAAAACAGCTCCCTCCAGGGCAAGGATCAGACAGGTTTGATTGCAGCCCATTATACAAGATTCAACTTTCCTGAACTCAGATTCTTCAGCTGTGACATAAGATTGTGAAAGGCATTCTTGTGGTTTCTTCCAGAAGTTTGTAGGTTTTAGAGTAGTAGGTTTTACATTTAGGTCTATACATGACTTCAAGTCAGTTCGCAAGGTGAAGGTGAGACATCATTTTTTGCCATGTGGATAATGAGTTCTAGCACCATTTGTTGAAAAAAACTACTGTTCTTTTCCCATTGAATTATGTTGGCACATTTGTAGACAATCAGTTCACTATGTATGTATGGATAGATCTAAAGGGCTTCTACCTTCTTCCATAGAGCTACATGTCTCTCCTTGTATCTGGATTACTATAGCTGTATAGTAAGTCTTAAAATCAGAGAGTTTGAGCCTTCCAACTCTGTTTTTCTTTTCAAATTGTTTTGGTTAGTCTAGAGCCTTTACATTTCCATACAAAGTTTGGAATCAGCTTTTCAATTTCTTCAAATCTTTAGATTTTCTTCAAATTTTCTCAACAATATTTTGTAGTTTTCAGCATGCATGTCCTACAAATATTTTATTTACTCCTGTTTTGAATATTTTACTAGTACATAGGACTATAACTTTTTTAAAAAATATATATTTTTAGAGAGAGAAGGGGAAGGCAAGGGAGGGGAGAGGAGAAAACACCAATTTGTTGTTCCAGTCATTGGTTGATTCTAGTGTGTACCCTGACTGGGGACTGAACCCACGACCTTGGTGTATTGGGATTATATTCTAACCAACCGAACTACCTGACCAGAGTAGAACTATGACTTTTTTTGTATACTGATCTTGAATCCTGTGACTATGCTAGGCTCATTTTTCAGTTCCAGTAATGTGTGTTTGTGGGTATCGTAGGACATTCTACATACACATCATGTTATGTGTATGTAGATAAAGGACACTCATTTCTTTTCCAATACGTATGTTTGTTTTTGCCTTATTGCACTAGCTAGGACCTACAACGGGAGTAGTGTAAGTATCCTTGCCATATTCCTTGTCTTAGGAAGATACAGTTCAGTCTTATACCATTAAATATTATGTTAGCTACAGGTTATTCTTAAATACCCTTCATTACATTAAGTAAGTTCCCTTTCACATCATGTTTGCTGAGAACTTTGTATCTTGAACAGATGACTTTGTCAATTGACCTGACTGCATATATTAAGATGACTATATGGCTTTTCTTCTGTTAATATGGTGAATTACATGCCTTGATTTTTAAATAGTAACCCAATCTTAAATTCTTGAAAATCTTATAGGATGAACCACATTTGCTCATTGTGCATTATCCTTTCTACATACGGTGAGAATTGATTTGTTAATATCCTCTTAAGGATTTTTGTGTCTTTGATCATGATAACAGAATATAGTTTTGTATTTTGTTTTGCAGGGGTGAGGGGTAGGATTATATGTCTTTCAATATTTCTATTGCCGGCAGAATTTTAAATTCTAGATTTTCCCCACTTTTCTTTTCTCCCTCACCACCCAGTCTCCAAAGTGACTGCACTTCTACTCTCTTCCCAAGCAGCAATGCCTTCTGAGATTCCCACATGAATGGTACACACCAAGTCCATTCTCCATATACAGTACTCTGATCCACCCAAACTTTTTCAATATTTTTGCATGTAAGATAGGCTTTCTCTGGAAGTCTTTTTTCTTTTTGGTTCAATCTTATCTACTCAACTCCTCTTTCTCAATGTTCCTGGACTTTCCTTGCTCTCTACAAAGGCTTACTGTAAAAACGAGATAGCTCTGCTGGAATTTGTTTTTTATATTCCTAAGTAATTTGAAGTTTTTGTGTTATCTGTCTTCTAGATATCTTAAAGTTATGGGACTTTTTTCTCAGGTTGTATTCTTGTTTTTATGTACAGTTTTTCAGAAGACATGAAGAGAAATTCAAATATAGATAACTACCATCATCTAGGCACCCCGTAAATAATCCAGGTTCATCCATTTGGGATCTGTTTCACCATTCACTCATTAATTTTCCACCTTCCAATATGCTTATCTTTTCTATTTTCCATATTCTTGTAGGTTTATGCTTTTGTCCTTGCAGGTTTATGTCTTCATTGTTGTTCTGATAGAATTTTAATATGAAGCAAAACTAAATACAGTACTTTTATATTCAATCTGTTATCCTTGGAGAACAGTCTTTTTTCAAAGATCTGGGCAAACAGAATCAACTGTGGCAAATATCAAGTGGTAATAGCTCCTTATAGTTGATCATTTTTTACTTAACTTTAAAATTCCAAAGATGCAGAAGTAAAATATTTAATATGTTTTAAAATACCCTACAACATTAAATTTTTTGGATAATGACCGAACTCATATTTTCCTTTAACAAACACCTTTTCATGCTGGTTAACTTACTGGCTTACTAGTTAAAAGCAGAATGTTTCCTAAAACACATATTCCCATTTCAAACCTCCATGCAACTTTACTGCGTAAGATCTGTGAGCCTTAATTGTAACGTGATACTAGCTAGTTATATCATTTGAGATAAGAATAGGCTCAGGCAGCAAAAGAGAAAATAATGCATAACTGGTATACATAATTGGTTGTTCACATTCACTGCTATGTTAGGCTGAATAAGGCACCCAAATATGTACATATCCTAAGCCCTGGAATTTGTGAATGTTACACCTTACATGGTAAAATAAACTTTACAAAGTAGTAGTTAAGCTAAGGATCTTGAGATGGGAAGATAAACCTGGATTATCCATGTGGGCCCACGATAATCACTAGGCTGAGTAAGAGGGACACAGGAAGAGTCAGAGGCAGAGCAGGCAATGGATGGTGGAAGCAGAGATTAAAGTGACAGGGTCTGAGTTGGGTGGCCATAGGCCAAAAAACACCACCACTAGAAGCTGAAAAAAGAAATGGATTATCCTCACAGAGCATCCAGAAGAAATCACCCCTGACGACACTTTGACTTTAGCCCATTGAAACTGATTTCACATTTCTGACCTCCAGAATTTTAAGAGTAAATTTATGTTGTTTTTAGCCACTAAATCTGTGGCAATGTACAGCAGCAACAGGAACATATATGATCACTTGTAAATGCAGTGTACCTTAAAGGGAGACGAGGCAAAATATCTAAAGTTACAATCAATACCATCCATCAGTTAACTACTGTCCTTTATAGTACAGGTAATTAGATTTCAGGTATAAGCAGTCACTTCAAAGAAATTTATTTTGCCTCTCTTATTAAAAGATTACCCCTTGCCAGGGAAGTACAGATTTCACGTCTGTGAAAGGTGATCTAAGCACTGAGTTCCTCGAATAAGATCTGTCCCTTTATTTTAAAATCTGTGTGGCTTAACATATTATGTACTGTATATCCCCTTGCTTAATTAATTTACAATTTATTAGTAACCTTTCTGTGCATTATGATGGAACTCCATACTTGTTACCGAGTATTTAAACATACATAGCAAGCCAATGACATGGCAATAGTCCCACCTTCATTAAAGTGAAAATTGTTTATAATGATGCTGTACTTCTCACCTCTGATCCTTCACTTCCACGTCCTCTTCCAACCATGTTGTCTGACAAGGTCCGGGCATGGAGGACTCGAGTTCAAGGAATTCGTCTCCCCAGAAGAGAACGTGGCATCCAAAATGGGTTAACAATTGGCTGTTTTATTTTAATTATTTTACTCTTGCTACTGAATATAGGCATTGTACTGTACTTACTTATTCCTGTGAAAATCACCCAGGAGGAAGGGACAGTTCAGAGGAAAACATTACTATTCCCCACGGAACTGCCTGAAAGGATGGAAAAATCCCCACAGATTCTCCTCTCCCTTATACAGGGGAGTACAACAGCCAGGGTGATATAATTGTTAACCATAAGGGAAAACCTATCAAGTTGTATAAATTACCCTGGTTTGAGCAACTTAAAGCAATCAGGACTGCCATGGTGTACCAGAAATAAGAAAAATAAGTTAGATCTCTTAAATCATTAAAGGCCAGTTAATAAAGAACCAGGTTGTTGTTGCAAGCACAAGTTGTGCTGTCAACAGTTGAGGGAATGGAAGAACAGATTAGAAAGACTTTCCCACGACTGTTCCTCACCCACAGATACAAAGGTTCTTCCAAGAAGACAAGTAAAAACTATACAGACCCCTACCCACAGCCCTGGGATACGGTCAGGACTGTTGAGATGCATCTGCAAGGCAGAGGCAACTGTGGCTGCATTTCCTGTCTATCTCTCCTTACATGTTTGTTTGGGTGATCGAAAGGTGGTGGGATTGTTAGACACTTGTATTTCAGGTTCACTGATTAGCATAATTCCAATGAAGTTGTACAAAATAATTTCTTGACCAGAGAACAAAGTCCCTGTATGTCTAAAATGTAATACAGGGAGTAATAATGAAGTAATAGCCCCTCCTTTACCTTGAATAGGAATATATATCAATTAGACAGGCAAAGAAATAACAGAAGCTGGTTAGTTATTACAAACTAAACACGTAGAAAGTTACTAGGGAGTCAGAGTTTATAGTACAGAGAAACATTTTAGACAAAAGGCTAGATAGCTAAGTTAGACATCACAAAGGCCTTATAATAAGTTTCCTATTACTGTTATAGGAAAACGAAGCAACCAGACACCGAGGGATTCTGGAGTACAAGGTCTATTAATAACATGCACGGGACCAGAGGAGTCAGTCTCGAAATTCTGAGCCCCGAACAAAGGATTCTTGGGGGGTTATATAGCTTAGGGGTCTTCCTGTCTACGTGACAAAAGCGGGATACAGAAGCAGAATGTGATAATTGGTTCTATCAGCGGGGGTGCTAGTCCCAGTCCTACTGGCTATCCAGCTGTTTGCTTTCTCAGACGGCCTTGTCATTCTCCTATGGCGCCTGGGGTCTTGGGTGAACAAAGGTTTTCTAAAGCTTCGCACATTGTTACCTCTACTTAATCTAGCGTATCCTTTTGCCCCATGACAATTTCTGAGAAACTTTAATAAACATTAAGACATTCAAACTCTATATATACAGCTACTTCTAATTGTCTGATTTATGGCTCTCCTGGTCAAAACAATCTTTGTTTAATATAACTGAATCTATGGGAACTTTCGTACTTTTCCTGGTTACCTTTGTATTGATTTTTTCTGCTTAACTGATCATGCTATGCTGCAAATGTTAATCACTACCTAAAATGAAAATATAAAAACCTGTTTGTACTTGCAATAAATGGAACAGAGCTTCACTGTCCTTTGAGGCGTGTTGTCGTCTGTTATCCATCGCCGTCACCTTACCCGCCTTTCAGGAAACAAACCCTGGACCCTGCTGCGGCTGGACTGCGGCACTTTACCATTATTTCATTTGATCCCTCAGCCATCATAAACTTTGCTATGTTATAGATGAAGTGGAACCAGGTGGCTTACGTGTATTATTCAAAGTCACTGTGCTAGTAATAGTACAAACGTAACTTGAAGCCAGATCTTTGGCCCTGGGTGCATGGCCTTTCCACTCTATCACATTCTATTAGAGATTATGACAGCGTCTTAAAGTCTTGCCCAATAATGTTGCCCATAGATCAAAATTGATATTTTCCCCTGTTTCAATACATTTAAAATGGAGTAGTGACCTTAGTATACTGGGATCTATTGTAGTTAGTACATAAGACAGCTGTGAGAAATAAAATGAAGGTTGTGTTCTGTACCATCAATTAGTACATTTACACTGTGCATGCATGCACGTGTGTGTATATGTGTCACTCTCATGAACTTGCACTAATTTGCATGCTCAAGCTTCTCTTTAGGATACTAATAGGGCTAGATCCTAAACCATGTCAAGTTCATCAAGGAAGTGACATACTGAGAAAGCCTGTACCTGCGTACATCTCTCTGCATCACTATGGCTCTAATTAATAATACTATTAATATAACCACTAATTTAATCAATGTGGAAAAATCACAGCATCTGCATACAACCCAACTGTTTGCATTAAAATAATTTTCACTTTTAATATAAATTTAGATTTTCTCAAACAAAAGTTCCTCAAAGTGTTATACCTCAAACAAAAGTTCCAAATGATCCGCATATTTCCTTTCAGATGTAAAATTTGATGAGCACTGTTTTAGGATGTCAATGTTTCTTTCCAATCTCTTTGACACTGTTTAAGCTCTCGCATAAGCCAAGTTAGCATATGTTTTCCAATCTGTAAATGCCTCTGTGATGTTTCTTAAAAAAAATACTTAAAAAGGATTCTAAAAGTATTGTTGTTCTCAGCTGAATTAAAACCACCTTCACCTACCTTCTCTTTAATCATCGCACCATCACACGTCCGCACGTGAGGGACCTGGCACACTACTGTTCTTCTGAAAATAATGATATGTTAAAGGATTTGGGCTATAGTTAAAGTTGAATAATATAAGCAGGCACCCACTTTCAAAAAGAATTTTAGATCACTAGAGCATGTGTTACTGAGACCTGAGTAAGGGGACTCTCCCTCTTCGGTTCTTGCCTTGCTTGTAAGAGAAGAATTCAGATGAGAGACAAACATGTAGAGTGGAAATGAGACAGCAAGTTTATTTACGAAACATACTCGAGCATAAAACTACAGGCAGGCACCCGACTAGTCTGAATGCCTCACATATAGAGGAAATAAAGCTGTTAGTAAGTTTGTTATCTACACACTTGAGCCCCTGGCTACAAGTGAGCACCTACCTAATCTGAGTGCACCAACTATTGGGATTCAGGGTTATATACTTAGCCAGTATATGGCCAGTTTCTGCACTATATAGCCAGTTTCTAGGTTCCCCCTCGTCCTCTCCCTTCCAGACCTTGGGACAATTACAAAGGCTTTCTTTCCCCGCTAGTGGAGATGATACGCACAGAATTTCAAGGGCTCCCCTCCTCCTGCACTATCATAATTTTGTGATGTTTGGAACACCTGGCAATCTTATCAGGCCGAGGCTCAGGACTCCTGGGTCAGCAGGTGACACATCACTCCCTTTTGTTTCTAGCCTCCTGCTCTAAGTCTTTTATTAGACTGCACTGGGTGGGTACCCTTCTTTATTTCCTCTCAGGCCACTCATTCCTAGCTGCTGCCTAACTAATAGATAAAGGAAATCCACTATTTCTCAGTAGCCTTCCCCTAATTCTTCCAATCTCTGCAAAATTACGACTGAATTACTTTTGAATGGATACAACTTTAGAAAATGCACCAACAGTATGTAAGGAGTTTTATATGAATTGAATAGACTCAAAATCATAAAAATTCAATAGTAGAAAAAGTTAAAAATCATTAAAAATGTCATAAGTTTTTAAAAATCATTTAATCATTAACTGAATGATATATAGTGAAACATACAAGCTCCAGTTTTCTGTGTAAAACGTACACATTTATTTGATGCTTAGTATGGTGTTACGGATGTATTTCATATGACAAAGGCAAGGCTGTCTTAACTGAGCCTGTAACTGACCTGGCTTGTACTGTCCTGTGACCAGGCAATTTCACCAGCTGAATTAATGCAGTGAGTTTCCAATTCTAGCAAAGCGTCTTCAATTAAAGTGTCGAACAGTGCTAGGTTAAAAATAAGTTAATGTTCCTTTCTATTGTCCTATTACTGTGGCTCTAGAGACAAAAGTACTAGCAAGAACCTGAAACAGAACTTGGGTTCTGTCTTATTATGGGCTAAGTTCAATTACCTTAACAAAAACAGAAGGGTTAGGTCAACACTTAGACTGCCAAAAGTTGATGAATACAATTTTTAATTACGAAAGAAAGTAAAAGCAAAATAAAATACTAACCTAAGTAGTGTTGTCTAACCACAAATGGAGACTTGTGGCTTATTAACATTTCCCGGGGCAGGGGGTGGGGAAGGGAGGGAAGAATACAACCATGTTTCTGAGGTGGCTTTTAAAACAAAAGGCTTAAAGCTGCCATTCTGTATCATGAAAATTGGTCAATTAACATATAGACACCCAGGACTACAGAAGAAATTCTGCTCATTAACAGAAAGAAGCAGTGATCAATTTGCTAATTAACAAATACTGTATTCAATTCCTTAACTTAGTCAAGGTCAAGATGTAATCAGACTCTATGAATGGAGAATTTAAAAATCAACTGAAGAAAGAAACATCATTTTTTAATTTGATCGAAACCCATTTTCATGTACAAAGCTAATTTATTATGTACAAAATGTACATTCTCAAAAACTTGAAAATACAAATTTTGAAAGGACTAAAAAAGTGCAAAATTTTCTATTATTATCTTCAATCATGCTATACAGAAACAAATAAAACATTAGCTCATATACACACATTGAAAAATTTTAAAACAGCACTCAGTGTAACAAAACAAAACATACATCTTATAGATTTCATTGCAAAAGGGTGAAGAAGGGAAGAATGTATTGCACCAAATTAACAGTAACTTCATTATAGTGAGAATATTAATCAAAATTATTTACACATGTTTATAGTTTAAACCTTTCTCAACTTCAAAACCTTTTTTGGCATACAAATATTCACTGAGTCACAGTTTGCACCGTCAATAATTAGATATAAATAAGGCTTAATATTCTTTTCCATGGTCCATTCCAGTAGGAAAAATGAGAAAGAATGTTTATAACTATATAACTTCTTCAATTAAATATTTAAGTAGCAGCACAATTTGCAAGTTTTTTAACATGTAATTCCAAATTTTCAGCTCTCCTCCTCTGAAATGATTATGTGCATGTGTGTGTGTGTGTACAGATATATATTCAAGTCACTGTCACATCCCCAAAAAGCTGACATAAAAGACTAAGCATTTATATGATATTCTTCTGTCTTAATGATGCATGTCTACAACAATGCATCTGACAGAAAAATCACTGTCTGGCTAGCTCTTGATTACTTTTAAATTTTTCCTCCAAGTCTTTACAAGCAAACAGTTGGGGAAAGAAAAGCCATACCTGTTAGGAGTTTCTCAAGAGAACAGAACAGCCAAATGGTTTTCTAATAATTTTTGTTATATAAAGCTAACTATAAAACTAACACTAGCCACAAAAAAACTTGGTTATGGTATTTAGGAATCACAGAAAGCAGTAAAAAAATGATAAAAGGAAAAACAATCTAAAATATAAAGAATTTTTAACAGTAAGATCTACTGTAATATACCATAATTTTGGGAGAAGTATAGAAAGTATTATAATTAAACAATGTAAAAGTTACCCAAGAAAAGGAATCAAAATCCCAAAGGAATAAACAAAGTTATCCTCTTTAATCCCTGTACAACAAACTAAGAGGTTGAGATTCTTTTCAGTTAAGTCTGACAACTGACATTTCCTCACCAAAACAAGTTTCTACAGTGTTTGTTATATAATTTTAGTGTTCTGAAGAACAAAATAATATCTATCATCAAGTTTTTTTTCCCTTCAAAGTGCAAAAGAAGTACCTGTTGAATTTGTAGGTTGAGCCCAGTAAATCTTAAAACACATGGCTTATAGAATATGAGAAAATGTTTCCAAGAGAAAAAACATCAAAATAGCATTTTAACATTAATTAGACAATACACTGGCTACTATAGAACCTCTAAATTTAATACATATTAAACTGAACTATGTTATCTCCAAATAAAATTTTAATAGGTCAATTAGATTAAGACTTTTAAAAAGTTACATTTTAATTAATAAAATATCATTTTATCCAATCTTACCTAAATCCTAACTTGTTTTCCTACTCTCAAATTATAACATGACATTGAAACAGTATTACAAATAGCTAATCACTTTGTATACTTAAATATAGTTATAAGTTAAAATAATGAGACAGCTATATTATAAGTGAACATACACACAAAACCCCATTAACAGTCAACTGGGGAAAATGAATGGTCAGTTCTTTCAGTGACCAAACCGTGTTGTTGTGATTGTTATTATTACGATAATATTTGCAACATCTTGAATTAGTGACTTTCTACTTGTTCTCTCCCTTGAAGTTCAGTTCACAAAATGACAGGCACTAGGACAAAGGAAATACAATTATGTCTTGTCTTTTTTCACTAAAGCTATTAGCTTCATAAATCAGAGTCCTGTACTGTATTTAGAAATCACCCACATATGACAAATGTCACTGAGATGATGCCAGAAGATGTGTCTGAAGATTCAGTGCAATGGGCCAGAAAAGTATTTGATAACACAGCCACTTTTACACAAGATTCTTATATTGAAAAAAATAACTTAAATCCTATAATTAAGTATGGCCTGATATTATTAATGTAGAAAATGAAATCATTTCCAACACAGGCCTAAATATCTTAAATGTTAATGCTTTATTTTTGTAATACTAGGACTCTGCATGTAAAAAATTGAAGATTATTTCCACAGAGGAGCCCTACTTACCAAAGTCATCAGAAGTGGAAGGAAGGGCTTTATCCAATGCTTTTTATATGGAAATTCTATTGATTAGAGAGCTTCAAGATTATAGAGCTCTAATTTTATTTTTTAAATCTAGCATTTTGTTACTTGTGCTTTTTACTAATACTTTTAAATGTTACCAAATTCAACATGCAAATACTCACTGACAATCACTAGGATTAAAAAGCAAACATATACTTGAGGGCAAATATTAGTTACAAGTTTCAAATATGAAAGGTCTGAAGAGGGTTTATGATGATAATGCAACTGAAAAGGAAATTTAGATGTTTCTATACCATGAAACACAAAGAACTCATTTAAAGAAAATTTTATATAAAATATCTCCAAAGATAATGATTAAAACTATTTTTAAATAAACCTGTGGATATTAAGTCTGATTTATAAAAATGAATGAATTTCTATAGCATAAAACAGTTTAAGATTTAATGTACTAATCCTGAGGCATAATTTATTTTATATCAACATCTAGTAAAGCCATTCAGAAAGTCCAGAGTACTGCCCCGACCTCTGCATATTCAAAGAACTTTAATAAGTCTGATCTGCAATCTCAATTAAGAAAAACTGGCCTAGAAAATGCTGGATTCAAATTAAAGTAGAAAGGTTGTAGCCCACATTTTAATCACATTGAAATGATGACTGCTAACAATTTGCTGCTATTGCCTAATGTCATCAGAGTATCATCAGGACTCTGATGAAGGAAAACTCTCCAGAACAATGTTACACATGTGGTCAAGTGCAAAACAAATCAAATGTTGAGTATATATGATAAATGAATTAGGCAAAAAAATACCGAGAATTAATATTTGTTGAGAGACTGGTCACTTACTGGAAGAGAACAGTTCAGTTGATGACAAACAGTAATTAGGGCAAGCTATGTGTCTGGCTGATAAAGGAAAACAGATCAGATTTAGAAAAGAAAGAATATATTTCCTGTCTTATATGTCTGAAAAACCATATCCTAAAGGTAGGTTTAAGAACTTATTTATGGAAGTTTAATGGTATATTTGAAGAGACGAACCTTCACCCCCAAGCTGTTACATAATATATTATTTAATATTTATATAATATTGTCCATGTACTTGCATCTTTTCCTTGGAAAGGTAATAAAACAATGCTACTCATTTTTAAAATATAAATATATAAAAGGAGCTAACCTCTTTAAAGTCAATTAAAATATTTCCATTAGTGATTTCTTCAATAATAATATAAAATATACTTAAAGGCAAAGACCGTGAGTCAGTCTATCATTATATAAAAATCTGTTATTCAAGTTAAAATTTTTCTTTGCCTATTCCTATTCAAAACATAAAAAGTCTTAGGTTAAGATTCAACTTTCAAGTCTAAATTCTAATTAAGTATGAAGGCACACTTATTCCTTCAGAAGCATAAAGCTGATTTTCAACAACAGTTCTTAAGAATAATTTTGTATTACTTACACAGAAAAAAAGCCTTACTGATATTCCTTGCTAATGACAAATGAATGCTTGGCATTTTCTCTCCTAGAAAAGCATGTATCCTAAAAAAGGAATCTGACCTAAAGAAAATAGAAATATTCATAGCTGGCATGAGCTTTACAAACTTAAAATATTTTAAACCATCCATCTAAACTTCATTTTCATGTACTTTCCTAATTTTCATGCCAGGATCTATTTTATCTTCTGTTCCCCAATTTTAATTAAGAACAGGACAGAATACTGACTGGGGAAAGTTGAAAAAAGGCTTGCAAGGCTTCTTTATTCTCTAAGTGAGGACAGCTCTTACAGGTTTTCATACTTGACCTCACTTTCTAAAAGTAAAATCATCTTATTATAAATCTCTCTTCTTCAACAGGAAGCTGAGCTTTTTATTTCCATCATCACCAGTGTCAGGAAACAAAAGCAAATGAGAAGTTCTGCAAAGACTTTATAACAGGCAAATTGTTATATTCATTAACTGAAATATCCACCTGTTATTCTATTCTAAATATTGTTAATATCTATACACAATACAGAAATAATTTCTATGGATACCATCTCAATACACCAGAATCTCCCAAAGTATATTCTTCCAGTGATTTTATCTAGTGATTTTTAATTCAGTGGGCTAAACTGTTTGAAGAGAAATATATGATTCAGCTAATAGTCTCAAAATATTTGCTTATTTAATAAATAAACTTTAAGATCTGTTTATCTAGAATGTTGCCAGTATTCTCAAAGATTTTCCTTAAAATTCTATATTTTGGGTTTTCACTTCTTAGAGAGAGTAATGCAAGGTATAATTCCACTTCTCTGCCCATCTACTGTTAGTGTAGGGCATCTATTTTACTGTGAACAAAGCTGCCTGCCTGTGCTACAACATGAAAACTACTTCTTCAGTTCCTCCATCTAAAAAGCAGCAAAGCAAAGCACCCCACATGTAGGAATTTTCCCTTGGTAATCTAAGTTAAACTTTTTGTAACTTTTAAGCCTCCAAAATAATTTCCAAAACCATATTAAGTGACCTTAAAAATAAAGAAGGCATCCTTGTACCAAAATATCTGGAAAAATAAATAAAAGAAAACTTTGTGAAGTTTTGATTTAGAAAGCTTTTTTACAAGTCTACATTTAAAATATCAAAAATATTGTTATTCTGCCAACTTAAAACCTCCTAAAAACTAGATAAAAAGTTAAAATAGAATGAAATAAAAAGAAGCAATCAATCTCAATAAATCATAATTATCCCTATTGACTTGTTTTGAGACATTTTCACCACAAATTTCTTAAGTTCTCAAAAAGGAAACCCTCACATTTACATATGTTCTATTTTACAGTTGCTATACCAATTTATTTTAATGTTATTTACCTAAAACATGGCTGATTTTTTACTGAATAAAAGGATTTAAAGTAATTTGGAAGAAAATTCTTTTAGCTTATAACCTTTTATTAGTCCAGACTCAAATCAAATCTATTGAAAAAAACTTCCCTATATGAAATCCTTCACTACTTACAATTTTTTACTTACAGGGTCATAAAGAAAAAGGCAGTAGATAATGTGGGCAACAGGAGAGAAGATTTGCCAAGGAAAAATTTTTCCAAGGTTCAATTGAGATGATAATTGGACATGAGGAATCTATGATTTGTGGAATGAAAAAGAATATTATTTTAAGAAGCTGTTAATGTGGAAAACACTCATTTTTCCTGATCAAAGACCCCTTTAAGAAAGCTGTGCAACCATTCATTCCTTTAAAAAATGCAATTAACAAAATCTTCACACAATTTCAGGAGATTCATACAAACCACAAAAAACATATAATCTCAAATTAAGAACACGTGTTGTGAACACTCTCTTGACCAAACTCAAAAAATGACCTTATAAAATCACTAGGTTTAACACTCTTTCTGAATTCCAAAATATATGTATCTAACTTTTACTATAAAATCTTGAGTAATAAAACACAATGTAACATCTAGCTATGTACAATAAAATTAATTGTAATCCTCAAAGTTTTATATAACATTAAAAATGTGGCTTTAAAAATTAGTATATCTAGATGGCTAGTATAAGTCACACATGTCTTTTCTATTCATTCACCTTTCACATGGAAGTCCTACTGAAAAATGTGATACATTTGGGTATCACTCCTAAGTCTTCTCATTACCGAGGGAAAACAGAGTATTTGCTTAATAAAGAAAAAGTCAAGAAATTTTGCACTTTGGAAATAAAAATTGTGCTGCAAATGCTACAGAAAGGACCCAACTGTCAAAATCACAATCAGCATTTTGTATCTCTAGTTTCTCTTATTCTTACTCAACATTTATTATTTAAGAATAAGAATACATTTCAATACATTTCCACTAGTAATGTGCAAGGAGTACTGGAATGAGCCAATGTACAGTTTTAACCGTCTTATTTTCAACTTATTGTGAAAACCTGGAATTTTATACTGAGTTTTGAAAATCCAAATATGCAACAGATACCTTTAAATATTATCTCCAATCAGGAGTTTTACAAGTAAACTGATTTTTTAAAACATATAGTGGTCAATAAATAAAAAAAAGATTAACTAAAGAACAACATATTAAGAGCCATGTCTCCCAAATGTCTTATTATCTGTTCTTTTTTTAGGTATACCTTAAATACCTGGCAAATATTGTTGTTTAGAATAATAAGCATATCAAATCTAACTTTGTCACTTTTAGAAGTTCATTTTTAAAAATGGATCTAATGATCATTAGAAATGGATCGCTAAATCTAATTAAATATATTTTCTCAATTCTTAGTGCAGACCGAGCATTAGTTAAGAAGACTGAATTCACTTATGTTAATGGGAAATTTTTAAAGTGAGTAATAATATAATCTACTTTTTTATATACACATCACACCAAACTCTGGTAATCCCTCAATGCTTTTCAGGAAAAAAAGCCCTGAAAGATTTCAGATTCTTGAGACATGTGGTTAAAGTGACAAAACAGTAAATCAAGTTTCAGTTACCCAGGACAGAAGACAGAAATAACAATCACTTGGGATCCTGAGTATTATATTCAGTTTCTCCAGAGGAAATCTGGCTGAGCCGCTTGCTAGATCCCCAAAATTTTCGAGAAAGTTGACCGGAACGCATCTGTTTAAAATAAACCAGAGAGATGTTATTAAGGAAAAAAAGAAAGAATAAATGAACTTGATAAGATGACATTAATTTAGTAGAATGCAGAAAATGTAAGTTTGGGTAGCAGAATCATTTTAATGATTCTTCGTTAATAATAAGAAAAGAAAAATTCTCTACATTGAATGTCATTCAGTTGAGAATAGTCTAATGCCAGTGTGTAAACCGTCCCAGTTATGGCAAAATTACCAGACTCCCTTACTTCATGTATTAAAAAATTTTTTCACTTCATTCAAATGATCTCTTCAAATTATATTTTATCTAGCTAAGGAGATACAAAAGTTGGGGATTTTTCTCCTCTTGTATGAAGTTCTATTAATGCCAATCATAAGGATAAGAAGTAACATAATTTGATGAAAATAAATTTGATATAAAATTTGATATAAAATTTGATATAAAAATTTCAAAAAATAACAATAAAAAGTAATTTAGAAAACAAGAATGGCATAAATTTTTTGATGGTAAGAATAACATTTTGTCTACCATTAGATTTGTACCAACTAGCCCACTTCTCAGCAAATAAATATTATTAACTGCATCAATGAATAACTTCCCTCTAAAAATCCTCACACTTCTCAGTGGGGGGGGAACCCACATGGAAAACACTTCTCCCATCCAAGTTTCTGAGATCATATGAGATTGGGCGCGTTTAGGACGGTATAGCCTTAGATGAAAACATTTCTCAATCTAACGATATGATTTGTTGTAATTACTTTCCCAAATGCAATCTACTTTTAAATGGTATTTTGTCTGCCATCCTTTTTACATGGCTAGTTTTCTTAGGTATGTTTACTGGAGTGATAAAAGACAAGCCTAATGCAAAGACACTATGGCAAACTTATTTTGCAATTTTGTCCCATTGTATTCCCAGAAATGTATTTCCATTCATCTATTACTACTTTACCACCTGATTTATAAACATGCATGTCATACTGACAGTATAATATATAAAACTGATGCATGTATTAAAAATACACATTAATCAAGATTTTGACCTTTTAGATAAAACTAGATCTTAAAAAAGTATTTTTCATAATGATCTATTTAATTTCTACAGTATCATATAGCAAGATTCAAATTATTAAATTTGATTATTTACTAAAGTAGATCCATAATTCAACGGATACATACAAAAATATAAAAAGATAAAAATACTTTTATTCAACATCTACACACAAGTCATATTATTCTTTGTGTTGTAGACTATATAAATATTTCAACAAAAACAAAAACTTACTTGGTAAATATTACATAACACTGATTTAGGCCTATAAAATGAAGTTGGTTAGGCACCTTTCCCCCAATCAACTCTTAAAATAAGGTCATTTCATTTTTAAAACCAGTAAAATCAAAAACTGACAATTTTTTTTAAAAGGCACTTGGATACACCACAGAAAGTGAAGCATACTCGAAGAGTCCAGTCTAAGCAGAGTTAAGGAATCTCATTAGAAGAGAACAGGAAGGAACTATTTACCTAAGAAATTTATTTTTAAAATTATTTATTTATTTATTTTTAAAGAGATGGGAAGAGAGGGAGAGAAACAACCATGTGCGAGAGATACATCACTGGTTGCCTCTCACATGCCCCCAACCAGGGACCTGGCCTGCAACCCAGGTATGTGCTATGACTGGGAATCAAACCAGCAACCTTTCGGTTCTCAAGCTAGCACTCAATCCACCAGCCAGGGCCAGAAATCATATTTTAGATTTCTCATAAAAGACCAATTATATGAATAAAAATTCATAGTGCTTAATTTGATATGATTTAACAATAAATTTTCCAGCATAATCACTAAATTACTGGGAGTAGCTGCAATTTTTTAAAATTATTTTTTTATTTTTAAAAGATTTTATTTATTTATTTATTTATTTTTAGTGGGGATGGGAAGGAGATAGGGAAAGAAATATCAATGTCTGGTTGCCTCTCCTGCGTCCCCTGCTGGGAACTGGCCTGCAACCTAGGCATGTGCCCTGACTGGGAATTGAACAGCGATACTCTAGTTCACAGGTCCACACTCAATCCACTAAGCTACACCAGTCAGGGCTTAAGATATTAGAATATTTAGTAACTGATAAACTACTGGCAAATGAATTCAGTGACTATGGGAAATCCATTGAGAATTAGCACATTATATGGGATATTTGTGGTTCCAAATAAAAAATGATGCTTTTATAAGAGGACAACTGATATACAATCATGTTGGGTATTTGCTAAAATACAGTTTTATACAGATTTGTTTTACATGTTCTTGCACTTTGTATAAATGGAATCATTCAGTACATGTTCTTTTATATCTTCCTTCTTTCAATAAGCATACTAAATTTTAAATTTATATTGTTATATGTTTCACTAATTTGTTGGTGGGAAGTATTACATTGTACAATTATCCTGAACTTATTTATTTATTTTCCTGTTAACAGACATTTTCAATACCCAATTTGAGATGATTATAAATAAAGCTAATATAAAAAAATAAAGTAGCTTTATTGTTTGCATCTATATTTCATTTTTTTAATCGCTTTTATTAGACATCTCAGTTCTGTGGCCACAGGCATGGACAGAAGAAGATGGCAGATGGTGGGGCCAGTTGAAATTCTTCAGGGTATGTCCTGCTGGTACAGAGACAGGCCCCACATGTTATTTTTTATAAAGGCTTTTATATACTGAAAATCCAAGAAGTAGTCTCGAACCTAGATTTAGAAAGAGAGAATAGAAGACCATTCATATTCACACAGAGTGACAGATGGAAACCACCATATGTGGGCTTTTAATGATAATACTGGCATCATTCTTGAATGCTGAATTTATTGCCTTTGAAAAATCAAATTTTTAAAATTTGTTTATCCATAACAGATATTCTTGATTCAGTAGGAACAAAGAAGAACCAAAGGAATACAACGCAGTACAGGAAATGAATTTCTTCACTAGGTTTTACCTCTGCTGGCTTGCCAACACCCACTACAATCAATTTTCCATCTTCTAATCCTACAAGAATATGGCTGTATTCTTTGGTTACACAAACACAATGGATAGGCAATCGCATAGCTAATGGGGTGATGCTGAGATTCAAACTAGAAGAGAAAAAACACGCACATGATTAATGGACATATAATAGATTCTTAGAATCTTATACCTGGAAATTAACTTAATCATAATCAAGTTCTGCATTCTGATTTTACAGATGTAGGATTTAGCTTCAGAAAGTCTGCATGCCTCACACAAGGTCTGCATTTATGCATTACTTAAATACTTCTTTATTCTCAACATCTGTTGTTCTTCTGACCATATATATGAGTTCTTATGAAATGATTTTTATCTTGTTGATTACAAGTTAAAGTTGGATAAAAAGGTGTAAAAGCTCAACAAGTACATGTATAGGGGGATAAGGTCAATAAAATTGATTTATTTACTTTGTCTTAAAAAAGACGTAACACATCAAAATAACAACTGAACTATAAAACCACCATCATTCAGACCCATCAGAAATTGAGCTGAATGGAAGTCCTAAAACTATGTAATTAAAGAAGAAACCACATCAAGACTGTAGGAGGGGAAGGGACGCAGAATGGGCTAGTTCCACACCTACATGTGGTGAATAAAAATTGGGAGAGATACCTCAGGAGCAAAGAGTCCCAACCCCTTACCAGGCCCCCCAGCCCAGGGTTCCAGTGCCAGGAAGAGAAGTTGCTATAACTCTGGCCATAAAAACCAACAGGGATTGAGGCTATGGAAGACAGAAACCACTGGCGCTCAGGCAGTTCCTCTTAAAGAAACCATGCACAGACTTACACAGATTCACTCCCTCTGAGCCCCAACATGGAGGCAGCAGACTAAAAGGCACCAGAGACAAATGGGGAGGAACTGAATTGTTCAGCATCAGGGCAAGAGCTGGGAGGCAGCTTTCTCTCAGATAGAAGCACTGGCAGAGCCCACTGTTCCTTTTCTAGGCATCCCCCAAGAGAACCACAGAGGTGGCAGGTGAGTGCCATATCTGACACTCCATCATCCTGGCTCACACTGTTTGCCCCACAAAGGTGATTCTCTGAGGCCCTGCCCCACCCAACTTCCAAGCCCACCGAAGCTGTTTCCAGTGGCCTTTCCATACAAATGGCTTGTCTTGACACATGATTCAAATTTTTCTAAATTCTCTCAAACAAGCAGCCTGGCTTCACTACCTCTCACTAAGTTGTTCCAGGACCAGCAGTAGCAGCAGTCAGCCTTGGGTTCACCTGGGCACCGTTAAGCCATCTGTAGATTGCTTTGTACCTTATGCTGTGTGACCCCCGCAGAACACAGGTGGTGGCTGACCTTGGATATGCCAACAGCAATAAAGGCTCCACTACAACAGGAAAGTGTACACAGCCCACACAGCGGGCACACCTTGAGTACCCAGCTTGATGAATAGGAAAGACTGTACCACTGGGTCCTACAGGACACCTACTACATTAGGCCACTCTACCAAGCCTGGGAGACACAGCAGCTCTACATAATACATAGAAACAAACACAGGGAGACTGCCAAATGAGGAGATAGGGGGCCCAAAAGAAAGAAGAGATCAAAACTCCAAAAAAAGAACTAAACAAAATGGAGATATGCAATCTATCAAAGGCAGAGTTCAAAACACTGGTTATAAGGATGTCCTAGGAACTTAGGACGTCAACGGCACAAAAAAGATCCTGTCAGAATCTTTAACCAGATACACTGATAAAAGTAAAAAAAGATTTACAAGCATCAACAGTAGAGTAGATGAAGTGAAGATTCAAATCGGCAATCTGAAATAGGAGGAAGCAAACAACAACAAAAAAACAAATCAGAATAACAAGGAAAAGAGCAAACTAAAAAAATGAGGAAAATGTAAAAAGCCTCTGGAACAACTTCATCAACATCTGCATCATGGAGGTGCTAGAATGAGAAGAGAGCAAGAAATTGAAAACCTATTTGAAAAAATGACAGAAAATTTCCCTAACCTGGTGAAGGAATGGACATACAAATCCAGGAAGTGCAGTGAGTCCCAAACAAGATGAACCCAGAGAGCCCCTCAGCAAGACAATCATAACTAAAATGCCAAAGGTTAAAGGCAAAAGGAGAATCTTTTAAAAAATTTTTAAAGGATTTTATTTATTTATCTTTAAAGGGGAAGGGAAGGAGAAAGGGAGAGAAACATCAATGTAGGGTTGCCTCTCATGCGCCCCCCGCTGGGAACTGGCCTGCAACCCAGGCATGTGCCCTATCTAGGAATAGAACCACGGTTGTTTGGTTCAGAGGCCTGGGCTCAATCCACTGAGCTATACCAGCGCCAGAGCACAACAAGAGAATCTTAAAAGCAACAAGAGAAAAGCAGTTAATTCCCTACAAGGGAGCTCCCATAATACTGACAATTGATTTCTCAAAAGAAACTCTGCAGGCTAGAAGGGATTGGCAAAAAAATATTCAAAGTGATGAAAAACCAAGGAGCTACAATCAAGATTATTCTATCTAACAAAGCTATCGTTTAGAATCAAATGAGATGAAGAGACTTCTAGCCAAAATGGAGTCGTAAATACACTTTACCTCCCAGCACAACCAAACAAGGACAACAACAAATTTAAAACAAAACCCAACCAGAACTACCAGAAAATCAAACTGTATGGAAGTCCAACATCCAAGGAGTTAAAGAAGAAAAATTCATACAGAATGGTAGGAGGGACAGAGACACGCAGTGGGGGCAGAGAGGACAAGCAGCAAGGCAATGGCTGGAGGACTGCAAGTGGGTGAGGCGGCAGCTGGTGAACGGGGTAGTCCCACATTTGAGTGCAGATAAACAGGGAAGAATAACTAGGGAGCGAGCGCATGAAACTAAAGCCTCAATACCTCTGGCTGCAAAAATTTGTGGGGGTTGTGGCATTGGGAGAAACTCCCAGCCTCACAGGAGAGTTAGTTGGAGAGACCCACAGGGTCCTAGAATGTATACAAACCCACCCACCTGGGAATCAGCACCAGAAGGGCCCAATTTGCTTGTGAGTAGCTGGGGAAGTGACTGAAATCTGGCAGAGAGCATACCAAGTGGCACTGTTCCCTCTTTGACCCCTCTCCCACATAGTCACAACACAGTGATATGGGTTGCCCCATCCTGGTGAACACCTAAGGCTCTGCCCCTTACTATGTAACAGGCATGCCGAGATAAAAACAAAGGCCCAAATGAAAAAACAGATCAAAGCTCCAGAAGAAACACAACTAAGCAATGAAGAGATAGCCAACCTATCAGATGTATAGTTCAAAACTCTGGTAATCAGGATGCTCACAGAAATGGTTGAGTATGGTCATAAAATAGAGGAAAAAGTGAAGGCTATGCAAAGTGAAATATAGAAAAATATACAGAAAACCAACAGCGAAGGGAAAGAAACCAGGACTCAAACCAATGATTTGGAACAGAAGGAAGAAATAAACATCCAACCATAACAGAATGAAGAAACAAGAATTCAGAAAAATGAGGAGAGGCTTAGGAACCTACAGGACATCTTTAAACATTCGAACATCTGAATCAGAGGGGTGCCAGAAGGAAAAGAGGAAGAGCAACAAACTGAAAACTTATTTGAAAACATAATGAAGGAGAACTTCCCTAATTTGGCAAAATAAATAAGACTTGCAGGAAGTCCAGGAAGCTCAGAGAGCCCCAAAGAAGTTGGACTCAAGGAAGCACACACCAAGGCACATCATAAGAAAATTACCCAAGATTAAAGATAAGGACAGAATCTTCAAAGCAGCAAGAGGAGACAGTTACCTACAAAGGAGTTCCCATAAGATTGTCAGCTGATTTCTCAAAAGAAACCTTGCAGGCAAGAGGGGCTGGGAAAAAGTATTCAAAGTCATGAAAGGCAAGGACCTACGTCCAAGATTACTCTATCCAGCAAAGCTTTCACTTAGAATGAAAGGGCAGATAATGGGCTTCACAGATAAGGTCAAGTTCAAGGAGTTCATCATCACAACACCCTTACTATATGAAATGTTGAAGTGACTTATCTAAAGAAAAGACCAAAAACTATGAACAGTAAAATGACAATAAACTCACAACTATCAACAACTGAACCTAAAAGAACAAAAACAAAGCAAGCAAACAACTAGAAAAGGTACAGAATCACGGAAATGAAGATCACATTGGGGGTTATCAGCAAGGAGTGGGGAGAGTGGGGGAAAAGGTTTAGGGATAAGAAGCGTAAATGGTAAGTACAAAATAGACAGGGAGAGGTTAAGAACAATATAGGAAAGGAGAAGCCAAAGAACTTATATGTACGACCCATGGACATGAACTAAGTGGTGGAGGAATGCTCTTGGGAGGGCTGTGCAGGGCACAGGGGAATAAGGGGGGAGAAAAAAAGGACAACTGTAATAGCATAATCAATAAAATCTACTTTTAAAAAAAGGACAGATGAAGAACTTCCCAGACAAGAAAAGCTAAAGTTCAACCATCACTAAACCAGTGGTCTGTGAAATGCTAAAAGGTCTTCTTTAAAAAGGAGGAAAAATGTGAGAATAAAATCACAATAAATACATATCTATTAACAAATAAATCTAAAAATCTAAACAAAATAAATAAGCAGAACAGAAACATAATCACAGACACAGAGAATGATTTTGATGGTTGGCTGCCAAATGGAAAGAGGAGGGAATGATGAGAAAGGTAAAGGGATAAAGAATCACAAATTGGTAGTTACAGAATAGTCATGGGGATGTAAAGCATAGGGAAGACAGTAAGCAAAGAACGCATATGCAGTGATTCCTAGACATGGACAACGGTGTGGGGATCACCTGAAGGAGATGAGCAGGTCTGGGTGGAAAGGGGCAATGGCAGAAAAAATTGGGACAGCAGTAACAGCATAATCAATAAAATATAATTTTAAAAAGATGCAACATATAACACATACAAATAGAATATAAAATAATATACAGAGTCTGGCAGAGGTAATGTGTGCTTGAGTGTGGTTGGCAGGGTAGTAATACAGGTGTAATAATTTAGACTTTTAATTTGAACTTTTCACCTAAAATGTCATATGGTGTGCTTGAATGTGATACTGTTATACTACAGAATTACATGCTTAAGATTTTGTAATAAAAAGGGGCATTATTTGTGCCCCTATATATTTAAAATATGATATGAAATATAATACATCATTAAAAAATATTCACAGCTTTTATAATTAGGGAATAAAAAATTCTATGATGCAATTAACATGTTCTACACTAACCTGCTAAAATATCCCACTGATTTTTCTAATTTGGAATTTTCTTATTAACAATACCCTGAAATTAGAGTTGTAAAACAAAATTCTGGATCAATATAATTGGAATCATGTCTCAATGCTCTACCAAAGAAGAAAGGTAAAATAGAGAAGAAAACTACAAAAATAGAAAAGAGGTGTTGATATAGAAGAGATTCTTATTTGATGCAATAAGGTAGAACATCTTGGATCAGGAAATATTTTATAAAAAAGGTTTTTGGAAAGGCCAAGATAAATTTGAGGAATATAAATAAGCCACAATAAATTTTTTATAAAGAGAAAAAAGAATGTGCGTGTGCATATAGGAAACATGAAACATATGTACTATTCAAACATTGGTGACATCCTTCTTTGCTGCATTAAATAACAAGATTCTCTACCAATTTTATGCATACAGTACACTCAATTTTAAACAAATCCGTTAATCTTATATTTTTTAGGGTTTTTTTTTTACCACAATTAAAAAACATTTTTTAAATCCTAACTTTAGTTTGTAAAAATTCAAACTGTAATTGGAACAATTTCGAAATCTATAATCCAGGCATAGTACTTCCTGGCCATTTAAAAAAGATTTTATTTTTTTTATTTTTAGAGAAAAGGGAAGGGAGGGAGAAAGAGAGTAAGAGAAATGTCAATGTGTGGCTGATTGTCATGTGGCCCCCACTGGGGACCTGGCCCACAACCCTGGCACATGCCCCGACTAGGAATCAAACCAGTGACCCCTTGGTTTGTAGCCCATGCCCAATCCATTGAGCTACACCAGCCAGGGCTAAAAACATTTTTAAAAACTGGGGTGAAATATACATAGCATAAACTTTTCTACATTTAAAGACTTACATTGGTATTTCATTTATTAATCTGGGAATACATTAGCTTCCCCATTTTTTCCAAAAATGTGGAAGTTGCCAAAAAAAATGTGATCATAATAAATGATAGATCAAAAGATTAGAGACCTTAGATTGCTGATTTTTACTCTAGGGTGAAAAAACTACCACATTTATTTATTTATTTTTAGAGCAAGGAGAAGGCAGGGAGAAAGAGGGAGAGAAACATCAATGTGTGGCTGCCTCTCACACGCCCCCTACTGGGGAACTGGCCAGCAACCCAGGCATGTGCCCTGACTGGGAATTGAACCAGCAACCCTTTGGTTCACAGGCCAGCACTCAATCCACTGAGCCACAGCAGCCAGAGCTGAAAGTACTACAACCTTTTAAAAACACCCTTTTAAGGTGTTACTTCAATAATTCTTACTATTTACCTGTGGAGGTCTCTTATGGACAGGAACCCCTGTAAACTGCCCATGACAATGTGTTCTTCAATTATGCATATATCTGATACTTGTTCCTTTAGGACTTGAGACCCTAGATACTTTCCATTTACAGAAAACAGATGCAATGCATTCGTATCCTGAAAAGATTAGATAAAGGAAATTTAATGATCTCAATTTAGAACTCAGTTTCAACACTATTAATTAAAACTATGACTATAAGAGTGATTATTGGGTTTAAAATGCTGGAGTAAACACTGGTTATAGTTAAAAAGAGAGTGTGTAAGCAATATTACTGATGTGATTTCAAATCAGATTGCCAAACAAATAAATATTAAATAAGAACTTACTCCTCTGAAAGAAATCTCATCCAGTCCCTCCACAAAGAAACATCGTCTATATTATTAAAACAGATTCTTAAATTCTCTTAATTTTTAAAAAGTTATCAGTGAAAAGAAAAATAAACATAAAATATTCATGGCTTGTTTATGCATACCATACCTTGTATACATAAAGAATTTATAATTTTCACTTAAGCTTATGAAGTCCCACATAATCAGAAATTATTAAAATTACATATTATATACGCCAATAGAAATCCTTAAAAAAATACAAACATGTAGCCAAGATTGTGATAGGGTAAGGTAATGGTAAAAAGTGAACAAATCGAATGATGAAAGAAAAATACCCTTTTTCAAACTTGGTTTTCTTTCCTTCCTAAAAATACTTCATATATAATTTGGGAAGGAAAACACAAGCTTATAGTCTAGCCCTACTGCATGTAACTGTTAGATACCTTGAGGGTGGTCTTTTCTTCAATGCTGGAGTAGATGACAATATGTCCTTCCCGAGATATAGCCAAATTGGGGATGGTCAGGAGCAGAGAACTCTCACAAGGTGGTCGTAAAGTCCTCATGTACTGACCTTTCTGAATAGTATGTATAATCACAGTGCCATCCTACACATAGAAAATATTAGAAAATGAAACAAAGAAAAAATTTAAAAAACAGTGGGTTGGAAAAAGAAATGTGGGAAAGTTTTGGAGAAAATGTTTATTCTACCATGAACACATGTACTTTAGGAAAAATTCAGATCTTGAAATTTCAAATAGTAAATTATTTCATAAAATGCCCTGTTAATCTTAACCAGTAAGACCAGCAAATTCCCAAAATATAATTGTCTTTTTAAGTTTGTACTTCCTGCAGTTTTCTACTTTTGCAAAGTCCTACACATAGTATAAAATTTCTATACTTTTACAAATTCCTCTACCAAAAAATATAGCTATAAACATTATCTCTAAATTTATAGAAAAAATAACATTTTTTAAACCCTTACCCAAGAACATGCTTATTGACTTTAGAGAAGGGGGGAGGCAGTAAGGAGGAGAGAAACACTGATTGGTTGCCTCCTGCACATGCCCTGACAGAGAACTGAACCTGCAACATATATAACGAGCCCCGACAGGGAATTGAACCCCCTCTCAGTTTACAAAAGGATGCTTCAACCAACTGAGCCACACCAGCAAAGGCAAAATAGCACTTCTTAAAGATGAAATCTTACCCTCGATCCTGACACTGCCATGTCGAGCTCAGTGCTGATGCCGACACTCAATACCTCATCAGTGTGTCCATACAGAATCTGAAGGGGTTTAGATGCTAAGCCCGCAGGAACACCTCCCTAGTATTAGAACAGAAAAGCAAAGGTCATTTTCTCGTAGGCTATTTCTATTAAAAAGTTTGCTGTATTTAAACTGTCTAATTACAAACCAACACTGCATCTAGTTCTTACCACTGATTCTGTTCAAAATACTCATTCTTGTTGTCTCAATCTTTGGTAGCTAAAAAACTTAATCTGAATAATTTTGAGGTTGATTATTTTGGATTAATTTTTAACAGGTGTATTGTTTGCCCTTTCCATCTAGATATTTATTGTCTCTTCACTTTGAAGAAACATTTTGCATTACATTTCTGAATGCTTTCTCTTTTTCATTTATTGGAGTACATCAATTTCAGGGACATCAATTATCTTTATGCTAACTTGTCTGATTTCTATAGCAGTCATTCTCTTTCTAATTGCTTTAATAATTTTGTTTTTATATTTGTATTCTCCTTGATTACTACATTAATTCTATCTTCCATGCCAATAATTTTATTTTTAGCCACATCAAATCTGTCCCTTACTGTTCAGCTTTGGACTTACTATGTTTGTAATGGCATTGGTCTGAATCTCAGTTTGATTCTTCTGCAATCTCCCTTTTCATCCTAAAATGCATTTTATAATTTCATTTTTGAGGTCCTATTTTACTGAATCAGTATTCTTATTATGTTCCTCTAACACCATAATATTATTGCTGGAATTTCCCTGTACTTGAGTTGTTTCCTTTCAGAAGATTTCTTCATCTGCTTTTGACATGCTTTGTCTGTATATGAGTCTCGCTTCCTGTGATATAGATGCTTGAGTAGTTACCATGATATCGGTGTTATGATTATCCTGGATAACTCTGTCCACATCTTCTACCAGCACTACATGATGTGGATGATGTCCCCTTTACACTCTATCACCCAGGACATATTTGTCTTCCTGTAAGGGTGTCTGAGTGCTTAGCACACTCTATGTAGTTTTTAAAAATCAGGTCATTCCTATATTATTTAAGCAACTGAAGTTACAAAGAAAGATGAACACTTCTCAAATTCATCTTATAAAGGCTATATATCCCAATATTAAACATGGTAGAGAAAAAAATAAAAATAGATTTTGCTCACAACTAGAGAATTAAAGCACTAGTAAATAAAATCCTATAGTAAAATATAATACATCACAAAATATATGGATTTATCATATGAATTCAAGGATAGTTCAACCTAAGACATGTCTCAAAATAATACAATGAGAAAAAGAAAGAGGGAAACTATAAATAAAAAAAGAAAGAGACACTGGGAAAAATAGCTGCAAAGGACACTACTGGGACTACGTACAAAACCAGAACATGAACCACAGGCTAGATAATGGTGTTGCAGTAGTGATAGTCAGTTAGAAATAAAAATGATTTTAAAAAGCCCACCAAAAAATAATAAACATAATTAGAAGTAAGTATAACAAAGTACAGGACTTAAATTTAAAAAATTATCAAAAAACATTTATGCTGTTATAAATGACCTTCCACCCAGAAGTAAAAAAAATCATGTATATTATTATAGAATACAGAATATGTATTTTGTGTATAGAATACAGAATCTAGGATATAAATATATGCATATGTTACATATAACATAAAAAACTACCAATGATTTAAAGAATAAAATGTAAAACAATAAAATCAGAAGAGTATTACGAAAGAATTTTTAGTTAATATTTAATAAATTTGGAATGGGAGAAAGCCTGTTAAACAAGGTAAAAAAATCCAGAAGCTATAAATAAAAAAGATACTTCCCTGAACTAACATTATTATGAGAGTACAATAAGGTTGATGAAAATTATAAATCTGTAATTTCTAGTAGTCCTACTGAAAGGAAAATAGAAGTATTATGTTAACAGGATAAGAAAAATAATTGTTTTCCTAGAAGTTAACAAAGAGGAGTTTCTGGCAAGTGATAGGACAAAAGGTCAAGAATCAGTCAATAAACCTTGGGCAAATGTGGTGATTTAGGACAGGGCACAATGGGGAGTAAAAGAATGCAAAGGAGCTCAAATAATCATTCAACGCAAGAGAACAATTCACCAACATCTGAAGAGTATTCCCAGGGTAAATCTCTAATTGAAGCTGAGTATTTAAGTGCATAATTACCTGCTGTGTTATTTGCCATATCATACAGGTAGTATCTCTGGAACCAGAAATCAAATGTATTCCACAGTAGTCGGTAGCTAAACAAGTCACAATATCTGTAAGGAAATAAATAAATAAACAAACCAAAATGACTTGGCTTTGCTGGAACTAAGAGCAATTTTAGTTTATGGTCAAACTACACTAAACCAGTTGTTTTAATGGAGAAATGTAGCACTGGCATTGCAAAAGCATTGAGAAAGAGTGACTCAGAAAAGCAGCAGTATTAAAAGCATGTAAAAGAACTTTCTTTGAGGCCACTCCTTTTTAAAAAATATATTTTATTGATTATGCCATTACAGTTGTTCTATTTCCCCCCTTGATTCCCCTCCACCCTGCACACCGCCTCCCCCACCATTCCCCCCTTTAGTTTATGACCACATGTCTCAAGTTCTTTAGATTCTATATTTCCCATACTACTCTTGCCCTCCCCCTATCTATTTTCTACCTACCATCTGTGCCACTTATTTCCTGTACCTTCTCCACCCTTCTCCTCCTCCCACTCCTCTGTTGCTAACCCTCCATGTGATCTTCATTTCTATGGTTCTGCTCCTCATCTAGCTGTCCTCTTAGTTTGCTTTTGTTTTAGGTGCGGTTGTTAATAACTGTGAGTTTGCTGTCCTTTCACTGTTCATCTTTTTTCTCTTCTTTTTCTTAGGTAAGTCCCTTTAACATTTCATATAATAAAAGCTTAGTGATGATGAACTCCTTGAATTTGATCTTATCTGAGAAGCACTTTATCTGTCCTTCCATTCTAAATGAAAGCTTTGCTGGACAGAGCAATCTTGGTTATAGGTCTTTGGACTTCATGACTTGGAATACTTCTTTCCATCCCCTTCTTGCCTGTCAGGTCTCTTTGAAGAAATCAGCTGACAGTCTGATGGGAACTCCTTTGTAGGTGACTGTCCCCTTAGCTCTTGCTGCTTCTAGGATTCTCTCCTTCATTTTAATCTAGGCTAAGTTAATTATGATGTGCCTTGGTGTGTTCCTTCTTGGGTCCAACTTCTCTGGGACTCTCTGAGCTTCCTGGATTTCCTGGAAGTCTATTTCCTTTGCCAGATTGGGGAAGTTCTCCTTTATTATTTGTTCAAATAAGTTTTCCACTTGTCGCTCTTCCTCTTCCCCTTCTGGTACCCCTATAATTTGGATGTTGGAGCATTTAAAGATGTCCTGGAGGTTTCTAAGCCTCTCCTCATTTTTTTGAATTCTCGTTTCTTCATATTTTTCTGTTTGGTCACTTTTTTCTTCCTTCGGGTCCACTCCATTGACTTGAGACCCAGTTTTCCTTCCATCACTATTAGTTCCCTGTGCATTTTCCTTCATTTCCCTTAGTGTAGCCTTCATATGTTCCTCTAATTTGTGACTATAATCAACCAGTTCTGTGAGCATCCTGATCACCAGTGTTTTGAACTGTGCATCTGAAAATTTGGCTATCTCTTGGTCACTTAGAATTATTGGCTCTGGGGCTTTGAGCTGTTCTTCTGCTTGAGCCATAATGTTTTGGTCTGTTCACACCTGTTATGTATGAGGGGCGGAGCCTTAGGTGTTCACCAGGTTGACGCCACCCAGGTCACTGGGTTGTGACGCTGTATGTGGGGGCGGGGTCAGAAAGGGAGCAATAGCAGTCCCCTCTGCTGCTTCCCTCCCGCTGGCGCCTGTGCCGTCTGTCTCACTGCTCGCTCCTTCACTGGTTTATCTGCGCGCGAATGTGTGAATGCGGTCAGCCTGCTGCCTTGCGCCCTCAGTGGGTCTGCCTGCTACTCCACACCTGGGATCCGCACACAGCTGCCTGCGCGCCTGGGTCAGTCCAGTGGATCTTTCCTGCCTGACCCCGTTCCGTTGCTGGCTTTGCCCCTCTTACCAGTCTGGCAGAAAAGTTCGTTGCTGTCGACTTCTGTACAGTTCAATTTTCTGTGTTTTGGCTGCGTATTCTGTTACTAAAACTTGTTGTCTTTAAACTTGGTTGTGTGAGAAGGCACAGTGTTTCCACCTATGCCTCCATCTTGGTGGAAGTCTGAAGCCACCCTTCTGTTGGGAACCATCCTGCCTGGTTTCGGGAAGCTGTAACCCCACTGACAAGTGAAAAGGCCCCACACCTAGGGGTCCTTGGGACATAAGCCACTAAGGAGACAAAACTTATCCTCCCAGCAGGGGTACAGCCCTCTGCCCCATCTACTTCACCCTGCTTGGCTCCTGGAGGGTGGCTGGATAGTCAGTGACAAGTGAGATGCCTCAAGGAATAAACAACCTAAGACAGGCATAGTCACAAAGGGGCCATCAGGGAAGGATTAGGGGATTGTGGAAGAAGGACAAAAGATCTTCACCCCTTGGCTTTATCATAGCCTGAGTCCTCAATCTATCTACAAAAATCTCCTAATCTCTTAGCTGTCTCGCTTCCCCTGCGTGATTTAGGTTTAAAACAATGCCAAAGGGAGGTGTGGTCCTGTGCCAGAATATGCAGTTCCCAGCACGGGGGGTGGGGGCCGTGGGGGGTGATCAGGCCTAAGAAAAAATTCATAAAGTCCTTTGAAATCTGCTTTGCTAAGAATGTGCTCAATTTAAATGTTAAGGGTCCAAGCACAAAATAAGTTTGTTTCCCCAGGTTTTACAGCTGATTGGTGTCACCCTGTCTACCAGACCCTGACTCAAAAAGGACCCCCAAACCCAGAAATGTTATCTGTAAACCATACCTCCTTTCTTTGACATGCATCCCTATGCAAGCTACACTCAACAGAAGCCCACTGTGAGAGAGCCTAAACATCTTTCTCCTCTGAGAGACTGGTCAGCCTTTCCTCCCCAAGCAGATCATGTCTTACTAGACTTATTCTCATCCGAAGCAGCAAGGGGAGCTCTATGGGAAAAAGCTCCCCCACAGCCTTCATGGGTGAAGTGCAGACACTGGGCTGCAGAATGCCAGCCAAAATATTGGCAGGAAGTCTACTAGCTTGAAACAAAGGCCCAATAAATTTTGATACACTTCTCTGCTCTCTCATCCCCATTCACCTTACTCCCACTAGAACTGCAACCCTATATAATATGTGACTTACAAAATTACACCATAAATTCGCAATGTAAAATATATTTTTCCTAAATTGTAAAATCCTGAGCTAAGTGGCATATTTGAAGTTACTGGTACAGAAGTAGTGGAAGACTCCATTCCCTTTCCTATTAGGTTTACTGAGGAAAAATCTACTCATTTCATTCTTGTACTGATGACTGAGACACTAAGAAATATCAGGTTAAAGAACATTCAACAATTTCACTTCTTTCATGTTTCACTACTAACATATAATAGGACAGTTTATGTATTAATCAATTATAACAAATTTTTAAAGATATTTTGTCTCAAAAATTCTCATTTCTATCAACCAATTTTTAAAAAAAGACTTAGTCTAACATCTTTAAAATGCTATAAAGCTGTATTTAGTTTATATGGTACTTAATATACACAAAATATATTAGACACTCTTAAATAAAGCATGCAATGTTCATTTCATAACACTGTTCTATCAGAAACTTTACTCAGCCTCAATGGTAAAATGTAATATTTTTTTCTAAGGAATATGTACTACTTTTATAGTTAGGAAGAAAAACAGAAAAATTGTGTGTTTTGGGAGGAAAAAAGTTAATGCTTACCCATATGTCTGATATTGTGTGAAATAATTTTGCCTTTTGTAAGTGACATCACTTGAATGCTATTATCCCAATGTCCAGCACTGAAAAGTAACTTCGCATCATGTGACACTATAAACAATTTAGAAGTGATCTCCAGCCCTGGAGCAAAAGGACCATTCAGACTACGCTGAGTTCTGCAAACACAAGTAAATATTAGACTTTTCCTTGAAAGAACATTTAGACTTAACTATTTTTAACTTCTCTAAAAAAGAAATGAAAAATAAGTCTGTTCAACCTTCAATCTGAAATGTTTCCTAACAAATGATACCTTCAGAAAATACATCCTTACTCCTATTTTCATGAAATAAAATTGTATATAACAAAGCCTCAAAGGTTATGCATTAAGAAACTAAGATTAACTGAGATTGGTGAAGGTGTGAAAAAATTTAAATCTTGCTTTTCAAAGCCAATTAATAAGATTGTAAAGTCTGTAAATAGCAGGCTCAAAGTATAGGGTAGGCAAAAGTGAACTTACAGTTGTTAATAATAAGTAATAATAAATAAATAATAATGCAAGAATAAACTGTGTATTGCGTACTGACAACTATAAACCTACTCTTGCCACCCCTGTATAAAGACAAGATAGTATGTACCAGGACCAGGAAAACTGGAAATAAACTGAAACTAGGGGTCTACTACACAGGCAGATAAATGTGTACCTGACGATACTCATGAAGATCATTTTCTATTCCAACCAAAGAAAGCATATGGGTTTTACCTGCTTCCCACTAAAATACCTGTGCACTTAGCTGATCTAAATTCTTCAGAAAGACACAAAAAGTGATTATACTTCAGTGCGTGTTATAGAAAATGAGAACCAATTCTGACACTTCGGCTCTAGACTTTCATTATTCAACATTAATTTGCTGAAGGTACACTTTCAGCAAAGCACAATGTACTGAAAATCCTATAGGATAAGTTCCTATGGAATAAGAAGGGAAAAATATCACCCTTTATATAGCTAAAACAACTCAAGAGTAAGGGAATCATCACCTAAACTTAGAATGTAACTTTTGGATACATTCTAAGTCTTATTAGATAAAACACACTGAGTCTTATTTGTAGATAATACTGTAGAACAAGCTGTGGCTGGTGTGGCTGAGTTGGCTGGAGCGTCATGACCAGAGCGCCCTATACCAGAAAGTTTGGGAGTTCAATTCCTGGTCATGGTGCATGTGGGAAGCAATCAATCAATGTTTCTTTCTTTAAAATTAATAAACATATTTTTAAATATTATATAATAAAAATGCAATTAAGCCTAAAACTACTCCTAGTAATTTTTCCTTCCATAATGGTATGATAGAAATTGTTTTCTCTTTAAACCAGTATCAAGTCAGGGGAATGGAAGGAAGAAAAAAATGAAAGAGGAAAGAAGGGAAGGAAGAAAGAAAAGGGAAGAGGAGGAAAGGAAAAAAGAAAGAAAATCTGGATGTCTACAATATTACTTTAGAAATGAAACCAATCAACCTAGCTGTTTTTCTTGGCAATAAGGTACTGTACTTCCTTTGCTTGAAATGTTCATTTACTTACTTTGGGTTTGTCACAGTTTGATCCCTGATGAATGTAAAGTAATTAGAAATGTTTCTGTCATAAGGCAACCATCCATGGGTTCCAATAACATAATTCATGCTTACTGTTACCTGGAAACAACATGAAGATGAAAATTAAATGAAAGATTAAACAAAGCAATACATAATAATCAAATGCTCGCATGTTAGCATTTATCATTTAGGGGAAATGAAGGACTGTGTGCTTAAAACATAAAACTTATTAAGAAAGGCTAAATAATTTAAATGAAAAATGCTCTTTGTTTTATTTAAAGAAAAGGTGTCCCATGTATCTTTCTTTAGTGAGATTCTTTTCCTCATAATCTCTCAGTTTATTAGTATCCATTAGTTGGCAGCCAGAAGTAATTAAGGGCCAACTCTTATCATAAAGTTTGATGTATATCATTTAGAACATGAATGAGTAGAACTTATGATGAATTGTTAAGCTCTCCCTTTAAGTGACAGTCATAGTGAACATTTTCTATTTATTTATTTTTAACTATTTTATTGTTCAGTTACAGTGAATATTTTCTTTTAAAAATGAAAAGATTTCTACCTTATGATTATAAAAGTAGATTACCAAAAAGAAAAATTTGATACTTTTTTAAAATATAGGTATTAAATCTGAAAAACCACAAGAATTCTACCACTCAAAAAGTACTGTTACTATTTTTGTATCTTTCTCAACCTTTTTTTTCTGAGTAAACACACAATATGCCTAATTAGGAAAAAGGTCTAATTCTGGAATCTCTACTGTTCACTCTGCTAGACTCCATTTCTATGATTTCTAAGTGATCGAACTGGAATAAGACAGACCTAGTTTGGGTCCATGCGCCAGGGTCCCGGGTCCCTTACTTGCTAGCTCGGTAACTATGAGCAAGTTACTTTTGAATTTTAAAATTTCTCGTCTACAGAAGAAAATAATAATACTGCATACTCACAGGATATCTAGATGGATTACATGACAAAATTCATGCAAAGCACTCACATGCATGCCCTGCATGTAAACCATAATCAATTCTGTATTATTTCTCATTTTCATAATTATTCCTGCTGTATAATAAATTTAATATGTAATAAGATGGGCTTTAAAAATACTTCACTTTTGATTTGAGACAAAAGGTAAAGGAGGGAGAAAGAAAGAGTGAGAAACATCAATGTGAGAGAGAAACATCAACTGGCTGCCCTGCACAGAGGCCCCAGGGGACCAACCCTGCAACCCAGGCCTGAGCCATATTGGCTAGGGCCTAATAGGATGTTATATCTTATTTTTTCTGTACAAAATTTCCTTGCATTTTCACATATTTACTATCCCAGATAAAGTTTTAAATTAGTTTTAAACTGTAATTTTAAACTACTTAAAATAAAAGCTGTAAATGGAAAATAAATGTAAATGGAAAATACATTTTTATTCTTGGTCTAATTCTATGCAAGTTTTTCTCTATTTTTCTAAAAAGCTTTAAATATTTTTTATTTTCTCAATTTTTTTGTAAGTTGTTATATATATGGCAGTGTGAAAAAGGGATAATCAACTTACCAGTAACTCAGGACTGCCTTGAGACATAAAAGAACGAGACTGATTTCTGGGGACAATGGCCTTTATTAGTGGAATACCATCACTAATTCCCTATAAAATAAAAGACAGAAGTTTAGTGGCTGATTCTACTTATCTTTAGTAGGCACAAACTATTCAAAACTTCTGTTTCTTTAACAAGAATGAACACCCTGTGATACAGCATTTTACTCTATCAAAACATATCACTGTTAAATTAAAATGTAAGAAAGAACCATGTTTGAATGGCATACTTGCAACTTCTGAAACCCATCACCTTCCTGTATTCCACCATTCTGCCATTAAAAAGAGATGTAAATTTCAAGGAGCATCAATCATTTAGGACCTTTCCCTTTCACTAGCCATACCGATATGAACATAAGTAGAAAAATACAGACTATATTAGGGTATACTTCTCAAATAAGTCAAATGGGAAAACTGGTTATATTTTAAAGAGATTTCCTCTGGATTTACCTTTATATTTTTTTAAGTGTAACTGCCACCTTTAGATTTTTAAGACCACTTTATTAAGGTATAATACATAAAAAACTGCACATACTGTATTTTGCCAAGTAGGATGTGCTCCTATGTATAATGCAGGCCCACATTTTCGGCCCAAAGTTTCAGAAATCAAGTGTTTCATTTTAATTTTTGAATTCAATTTTTATTTATTTATATTTAGATACTTATTTTTTGTAATATAAAGGAATTTTAGCATTTATTTTTGAACATATTATGGTACAGGAAATTTTATGCAACAAATCATTATAAAACATAAGAACAGATACAAGATATTTCAGGCACTACCCATTTATCATGAGCATCCTTTTTCTCCCCTCAAAAATTTGGGCAAAAAAGTGCACATTATAGTGCACACCAGCAAAATATGGTATTTAATGTATATAATTTGATAAGTTAGGATTCTATTTTTTTAAATATTTTATTTATTTTTTGAGAGAGGGGAAGGGAAGGAGAAAGAGTGGGAGAGAAATAGCAATGTATGGTTGCCTCTTATTTGTCCCCTGCTGGGAACTGGCCTGCAACCCAGGCACGTGCCCTGACTAGGAATCGAACCGCGATACTCTGGTTCGCAGGCCCGCGCTCAATCCACTGAGCTATGCCAGCCAGGGCCCAGGATTCTATTTTATATTCAGGCCTTTTTGCCTTCTGCATTAAATGTTAAATGCAAATCTTTTTTTAATGAATATTTTTTGAAAAGTTCATTTTTTAATTGAATTTTTCCATTACCATTTACATCCCCTATAGCCTCTTACCTACCCTGCAATAACCACACGATTGTACGTCAGTAGGTCCTTCTTTTTTCTCAATCCCTCACCCCTGACCCCTGTCAGTCTACTCTCTATCTATGAGTCTGTTTCTATTTTGCTTGTTAGTTTAATACATTTCTCAAATAAGTCAAATAGGAAAACCGGTTATACTCTAAAGAAATTTCCTTCTGGGTTTAACTTTGAACAAATAGATCTATTCCATTTACTAAGGCAGTCCCTGAAAGCTGCAATAGGACCAGAAAATAAAGATAGCCCTCGGAAAACATCTAAACACCTGCCATTATCTTATTACAATGTGAAGGAGAAGAACAATTGGTATTAAGGCTCTTGCTGTGACAATAGTTCACTACTGGGTACATATTATATGCCAGGTGCTATTCTAAGAGCTTTATATGAACTAAATAAAGAATTATAAACCGCATGAAGTCATAAATGATTAGACAGGATGAAATGAATTTTATCAGCATTATATAGTAAATGTAGTAATCAGGTTATGGGTTAAATGGGGTGTTATGGGTTGCCCTATGTGCAGTAAAGAGTTAACATAGCAGGACTGAGGTAACTCTCCTTGGAAAGGCCAGCCTTGCAGGCTGGCCCTTTCCTGCCATCTGCTAACTCCATGGGCAAAGAGTTCCTTACACTGATTTAAAACTTGTCTTCAATGAGAAGGGTGGCTATGCCTAGACAAAGAATATGGTTTATGCTTAACACCTGTTTTTCTTCTGAAAGCCTAAAATTTTGGCATGGTATGAAGAGGGTACCTATGTGACCAACCTCTAATAAAAACCTTGGGTACTGAATCTCTCTAATGAGATTCCCTGGCAGACCAAAAAACATGGTTTCTCATTTCATTACTGGAAGAATTAAGTATTTCCTATGCGACACCACCAGGAGAAGACTCTTTTCAATTGGTTTCCCCAGACTTTGCCCCATGTGCCTTTGCCTTTGCTGATGTTGCTTTCTATTGTCTCAATGAAATAAATCTTAGCTGTGAATACAACCATATGTTGAATCTGAGTTCTTCTAGAAAACCACCAAACCGGGGGTGGTCTTAGAAACCCAGAACACATCCTAGAAATTAGTCATTACTTCCAAACATTTTTTCCTATCTGTTCCAGGCAAATAAATGACTGAGATACTTTTAAAAAACAACCAGTTTTGCAGAACTTTGTCGGTTAAACATTAAATAACTATGTCAAGAAATGTGCATCTAGGAAAAGAATGACAAAAATTAATTTTGAACTGTTTTCACAAACATGTGAAAACATATTTAAATTAAAGCTATAATTTAAAGCTATATCAAAAATTATATAGTAAATTATGAAAAATTCTGTAAAGATTTCCCGTGATATTGAACCTAAGCAACACATTACAATCATGCCATCCCTGATGCAGAATATGACAAACTAGGCCTGCAGGACTCATCCAGCCTACTACCTGTTTTGGAGGTTGTAGGTAAGCTAAGAATGGTTTTACATTTTTAAATAGTTATTATACAAATATGCAAATACATATACACACACATACCTATACACACACAAACACCTAATAGTATCCTTGATTTTGTCTTTGACCACAAAATCCAAAATGTTTACTATATGACCCTTTAAGAAAAAGTTTACCAACTTCTGCTGTATTGCATGAGAATTAATGCTTTTCCTATGTATATCTCCAAACTATTCTTAGTAACTTTTTTGCCAAGAATGACTATTATCTGTCCAAACCAAATTCAAAGGTATAAATGCATTTCATATGCACATTCTGAATGATTCAAAATAATTCGGTACATACATTTAAACACTTAAATTGAAGGTACTCTCTTTTTTCAATTGTTCAAGTACCGTTGTCTCCATTTCCCCCCACTACTCCCCACAACCCCAGCCATCCCCACCTCCCACCCTCAATCCTATCCGCTTTGGCTTTGTCCATGGATCCTTCATACATGTTCCTTGACAACCCTTTCCACTTCCCCACCATTTTCCCATCCCCCCACTACTCTGGTTACTATCAGTTTGTTCTTTATTTCATTGTCTCTGGTTATATTTTGCTTGCTTGTTTGTTTTGTTGATTAGGTTCCACTTAAAGGTAAGATCATATGGTATTTGTCTTTCAACATCTGGCTTACTTAACTTAGCATAATGCTCTCTAGATGTTCACAGCAGCACAATATACAATAGCCAAGTGATAAGAGCAACCTAAGTGCCCATCAGTAAATGAGTGGATCAAAAAACTATGGTACATTTACACAATGGAATACTATGCAGCAGAAAGAAGGAGCTCTTACTCTTCACAACAGCATGGATGGATCTGGAGAGCATTATACTAAGTGCATAATAAGCCAGGCAGTGAAAGACAAATACCATTCATCTCACCTATAAGTGGAACCTAATCAACAAAACAAATAAGCAAGCAAAATCCATCCAGAGACACTGAAATAAAGAACAAAGTGACAGTAACCAGAGAAGAGGAGAGAGGAAAATAATATGGGAAAGAAGGGAAAAGGATGTAAGTGAACTTGAGGGACCCATGGACGAAGCCAAGGCAGGGTGGGATTGAGGGTGAGAGGAGGATGTGGGTAGGGTGGGAGAAAGTGGTGGTGGGAAAATGGACACAACGGTATTCAACCATAAATTAAAAAGTAAAAAAAATTAATATAAAAAAAAACCTATGGTACATTTACACAATACTATGCAGCAGAAGGAAAGAAGGAGCTCCTATCCCTCATGACAGCATAGATAATGGATCTGGAAGGTACCCTCTTTTTAAAAAATTGCTTTTTATTGATTTGAGAGAGACACATACACACATCGATTTGTTGTTCCACTTACCTATGCATTCATTGGATGATTCTTGTATGTGCCCTGACCAGAGACTGAACCTGCAACCTTGATATATAGGGAAAACGCTCTAACCAACTGACCTGCTCAGCCAGAGCACAAGGAACTCTTTTAATTACAGCATTAACTATCTTTGTTTTACCTGAGTACTCCTGATATTAGCAATTAACAATCTGACTTACTGGGCCACATTTTATACATGAGCAGACATTACAATTGAGTTATTTTAGACTCCTTCTACATATCTCAACTGTCACAAAAAGCAATTTAAATAAAATTATTTATTAAATGTGAAACAAGAAAGAAAGCTACTCAGTAGCAAATAAAAGCTTTGAATAAAATTGTTTTAAAAATTCAAGAACAGGTAATTATTTACTATTTTGGATTAAATATTAAAATCCACCCCCTATACTGAAGAGTAAAAGAAATGCTGAAGTGTATAGAATTCAGAGAGAGAGAGAGAGAGAAACTTTCTGCTATTACCAAGTTGGGTATTACCTCTATAAAAAATGACTTCAGTTCAGGGAGGTGCTGAAATAGGTTTAGGGTTGAAGTCTCAGTTCTGGTCTGCTTCTGTACTGCTTCCTCTGCTGATAATCTAGGAGGGTGTGGTTCCTTTAAAATAATTTTAAAATAATAATTTCATAATTATATTAAACATATCTCACTGTATTCCTCCATATATATTGGACTCTAGCTACAATGGATTACATATCATGCACTATTGTTCTATTCTCTCAGCAGAGTTCCTACCATCTTCATTTCTTGAGAAACCCTATTTCTATTTTAAAGTTTTTCTTACTGGTGGTACCTTCCTAAATATCAAAGTAACAATTACTCTCATACTATTTTCCTGAGCCCACTGCTTTAATATTTTATTTAGCACTTATTTCTTTCTATGTTGGATTACATATAGTACTTATTTATGGTCTCTGTTTTCCTATCAGAAAATAGGTATCATAAAGTAAGAAAACAAGTCTTATTCATTTGTGGATTTTCAACACCTAGAATAATATCTTAAAGCATCATAGTAGATGTTTAATAACTGCTTGGTAAAATTAAACATATTATTCAAAAGTCAAAAGTTGCAATATGGGTGAAACTTTAATTCTTGAAATAAGATAAAAATGCCAATATTAACAGAATCAAATTAGAGATGTGGCTGAATTTTTTCAAATAAATTATTCTTTCTTAACTTTAATGCCAGAGACATAGAACAGTATCTTTATAAATAAAAAGAAAGTAACAAATCAAGTTAACACTGCAAATGAACTGTTAAAATGTAGAACAGAATCTTATCTCAAAGGGATTCTTCTACTTGGACTTCCATTCAGCATGGCAACATGGTAAATAAGCTCACCTCCTCACACAACCACATAAAAATTACAACTCGACTACAGAACAAACACTATGCATAACCACCAAAACTAGAGCTGAATGAAGTCCTACAAATACAGAATTAAAGGACAAACCACATCAAAACTGGTAAAAGATGCAGAACGGGCTGGTCTCACACCAACATGTGGCAGATAATATCAGGAGGGATATCTTGGGAACAGCTGGTCCCACACTAGGCACCCCCAGCCCAGGATTTTAGTGCCAGGAATATAAGTCCCCTTAACCTCTGGCTGTAAAAACCAGCAGATATTGAGGCTATGGAAGAAGACAGAAACTTCCAGAGTCCCAGGCAGTCCTCTTAAAGGGCCTGTGCTGGGATTTCCTCAGACTCACTCCCTCTGAGCACCAGCGTGGGAACAGCATATCTGGAGGCACAAGAGGCATACAAAAAGGAAATGAAGAGTCTGGCATCAGGGTGAGAGCTGGGGGAGCTCTGTCCCAAAGAGAAGTGATGGAAAAAGCTATTTTTCCTTTTCTGAGCCCACTGCCCACATAGTGGACAGACAGGTGCAATGTGTGAGACTCCATCAACCTGGCTCACACTGTTTGCCCCACCCTTGTGATTCCCTGAGGCTCCACCCACCCTAGTTTTTTCCAGGGGCTTTTCCGTATGAATGGCTTATCTTGGCTCATACTTCAGATTTTCCTAAATTCTCTCATGCAAGCAGCTTCTGGCCTCAGCATGCCACATGCCTATTGCTAAGTGGTCTCAGGCCTGGCACTAGCAGCAGCTACTCTTGGCTCACAGCTTGGACTTGTTTAAGCACCTCCAAACCCAGTGCAGGTAGTAGTCAACTGCACATGGCTTTGTAGCTTATGTTGGGTAGCCCTGGTCAAAACACAGGTGGTGGCATTAAAAATAAACTGGCAGTATTACCCAGCGATTCCACTTCTAGGAATGTATCTGAAGAAAACCAAAACATTAATTCTAAAAAAATATTAAGCACCCCGACATTCACTGCTGCATTATTTACAATCAAGATATGGAAGCAGCTCAACTGTCCATTAGTAGATGAGTAGATAAAACAACTATGGACATTTACACAGTGGAATACTACTGGGGTGTAAAAAAAGAAAATTTTACGCTTTGCAACAGCATGGATGGACCTGAAGATCATCATGCTAAGTGAAATAGGCAAGTCAAAGAAAAACAAATACCATATGATTTCACTCACATGTGGAATATAATGAACAAACTGAACTAATAAGCAAAACAGAGACAGACAAATAAATGGAGACAAGGTTGACAGCTCTGGGCAGGGGGTAGGGAGTGGAGGGATCAAACAAAAAAGAAAAAGGGCTCAGGGACACAGACAACAGTGTGGTGATTGTCGGGGAGGGGATGAGTGGCTGGAGATGGAAATGGGTGTAAGGGGGATAATGGTAATAGAAAAAATACAATAAAAAATAAACTATTGCCCTAGCTGGCATGACTCAGTGGATGGAGCACTGACCAGCAAACTAAAGGGTTGCTGGTTCAATTCCCAGTCAGGGCACATGCCTGGGTTGCCATCCAGGTCAGGTCCCCCGGAGGGGGCACACAACAGGCAACCACACATTGATGTTCCACTCCCTCCCATCCCCTCTGCCTAAAATAAATAAAATTTGTAAAATAAATAAAATATTTAAAAGAGTAATTATATATGTACATTTCAGACTATGATATTTTGTTATTTCAAAACAGAAACATTTAAATCTATTTTTTATTAAGTGACAGAATATTTTTCTCAAATCCATTTTCCACATTATCTAAATAATTCTCAAATAAGGTTTTAAATCACTAAAATCCTTGGAGGTAGGTAGAAACCCTGTGCCTTCTTGCACAACCAAGTTTAAAAACAACAAAGTTTTTGCAACAAAAACGCAGCCAAACCACAGAAAATTGAACTATACGGAAGTCTGACAGAAATATGAACTATACAGAAGTCTGACAACAATGAACCTTTCAGCCAGACCCAGCCAGACCAGTAAGAGGGGCGAAGCCAGCAGCGGAGCAGGGGGTCTGGCAGGAAAGATCCACTGGACTGACCCAAGGCATGAGACCCAGCCCACAGGCAGACATGGGCGGATCCCAGGTGTGGAGTAGTGGCAGGTGGACCCACTGAGGGCGCAAGGGGGCAGACCCACTGAGGGCTGACCGTGGTCACACATTCACACGCAGATAAACTGGTAAAAGAGCGAGCAGTGAGACAGACGGCGCAGGCCCCAGTGGTGGGAAGCAGCACAGGGGACGGCCATTATCCCTCTCTGACCTCGCCCCCACAGACAATGTCACAACCCAGTGACCAGGGTGGCCCCGCCCTGGTGAACACCTAAGGCTCCACTCCTCATATGTAACAGGCGCAAACAGACCAAAACATGGCTCAAGAAAAACTCAAAGCCCCAGAGCCCATAACTCTAAGCGACCAAGAAATAGCCAAACTTTCAGATGCACAGTTCAAAACACTGCTGATCAGGATGCTCACAGAATTGGTTGATTTTAGTCACAAATTAGAGGAACAACTGAAGGCTAAACTAATTGAAATGATGGGAAATGCACAGGAAACCAATAGTAATGGAAAGGAAACTGGGACTCAAATCAAGGGAGTGAAACAGAAGGAAGGAAATAATGGCCAAACAGAAAAATATGAAGAAACAAAAATTCAAAAAAATGAGGAGAGGATTAGGAACCTCCAGGACATCTTTAAACGCTCCAACATCTGAATTATAGGGGTACCAGAAGGGGAAGAGGAACAGCCACCAGTGGAAAACTTATTTGAACAAATAATAAAGGAGAATTTCCCCAATCTGGCAAGGAAATAGACTTCCAGGAAGTCCAGGAAGCTCAGAGAGTCCCAAGGAAGTTGGACCCAAGAAGAAACACACCAAGGCACATCATCATTACATTAGCCAAGATTAAAATGAAGGAGAGAATCCTAGAAGCAGCAAGAGATAAGGGGACAGTCACCTACAAAGGAGTTCCCATCAGACTGTCAGCAGATTTCTCAAAAGAGACCTTACAAGCAAGAAGGAGCTGGAAAGAAGTATTCCAAGTCATGAAATCCAAAGACCTACAACCAAGATTGCTCTGCCCAGCAAAGCTTTCATTTAGAATGGAAGGGCAGATAAAGTGCTTCTCAGATAAGATCACAATCAACGAGTTCATCATCACCAAGCCCTTATTATATGAAATGTTAAAGGGACTTATCTAAGAAAAAGAAGATAAAAAATAGGAACAGTGAAAGGACAGCAAACTCACAGTTACTAACAACCACACCAAAACAAGAGCAAACTAAGAGGACAGCTAGATGAGGAACAGAACCATAGAAATGAAGATCACATGGAGAGTTAGCTACAGGGGAGTGGGAGAAGGAGAAGGGGGGAGAAGGTACAGAAAATAAGTAGCAGAGATGGTAGGTAGAAAATAGATAGGGGGGAGGGCAAGAATAGTATGGGAAATACAGAATCTAAAGAACTTGAGACACATGGTCATAAACTAAAGGGGGGAATGGGGGAGGTGGTGTGCAGGGGGGAAGGCGGTGTGCAAGGTGCAGGGGAATGAAGGGGGGGAAACAGAACAACTGTAATGACATAATCAATAAAATATATGTTAAAAAATCCTTGGAAATACTGGTACTATTCCACAGCAATTATATTCTAGACTTATATAATCAATAACTTTTATGATTTACCTTTAACAGTTGACAAGGTGTTTGCCCAAAATTATTAATCATCCCTTCTAAGGCTTTCCTTTCCTTTTCATCTGTTAAGGCATCCAGATCCACAGCTCCTAAAATCAGCAGTAGTCAACTCACTATACAGTGAAAAATAAACCAGCAAGCCAAACAACTGATTGATATGTCAGAGACTGATTAGTACACTTTCATGAAAATATTATTACATTTTTTAATTTACAAAAACATTTTAGAGAGGTAATATTTTCAAAAATAGTAAAAGATCAAAATTAAATGTGTAAACAAAATTTTATCTACTAGATATAACTAAAATATTTTAAACAAATTTAACAGGCAGTCTATAAGTTTCTCCTAGAAAAATGCAAACTCTACTCAGAGAATACTTAATTGTTTTCCTCATGAGAGTCAAGTTCAACAAGAGTAAGAACCACACAAAAATACGGCCATAAATTACTGTTTATCTAATAAATGCTAGGGAAGGTATTATTAGGGGTAAATGATTATACTCAGCCATACGTAATATGAATCCTTACATGGCTAATAATTGGCTAAAGTAGGCCAGTGTGATTCCAAACTCTATGCTTGTAACCACCATGCATACTACCTCCCAACAAACTTTTATAGAAGGAAAAAATACTTGTCTATTTACAAAACATCACATGTGCTCTGCTAAAATTCATATAACTTCATACTATTCACAATCTTCACAACTGAAGGATTAGAAAAGGAAGAATTGCTTCTATTTCAAAGCCTTCAAAATTGTTCTTGATCCTGAGCTACTAAACATTAGAACGTCATCTTTATCATTTAAAGAATTGTTATTTGTAATTCTAAAGGTCTTCTTTCAAAGTCTACTAAGACTTTAATACTAAATATTTAATGTAGGGCCTGACTGAATAGGACACATATGGCCAGGGATCAAAAACTAATATGCCACCAGTAATTGACACTTATAATTAGATTTGCACATATATATTCTCATAACTACTTTTTTTTTTTACAAAAATAGGTCTCTTATCTTTCAAATAGAAAAGATCACTAAACTATTTTTAAATGTAGTTTCACATATTAAATAGTTATATCTAAAACACCATGTTATAAACTCATATTAAATAATACTTTTTATCAATATAATGAAAAAAAGTATATCGGCTTATACCTTCATAAGTGCAGTAATAGAAAACATTGAGTGCCTCCACTGCAGCTGGCCCCCTCTGTTTATAGCCAAAAATCAGATCTATCCATTCATGAAGATGAGCAGAAACATATTCAGACTCCTAGTAAAGAATAAGTAATAATTAATATGAAGATACCTTCTAACTGCAATGTAGAGATGGGCCCTTTAAAAAAGTAGGAGCAAAGTAAACATTTCCACATAAAATCTTACCACTGTAAGTAAAATTATCTCAAAATCAAGTTATTTATTCATTGTGTACTACATATATTGACTATATTCTATCTTATACACTGTAGGCATCATATTTATTAACACTACATATGCATCTCCTAATTAATGAGTGAAAAAAACACATTTTCAAATAGCCCAAGTATTAATGACAAAAATTAATGAGAGCTCTGAAATGCATCTTTGTTGTAAAATTTCCATTGAAATAATTGTTTAGAAATTCAACTCAAAGAAACACATGACGGGATAGAAGAAAGATTCTGCAAACCATTCCCTCACCCCATCCCACCAAGAGGTAGACTGGGGGTGGGCAGAGGCGTGGACTTCTGGGAGCCTCCACGATGGTTTAAAACCATAAGGAAATTGTTATTAGAGATAGGAGGAAAGGGGACTCAATGTTTTAGTCACATGAAAAAATAGAAAGGATAGATAATGAACTCATGGATCTAGAGATGGAGATTTCCAGGCAGAATATTTTAAAATGCTAATTAGTTTCTTTTTAGCTGCCTGTGATAAAGTGTTGGAGGAGTAAGATGAGTTAGGAAAAAAATAACTGAGTTTTAAGCATAATTTTTTAAAAATATAAAGGTGTCAAGTCTTGCTGGGTTCAAAATAAAATTATTTCTTATTTCCAGGATGACTAGAGAGTACAGACTCCTAAACTCACAAATGGCCCAAGTCACTCAATAATCAAAACAGTGTCACCAGTAAAATACGGCCTCAGGCAAAAGTTTTGTTCAGGAGTATGGCTGTCAATCTGTTGAGAGCCTTTTCCCTCACTGACACACTAAAAACAACAGAGCATATCTTAAGAATATTAAAGAAAAAAATGACAATGCAAAAATGGAGTCACTTGTGCAAACCAAGACTTAATATCTAACCTCGTTGCAATTTCAGTCTATCCCAGGAATATGACCTTTAACCAATCTAGAATTACCCAATCAGTACTAATGAGGTAATCTGAATGACAGGCCCCAGCCTTTCCCGCAAAGGAAGGTGACCTGCCTGAAACAATCCACTCTGTCAGACTTCCTTTTCCTGCCCTGTTCTGCCTACAGACCCTTCCATTTTGCACAGTATCTGGGAGCTCCTTTCTATATGGTAGATGGCACGCTGCGTGAATCATGAATCACTGAACAAAGCCAATTAGATCTTCGAATCTACTGAACTGAATTTTGTTTTTAAACAACAATCTTAAGAGCTTTTTCCCATAGTAGCCCCCCACTCAGGCCCAAAGAGATATGGGGCTGTTCTGTAAATTAATATGGAAGGTTTTTGTCCAACAGACTGGATGCATAAGAAACCCACAAAATTTTACATGAAACTGTATTAGTTCATCAGTCTGAAAGATGTCGAAACTGTTCAAAAAAGGAAGCAGACCTTTGGCTTCCAAGTTACTATGGTTACGAGGCTGCCCAAAACAGTCATGGACCCTCTTTGTCAAAGGCACTCTTTTCATTACAAAAAAATTTATTTTATTTTTTTAATTTTATTTATAAAATAGCCATGGAAAAGTGTGGAAGCTTCCACTTTTGCACTCTTGGGGAGCCCTGAGCCACCACGGAAGAAGCCTGACTACTCAGGTAGCGAGCACAGGAGGAGGAGCCATCCGGAGACTAGATGGAGAGGGAGGAAAGTCCAGCAGGTCGGTGTCTCGGTGAAGCCAACATGACTTTAGCCTCAGCTGTCATTTAAGTCCAGGGGCATGAGAACCTCAATCAAGGCCAGGAGAATTATTCAACTGAGACCAGTCAATTCACAGAACTGTGACAGATCATAAAATGGCTATAGTTTAAAGCCACTAACTACATTTTGGAATACAGTGGAACTTCGGTTCTCAAACATAATTCATTCCAGAAAACTATGCAAGGAGTGATCTGTTCAAAAACTGAATCTCCTTTGTTGCCTGAAAGATGCATAACTGATGATACCAGTATCAGCATGAAAAGGTTGTCACGCCGAGAACTGAAGTTCTGTTCAACAACCAAGACTTTTATCTGTCAACAACTTGGTGGAAAACCAAACTGTTCGAGATGGGAGGCATTTGAGAACTAAGATTTGACTATAGTTTGTTACACAGAAGTTCGTATCTGAAATACAGACTTCTAACATCTTATTAATAAGTAACATGCTCTCCTGAAATCCTGGACCCCCGCTGCATGCCATAGGTAATACAGAGAAAAGCATCTGAGAAGCTCCTAGTTACCTATAAAAAACATGATGTTTGGGAATTGCTTTATTCATTAATAGGATCATGGCTTACCAATATTATAATCTTCTCCTGAATATTGTAAATTTAACTAAATACTACTGATGAGGAATGTTTCCAAGTATTGGCCTAATCAGTTTTAGAGTCTGCAACATTTCAGTTTATATAGAAAACTAAGTAGGCTACTGCAGAGCAAAAAAAATACATTACCTGCAAGATAAAAATACTGCAATACAATATCAACATTAACCTAATTTTTCGATTCCAAACAGAAAATTTAGCTAAAAAACTAGTAATATTCTTTCAGGGGCATTTAGGGTTTTGTTGTCTTAGTAAAAACTTACTGAAATCCTTCAGAGAAAACAAAAGCCCACTTATCCTTATATTAGATTTAAAACAAATGTATAAACTACAAAACATCAAACTACACCCTGCCAGGTGACTGAAATAGTTTCACATACAACAGGCAGATTCCTTATAGACCTGAAATTCTTTTGCTATTTATCCATAGAACTTTACTATACTTTTACTATATCAGAAGATTCATTACCTTGAAATAAATCACTACACTACACTTTCTAAAACATCATATATGAGATTACAAATTAATCTAGAAAAATAATAGTCAGATATACTGAATTTCATCCTCTGGAAAACACATTTTTATCTTAATCTCTCTAATAACTAAACACGAAAGTCTTACCAGAGCTTTCCTATGTTTATAGATGAAATCTTCAGCTGACTTGGCCCATTTGGGGAGAATGACATCATTTACTTGTTCTTTAGAAACTTGCAGACGACCCAAGTTAAATTCTAAGACATGTAAAAGATAAATGTATCAAGTCATTTTAGCTTTAAATAAATCAAGCAGAATAAATATGAGGGCACATTCTTTAGCAAACCTGGAGGCTTTTTTCTTCAAGAGTGAAATGTGAGAATTAAGTTCCTTTTTCTTTCTAATCCCCACACAAGGATATGTTTTTCAATAGAGAGGGGAAAAAAATCAACGTGAGAGAGAAACATCAATTGGTTGCCTCCCCATACTCAGTCCAACCCGAACCTGCAACCCAGGCATGTGCCCTGACTGGGGATCCGAACCACAAACTTTTGGTGTACAGGACAATGCTCCGCCAACTTAGCCATCCAGCCAGAGCTCAAGTTCCTTTCTTGACCTAAATTTACAGAACCACCCTGACCTTGCTGGGTGTTTCAGGTGGCTGGAGCATCACCCTTACGTCAAAAGGTTGTGGGTTAGATCCCTGGGTTGGGGTGTGCAGGGAGGCAGCCTAGAGATATTTCTCTCTCACATCGATGTCTCTCTCTCCCCTTTCCTCTCTCTCTAAAATGAATTAAAAAAATATCCTCGGGTGAGGATTAAATTCACTGGATAAGAATAATTCTTATATATTGGAATACATTTATCAGTTGATTAAAAAGGTAAATGAAAATATATTGGGTTGGCAAAAAAATCTGTATGCCTTTTTCCATAAAAGACACATTTTCATTTTCACCAGTAACTTCACTGATTTAGATATTTTGAGTATGTTGGCTATCTCCCATGTGATATAACATTGACTGTTCTCAGTTAATGTCTCAGTTTGATCACTATCAACTTTAACTGGTCTACCCGACCATGAAGCATCACCTAGAGAGAAATCTCCAGCAAGAAACTTAGCAAACCACTTCTCACACATTCGATCAGATTCAGCAACTTCTTCATACATGACACATTTTTTTGCATTTGTTTCATTTTTACCTTTCTTGAAATAATAAAGCATAATATGCTGAAAATGTATACTTTCTTCCATCTTTAATATTAAAATGGCTACACAAAAATCCACTGATTTTGATTAGCTTTTAAAAATACACGCTGATATGACAGATGTCACAATAGAATCTAATGACATTGTTTCAAATGAAGTTAAAGACAACTAAGCATTACTAAAGCTATCTTATTAAAAAAAAACCCAAACAAACTTTTTGGCCAACCCAATAGTTTTTTTTTAAGGTTTTTATTTATTTTAGACAGAGGGGAAGGGAAGGTGAAAGAGAGGGAGAGAAACATCAGTGTGTGGTTGCCTCTCATGTGCCCCCTACTGAGTTCCTGGCCTGCAACCCAGGCATGTGCCCTGACTGGGAATCAAACTAGTGACCCTTTGGTTTACAGACTGGTGCTCAACCCACTGAGCCTCACCAGCCAAGGCCAAATAGTTTTAAATTGGCTGTTAAAAGGTAAATCAAATTAATAGTTGATATTTTTTGAGAAAACGGAGGGAAGCTACAGCTATGACCAAAACCTTAATCTGAACAAAAATGCAAGATTAAGTATTCATTTTAAATTAAAAAATAATTAACATACATAATCCCTTTAATGGTTAATTTACAAAATATAACTCCTTAAAGCTTTCTAGATTAATTCATACCTTAAACTCACTTTAACATTTCTGTTTGCCTTATGGAAGAACAATATGTTTATTAACATATACCACTATTCTAAATAGATACTGACATAAAGATTTACTCATATAGCTAAAACCCAAAGATGAAGTTTTCTTGTTCATACAGTGTGGGAAGGGAAAAGTGTTAACACAAAAGACCTTCATAAAAAGAGCTGCCTTAAAATATCAGTGTGACTCAAAGTAGGAGGTTTAATGTCACAGGATGACAGGACAGCGTCAGTAGCTTTGTTAACTCAACCACTGTGTAGCAGACATTGTTTGTCGGCTGCCTGATAGCCATTCCCTGCTTTGCAGCAGAACCTTGATTTTATGCAAGTTGTCTATCCCACCCTGTAATTCATGCCTGTTTAGGTGACTGGTGTAGAGGCTGGTATGACCCAGCCCCGGGGAATGGGAGGAAGTTATGAGAAAGAGTTTCTCACTCTTAAGAAGTAACAAAAGAAATCAACATTCTCACTTTTTTCTAAGACACTAAGATATCTGCCTATGATACCTAGTACTGAATTAGCCATTTGTAACCATCAGAGGAACTATCTAAAGACAAAGCCAAACACTTAGAACAGCAGAGTAAAAACATAGAGAACTTGGATGCTATCATGAAGCCACCCGAGGTTTTTATGGGGGAAAGGTTTTTACCTCAAGGTTTTTATGAGGGAAAATACTAAAATCTTCTTGCTTACACAATTTTGAGGTGTTTTAAATTAATATCTATTTTACTAATACAATACTAATATTAATATCTGTTGGCATTCTAACTAATATACTTTGCCTTTGCTCACCTACTTCATTTCAAACAAAGAGGCAATGTACAGTTAGAAATGGAGGCCACCAGAACAATAGTGCGGGAGGGCAAACTGGCTCTAGTGAATGTCAGAAATTGTCGAGCTGTGAGTACCTTAAATTCTGCATCCAAATGTAGTCTGCACAATCTGCCTATCCCAGATATCCTACTTTAGGAGACTCCAGTCCTGTGACTGACTGAGAGTCTAGGACCAGACTCAGTCAATAGAATCACTTGATTTTCTGGAAGGGACCAATTCTAACTACCTTACTGGAGAATCAGACGCCCTGCCTCCCACAGCCTGGCCCAGTGTGCCTGAACAAAGGACATGAAGCCCCAAGTACGTTCTCTCCTGCCTGACAAGTAATACTACTGAGCAAGCAAAAGGTCCAACATTAGCATGACATGCTAGGGGAAGAAAGAAGAAGCTGGTAACGGTCCTTTGGAACTGCGAAATTTTCCCAAAGAACACCAGTGGTAACAGTCTTGCTGATTTCCTTATCTGTACTTAAACTAAATCAAACACTACCCCATAGAAAGTTTTTGGATATTTTTAAAGATTATAATTAGCTTCATGAGTCTCTCCTTCAAAAACATGATTTTTCAAATACTATGGTACCTTATGCCATCATTAAGTTCAATCTGCCTCCTGTCTTCTGCTTTAAATCAGGACAAACTTTTAAAATAAAGGGTCAAATAAATATTTCTGGCTTTGTGATCCCCATGGTCTCTGTTGCAACTACTCAAATCTGCTGTTATACTGTGAAAGCAGTCACAGTCTGTATGTAAATGAATTGGCTGGCTGAGTTCCAACACAATTTTATTTATAAACATCTGCCTACAGATCTAGCCCATGGACCTACAGTTTGCTGATCCCTGGTCTCAATCCTCATCTTATCTAATTCAAACACTTCTAACCTAAGTGGCTATACAGCTGAAATGGTGTAGGGTCATTTTTTGCTTCTCTAGTAAATGCTGTATTTTGACAAATTCTTTCACCAACTTACATCTTGATCATTTATCTTACTTCACTGGGGCACTTCCCTGGAAGGTGAGATGAGTACCTGGACATAGAGAAGCCCTGTCTCTGAGTAATACACAGACAGAATGAATCTTAAATAATCTGTAGGGCATCACAAAGTAGAGCATTATGCTAAGTGAAATAAGCCAGATGGTGAAAGACAAATACCATATGATCTCACCATTAATAGGAACCTACTCAACAAAACAAGCAAGCAAAGTATAGCCAAAGACATTGAAATTGAGAATAGGCTGACAGTGATCAGAGGGGAGAGGGGAGCAGATAATGGGGAAAAGGGTGAAGGGTCTACAGAAACAATTATAAAAAACATATGGACAATAACGAGGAGGGTGTGGAAACAACGAGGGAGGTGGGAAGGGCTGGGGCGGTGGGGAGGGGTGGGGGGAAAGGCAGAAAACTGTACTTAAACAATAAATAAATGACCTGAATAAATAAAAAGATTTAACATATTAAAACAAAACAAAACAAAAATATCCTGAAAGATATTTTTCAGGCTCCTCCACTGGGACCAGTTGAGTCAAAATTTTAATCTTCTATATCTTACGATTTTGATTTTCCAAGAACTCTGGGAAATAGAAGAACTCAGGAATAAGTTCCTTCACATCATTTGGACTGTCCATGAGAGTCTGCCAGGTGGCAGGGATGGAGTGGAATTGCCGATCTGCACAATCGAATCTGCATGCGGAGATTGAGAGAGAACAGTGAATGCTGAATGAAAGCGACAACATGCATGCAATAAACCTTTAAACTCAAGTTTCCTAATGCTTAGTCTCTCTTTTCTTAATATTTCTATTTAATGTCTAAACACACAATTTGCTCTCCTTCTTATACTATCTTTCATACTTTGCTGTCAGGAACTAAATACCATCCTTTTAAACACTAGCATCATTTTAGTTAAAATAGCTGAAAACCAAATAACGCTGGAGAAAAATTTTAAGCAATGAAATATAAACTGAAATAAAAGCCTAAGACACCTTAAAAATAGCACTTTTAAAAAAATTACAGTTTACATTCAATACTATTTTGCACTAGTTTCAGGTAGACGAACTTACTGGTCAGTCACATACCCTCCGAAGTGCTCCCCCTGCTGTAAGCACCCGCCTGGCACCGTGTGTGCTAACCACACCATCACTGACTGCATTCCCCAAGCTGTACTTGACATCCCCATGCCTGTTATGTAACTACTCATTTTACTTCTTAATCCCTTTAAAAAATGGCACAATTTTTGCTCAGTAAAATTTATTACAGAATGTGAATAAATATTATTTGGATATTTTAAAATCACAGAGTTTAAATATCAAAGTATAGTATTAATATATGTGGTAAACAGATCTTTAAAAATGCTGCTGACTTAACCCTTGATACATAAATATCTTTATAAACTCTTCCATTAAAAATCAGAGGGTGATTGAGAGAAATAGCTCTGTGGCTAAAACTCTTGTATTTTACTTGCATATAATATTATCTTATTTTAACCTTATTTTTTAAGGATTTTATTTATTTATTTTTAGAGAGAAGGGAAGGGAAGAAGAAAGAGAGTTAGAGAAACATCAATGTGTGGTTGCCTCTCACATGGCCCCCACTGGGGACCTGGCCCGCAACCCAGGTATGTGCCCTGACTGGGAATTGAACTGGCGACCCTTTGGTTCGCAGCCTGTGTTCAACCCACTGAGCTACACCATCCAGGGCTTAACTTTATTTTTAAGTCCCATCATGGCTGTGTGGTAGTTGAAAAAAGTTCAAGCGGTCATGCTGTAATTTTACTATGCTTTCTCTTACCTCAAAAAGCATAAACTCCTTGTTTTTTCTCCTTTGATATTGTTTTCCTGGACTTATTTAGTAATGACTTACAAAGTGACACTGATGACTAATTTGACTCTTTTTACGCCTACAAATCTTGGCTTGAGGTTAAGCTAAACTTAGCAGAACTCTGAATTTAATTATTGTCAATGATTGGTTCGTCAATACAGTCTAATGATGATATATCTGAATTCAAGAAGAAGTACAGCCTTTTTTTTTTCCTTGATTACATTTCCTCCCTTGTACAATTTCTTTTTTTTTTTAAATATTAAATTTTATTTAGTTACTTTTCAAGTACATTTTTTTTTCTCTTCCCCCCCCCCCCGCCCGGTCTCCCTCCTCCCTCCCATTCCCCCCCCCCCCAGTCCTCATCTCTGTGTCTTTCATACTTGTTCCTCAAAATCCCTCCCCCTTTTTCCCCTTAAGTTCCCTTCCCTCTCCCCTCTGGTCACTGCCCACTTGTTCTCTATTTCAGCGTCTTTGTTTTTATTCTGTTTGCTTGTTTGTTTTATTCTTTAGCTTCCTGTCAAAGGTGAGCCTTTAATGGTAGAATCTTTTTGTTTGTGTGGGAGAGAACAGCTTTACTGAGATATTAATAACATACATATAATTCACTCTTTTTAGGTAGAAAATTCAGGAGTTTAAGGTTTTCAGTATATATACAGTTGTACATCCACCACAATAAGTTTTATGACATTTTCATCACTCCAAAAAGAAAAGTTGTGTCTGTTAGCTGTCACTGTTCCTTCCCCTACTTCTACCCCTGATCTACTTTCTATCTCTGTGAATTCGCCTATTTTGGACATCTCATATAAATCATACAAGATGTGGCCATTGTGCCTGGCTTATTTCATTTAGTATATTGTTTTCATGGTTCATCCATGTCACAGCATGTATCAAACTTTCACTCCTTTTATTCAGTCATGACCAAATAAGATTCCATTATATGGGTATATATTTTATTTATTCCTAATCAGCTGACAGACATTTGGGTGTTCCCATTTTTGACTATTACATATCATACTGCTATACATGTTTGTGTACGAGTTTCCACATGAGCATGTTTTTAATTAACTTGGGCATATATACTCAGGAGTGGAATTACTATATACTCAGGAGTGGAATTACTAAGTCACATGGTAATTCCACATTTAACCCTTTGAAGAACTGTCAGACTGTCTTCCATGATGCAGCCTGTGGAAAACAGTAGATAAGGGTTCCAATTTCTCAGCATACTCATTGACATTAGGTATTATCTCTCGATTATACCCATCCTGGTGGATGTAAAGAGGTATTTCGATTTAGATTTAAATTTCCCTGATGGCAAATAATGCTGTGCATCTTTTCATGTTTATTGGACATTTGTAGATCTTCTTTGGTAAAATGTCTCTTCAAATCCTGTGTGTCCAGTAGTTAATTCGTTCATTTGTCCTTTTATTATTGTGTTGTAAGGGTTTCTAGTTACAAGTCCCTTATCAGCTACACAATTTGCAAATATTATCTCCCACTGAATGGGCTGTCTTTTCACTTTCTTAATATTCTGTGAAGTACAAACAGGATCTATTTTTGAAGCTCTAAAAATAATTTATTCATAAAATCATTAAAAGCTGGGAAAAAACAGTTATACTTCACTAGAGGGGAAATTACTTGCTGTCATGGTAAATGTAACATTTGGAGATGTATAGTGATCTTGAGGACAGAGTCTCTTCTTGGAAACCAGCTTAATGTTCTAAAATCAGGAATAAGGGACCCGTGCTAATTTTGAGAGAGAAAAACTACATGTAGCCCTGGACAGTGTGGCTCAGTTGGTTGGAGCACTGTCCCATAAACTGAAGGGTCACAGGTTTGCTTCCCAGTCAGGGCACATACCTGGGTTATAGGTTCAGTCCTGGTTGGGGCACATATGAAAGGCAACTGATCGATGTTTCTCTCCCTCTCCCTCCCCAACCTTTCCCTTCTCTCTGCAATCAGTAAACATATCTGTGGGTGAGGATAAAAAATAAATAAATAAAATAAAAAGCCATATATAAAGACAGTAGAATAGGCAATGTTTCTATAGCTCTTAATTGTGTAGGAAAGGCAAACGGTAATGTTAAAGAATAAGCCAACATGGAGACTAAATGTGAATCAGTACAGAACTATCTACAGGATACACTGAGGAATGGTGGATTCATAAACAAACTTTTCTTTAGGATCATTAGGAAAATCTGTAACAGGTAAGTTTTAATACTGACAGATATATGATATAATGACATCACAGACCTGTTTGAGCTGCTACACCTAATATAAAAGCGCTCATTCCTCCTCCTTTTTATTCCTTTTGATTAATAAATATTTTTAGGAAGACTACATAGGCATTGGTTAGATATGAATCTCTGGTAGATGTCTTAGATCTAACTCTAAATCAGTTCTAACTTTAAGTCCAGGGTGAGTTGCTAAAACCAGTAAGAATCACAAAGATACACTGGGTAACAGTAAAAAGGAATTCTCCTTAAAATCATTTGTGGCTCTGACTGGTGTGGCTCAGTTGGTAGGGCATCTCCCCGCAAAGTAAAAGGTTGCCAGTTCAATTCCTAGTCCTGGCACATGCCTGGGTTGTGAGTTCAGTCTCCAGTTGGGGCACCTAGGAGAAGCAACAGATCCATGTTTCTCTCTCACATTCTTTCTCCCTCCCTTCCCCTCTCTCTAAATTTAATAAATAAAACCTCTAAAAGAATTCATTTGTGTAAGTCACTTTGACCTATCCTCAAACTAGTTTGGCTGTTTATCTAGAGGCTATCAAAACCTAATAAAGGAAAATAAAAAAAATATGGCTCTGTTATATAGTACATGACATGAAGGCAAAAAGTTTTAAACACTAACATATAGTCTTAAGAAAACAGTGTATTTATCCAAAACATACCTTCCACTTTGAAGCTGGATGTGGAGAGTAGTGAATGGTTCTATACGAATAAGATAATGCATAACCCCGGCAGAATTTGAATAGTGAGTACCATAATGAAATTTATCAATAGTTCCCAGAGGATCCTCAAAATTTTCATATCTAAAAAAAGAAACTAAAGTTTGGTGACCACAATAGTAAAATTAAATTAGGAAGACAAAAGCTTGTATTGCATTGCTAAAAATAGTTTTTAAGAAGTCCTTATTAATAAGTTTCATGATTAATGTATCTGTAACATCATACTACGTAAATAAATGCAAAAAATTTTATTCAGTAATACTTTTTTTCTGAAAAACAAAATATCAGTAATACTGAATTCTGGAACAGGTTTGTATTATGTAATAATATTATACACATTCATCGTAAATTAGAAAACACAGACATCTAAAAAAAAGTGAGAAAAAACTTTTAAGTCAGCTATTACATTAACATTTTGGTGAATATTAGTCAATATTTAATGTATAAATTAATACATATCTATATTTTAACATAAAAGTGCTATACATAATATACTGTTTCAATTTATCATTTACTGTCTTCTATAAACATCTTTCCAAATGACTAAGTAACCTATTTTTAATAATACGTGTTATTTGTAACAGGTACATGTATAGACATATTAAAATATATAACTATTTCTTACTTTCAGATATTTATGTTGTTTCTATATTTTTGCTGTCGTAAGCAATGTAATAATTGGAGATTCTACTGTGGCCAAGTTAACAGAAAAAAACATGGTGAATGAGTCAAGAATTGTGGACTCCTGAGAATCTAACGGTAAAAGATGAAGGAAGGAAATAGTGGATAGAGAGAAGGGCTCAATCATACAGTGATTCTGCAAGTACTATCGCTGACACTTAGAGGTGTGACTGTTTTAAGTAGTGGTTTGAGTGGTACCATCTGAATTAGTGGGTATAAAATTTGAACATGAATGAACATTTTTTTGAAGCAATAAACACTGACATCTTTAGGCCAAAATACTAATCAGTTCCTCAAGCTGAAGTCAATTTCTTTTATATAGAAATCATTAATATTTTGGGAAATAAAATAGTTTTCAGGTCAAAGTCATCTGTACCAATGTAAAAAATACATTACTGAAATTTAAAACAACCTGTATCTTTGATTATCAACAAATTATTCTATAAGTATTACTTGTGACAGTGTTAAAAAAAAACTTTTAGCCAGTTGACAAAGACAAACATGATCTCACATGTGGAATATATTGAACAAAAGAAACCGACAAACAAAATAGGAACAGAGGCATGGGTACATGGAACAGACTAACAGCTGTTAGAGTAAGGGGGTGTATATCTATGTGTTATATATATATATAACACATATATATATAATATATATAATATATATATATATAATATATATATATATATATATAACACATATATATATATATATAATATATATATATATAACACATAGATAAAGACAAAAGTGATAGCCAGAGGGAAAAGGGGTGTGGGATTACCGGCAGTGGTCGAAGGGGGAATAAACGGGGACAGAATGAGACTTTGCTGGGGGCGATGGGCACACAACACAGGATGTGGATGATGTTTTGCCAAGTTTTATTGTGCACTGGAAATCTGTACGATGGTGTGAACCAATGTCACCCCAATAAATTCAATTAAAAAATAAACCTCTTATTATTGTCAGAAAAAATGTTTGACTAATAGTGGTGAGGTAATACACACACAGCCAAATTCCACTAGTAAATAAAATCAAATATTAAACACTACAGGAAGTCCCAGGGAGGATTTGTAAAAAAAAAAAAAAAAAGAACAAAGAATAATGTAGAATCTACTCCCAAATAAATCTACAGGTGAGTTTAGTGACAAAACAGTTCTTTGTCCTTATTGTTGGAAGTGATAACTGATATAAGTCATCTCTTTGAAAAATAAATTATGACAGGTTTACAGGGTAGATCGTAAGTATACAGAACTAAAAAACTTCCTTATCAAAATGATACTTAAAATTTCCACACATTCCACTGTTCTTCATTCATTTTACCTGTGAATAACAGGTGAGTACTATTGATTTTATACCTACTAAAATATCATCTTAGATTGATATTTACATGTTAGATTATAGGTTAAGTCTGTAATACTTGGGCAGAAAAATTTCAAGAACTTACTCTTTTCACACATACTTATTACAAAGTAAAGAGAAATTCTAAGCAATATTAATTTAAATTTGGCAAAGAAGGGAAATAGACTATAGTTAGGACATATAAGGGACAACTTTTATATTTTCAAGAAAACTTAGCGAAGGAATTATCAGACTGATTATCAAAAGTAGTTGTGCATTTAACTAGAGTAATACTTGGCCACAGAAAACAACACAAATTCAAACTAGCAAAAGGTATCTTTCAAAATGATAAGATTCTTACTTTTCTCGCACAGCTTTGGCATTTTTATCATTAACTACCCCAATAGGTTTGGAAAGATCTCGAAAAACAGATGGGTTATTCAAGTCCAACTCTTCTGAAGTATAGTCTTGTAAAATCCAGGGAAACTAAAACACACAATATATAATTTAGACATCCCTTCCTACAGAAGCTACTATCTCTTTCTAAATAATATCAAATGCTTATCTAAAGACAAAAAAGAAAGTTTTTCAAAATATTTCTCTCTGTTAGAAATGTTTATGTATCATTATTTCAATAACCAGAGAAGCATTATTTCCTATAATTCCAATGAAATATTTTCAATGAAGCGAAAGAAAAAACCTTTTACTTTTTAGTTATTTTTCGTGTTTATATTTCTTCTCGAGAACAGCGGGGTAGAAAATATACAGAAAGGCAAAAACAAATTTTATATACTTTTAAAAATAAAAAATAGCCATCATGTGCATATATTTTTATATATTCTACAACTGGAAGGCAATTACATATTTATGACAGTTGTATGAAACTTACCACAGGATACTGTGCAAGGTCATTATAAGTTCGCCCTGCCATTGTATTTATTTGAATGAGGTAGTCAAAATTTGATATCTCTCTATTCACCCATTTCTAGATGACACAGAAAAAGAAAAACAAAATTAATCCATCTTTCTTAGAAACCAGTAACTATTACTGATTACTAATCTTTATCACCTTTAAAGATTATAATCTTTATCATCTTTCTGATAAAAGGAATGGACTTTAAAAAGCTTAACAGTGACATAAAATCAATGTACTATTCCTAAATTCATTTCCTTTTAAAAATTGGTCTCTAGAAAAGGAACAGAAACTTCCACAAAAATTTAATGCTACATTCTAAAAGATCTTAATATGAATACTTCACTTCAATGAAATATTTTATTGGCTGTCTTAAAATTTTTAAGTCTAGGAGGACCATCCAACTTTGATGGTTTTATTTTTAAATGAAATTTTCCTAAGTGCACATATTTAAAAAACCAGTACCTTAGTTTACTAAAATGATCTACAAATTTCATATAAACATCATCTTTTATAGAGCAATGGTGGAATGATTTTATTACATAGGATGTGAGATTTTCTAAAGAAAGACAAATTTTTTTCTTTTAATCACCTTCTTGTATATAGCCTGCTAATTACACAGTGTGGATATGCTAGAGAATTTTGCTGACAGTTTAACATTCAAATTTAAGTATACTGTCTATCTTAAGCAAGAGATGTACTTAATGGGGAATGGTGAGAAATTATGTATATAGATTTTATTAAAAGCCCTATTATAATTGTTCTTGAGTGTCAAAGAATCAGTACTTTATTGAATAAAGTTTATTCCACAGAAAACAGGGAATGTATTTTATTAAATAGAGCTTATTCCATAAGCATTAGGAAAGAACTGCTGATGGCTTTTTGAACAAGAACAACTCTTTGGATTATGATTAAAGTATAGCATAGAGAATACAGTCAATAATATGGTAATAATTATGTAGAGTACTAGGCTGATACTAGAATTAATGGGGGAATCACTTTGTAAATTACATAATTGTTTAAGCACTCTGCTATACACCTGAAACTTATATAAAAATAATACTGAATGTCAACTGTAATTGAAAAATTAAATTTAAAAAAGATTAATGCACACACAGGAGGAAGGAGAAAGCCAAGGCCGAAAACCTAATTAGGAAACTACTAATAGTTCCAGAAAGCAATGGCCTTTCCTTGGCAGTAGAAATTAAAAAGCTGTTGGGATACAAGTGAGGGTAAAATACACAACAGCATCAGCTAGCTTTGGCTGTGAGAAGAAATGACCCTTTTATTAAAACCTTTTTTCCATATCTTTTGTATTTTCCCATTTTTGACCTTGTGCATGGGTTATTTTTATTATTAAGAACTCACATTATATTTTAAAAAGAGAAAATTAGTGGGAAAGAGGAATTCATAAGACTTGCCTATAAACTGAATGATATGGGAACTGGAAGACGGGCACTATACGTATGAAGGAACCAAAGATCCAAAGGTAATTTAAAATATCAATCTGACCAGAGGAATAGCAGTTGTAATAATCAGAAAGTTTTATCTTCAAGCAAAACTCTGAGGTATAAAATGAACACCAGAAAAGTGACTGTTAAAATCTCCTACCTGTGTCAATCCTGATGCTTTAAATAACTCCTGTGGTGATCTGGTTCCGTAACTATTTGGAGAATGAAATGACAACAGCCTGCTATATACTTTGTTTCTAACCTATAAAAAACAGCATTTCATAGTTTAAAAATTGATCAAGACAAACTAGGATTATGGCTTTTACAATAGCTTTATTGAGATCATTCCCATCCCATAAAACTCACCATTTAAGTATACAAAATTCAATGGGCTTTTCTGTGTATTTTGAGTTGTGCAACCACCAACATTATCTAATTCTGAAACCTTTTCATCCTCCCCAGGGGCAACTTTACTCACTATGGCTCCCCAATCCCCACTGTCTCCCATCCCCTGACAACCACCAATCTATTTTCTCTCTCTATGGATTTGCCTACATTGGACATCTCAAATAAATAGAGAATTATGGTTTTAACTTCTCTATGATGCTAGGCTCAGTGAAGTCAATACATGTATTTTTTGAGAAAGTTATAATGTATAATGGGATGATCATCAGACATTGAATCAGAAAACTAATTCAAGTCTACTGCAAATTTAGTTGTCTTTTACTAATCATCTTGGCAAATCAATTAATTTACTGAGTCTCACTTATACATTAAGCATAATAATCTCTACTCTTAATAGACTTGCAAATTATTCAGGGCTATACAAATGTAAAGTAATAAAATTCATCTTTGAACTTTAGTGTCTTCATCTATAAAAAAGGAACAATGAAATTTTCTGTATCTAATCTGAAGGCTGTTATTAGATACTATATACAACTGTGCTTTAAAACTATAAAATTATACAAATACATAGTATTCAATAGGAACACACTTGGCATAATTACATAATATAGCTTTCTAAAAATATATATGTTTTGTTTTTTCCTATAAGGTAAAATTAATTTTTAAAGATTTTATTTATTTATTTTTAGAGAGAGAGGAAGAGAAGGAGAAAGAATGGGAGAGAAACATCAGTGTGTGGTTGCCTCTCATGCACCCTATTGGGGAGCTGGCCTGCAACCCAGGCATGTGTCCTGACTGGGAATTGAACCAGCAACCCTTTGTCACAGGCCAGTACTCAATCCACTGAGCCACACCAGTCAGGTCAGACAACTGATTTTTAATAGTAAAAAAGTATTCTTTTGTAAAAACAAAAAAATGCTTTTTAAATGTCCAAATCAAATCATCTGAATAATCCTCAATCCCACAAAAGAACAGGAATATAGTTTTTGTGCTAATCCAGGTCACCTGAGAAGCAGGTGCTAAGACAGACTTGAACATAAAATTTTACTAAGAGAAATGCCTGCGAAAAGGAGAGAGAACTAAGCAAGGTAGGGACAGATGTCAGAATGTGATGGATGCAAGTGTGACTACAAGTGAATGGCAGAGGGAAGGAAGCACGGTGCGCAAATAACATAACGAAGGTCATGCAGCTAATGGTGGAGCTAATACTTAGACCCAAGGAACCTGGTTTCAGTGGCAATCTATTAACCACTTACACTGTACTCCAGATGAAATGCGTGCCCTATGATTGTTGAAGTGAACCCAACCTAATCTCATAAATCCAATTAGTTTATATATATATATATATATATTGCATATTATTTTACAGTTGGATACTGTGATGTACCTATTGGCTAACACTCAATATTCTACTACCTGTCCATATATAATAACTGAAAACAAGCACTCTCTAAACATTCAAACATAAATTCCAACAAAATTCATATACTGCTTGGCCTCCAAGTATAGGGTGAGGCAAAAAAGTAGGTTTACAATTTTAAGTACAAAAAACAAAGTTTATTATTATATTATTATGTATTATTTTCCATAAGAACTATAAATCTACTTTTGCCCAACCCTGTATCTACTTTTTCCTCTAATATTCTGACTTGATAAAAGAATAGAATCTAAAATTTCATTATAGCTCACTAACTGGAAAATAATCTCAAGCCAATACTTTGGGGCTCCCAGAAAGGTCATGTGTCACATACCTCTTTTTTGAAATTGAGAAAATAGTTGGACTGGTCAACATGGAAAATCTCAAGGGCTGACCTTCTTAAGTTGTAACGCCGCAGGTGAATCTCCTGAACTTGAGAATGAGGCCATTTGAAATCAAAGCCTACTCCTTAAAAAAGAAGAAATCTTGTGACTATGGTATCCTATAAAGTTACTCATTCTATGCAGAAAATACCTCCTAGTTACTGACAAAAGTAGCACTTAGGAAAAAGAAATTCAATTTCTATATCAAAAATCCATTTGTTAAATTTATTGGAAGTTTAAATTGTTTCTCTTAAAACTATTTAAAAATTCTATAGCTACTCTATTTCCTTTCCATTGGAATAAAGAGTAACCCTGAATATTACATCATGGAAATATTTACCTCTATGCTGACATCTTAGATTTAAGTACCTTTTTATTTTTAGGTAAAGGATTAGAAACCTACAAAAATAAGGGGACATTCAAATAAAATTAAGACTGCATTTTATAACTTAAATTTAAGCAATCCTCTCAACCAAATCCTTTGAAAACATTAATAAAAAAGCCATTCCTTCAATACACTGTTAAATATAAACTTAATCCCATACTGACTTTCCATTTCTCCTTTTACATGACATGTTACAATTCCACAGACCTATCTTACTGTTTTTTTCGTATTAATGATCGATAAACTGGATACTTAACTACTGAACAACAAATTATTCCCCCAGAACTCCTCACCATCTTCCTTTTCAATGCTGCCATCATAGAAGTATATGTGTTGAGTAGTAATTTCTAATCTGCCAGGAATTATGTCAATTATTGTAACAAGTTCACAATCTACTGACAACACCAATTTTTCTTTTTGATCCTGTTCTTTCTTCTCATCACTGCAAAACAAAAACCAACCAAACACCTAACAATGTATTTTGTGTAAATGGAAAAGAATATATCATATTCAATATAAATCTCATGTCTATAAAATCAATATCCAATAGAATATTTAATTATATAAAAAACATATTCTACTGCACATTAAATTACTTAAATATTGTCCAAATATTCTTACTACCCAATAACTCAGTTTCAAAAAACAAAATACAATGAATCTTTAACAATACTGGCAGAGGTCCTTTCAAACATGCAGCAATACTGGTCATGTCATTTAGTTACATTTAGGAGACATGAACTGATTCAGGGAATATATGAATTTGTAAATGAAGGACTGCTTTATTAGTGGCTTCATTAAGTATTATTAGAAGTACTAATTGTGATTAATTCTTAAACTGTAAAATGAGACTTTTCAAGAGCAAATCAAACTCTGCATCACAGAGCATCATCATCTTAGTGGCCCCTGACAAGAAAGGAGACAGTGCTTGCACTTCTCATCCCATACCTTACTTAAAGGGAAGTCATCTTGATTTGGATGACTGATATAATTTATATTTATCGAAGGGTGTAACTGGGGAAGTGACTTTTTACTGACGAGTATAGAAATGGGGACTCCTACCATTCACAGAATATTCAAGTACACCCTTCAAGCTACCTGCTCGCTGGTCCTAGATATTTCACGTCTGTCTCATTTCCAGGAGAGCAATGGCTAAATCTAATTTTGTTTCCAATGGATTTTCATGAGGAGTCTTTACGTACCTGAAATATTGCAACCTTTAAGATAAACTTTATCCTTAAGATAAACTTTTAAAAAATTAAAAACTATGAATGTTTTCTTAACCAGTGAAATTACAGTATTTACTATAATGAAATGGAGAAATAAGGGACCTAAGAGTGTTAATAGTCTAAGTGTTATTACAGTTTAAAATAGTTAAAATAGTAAATTTTGTTATGTGACCCTCAGTTTTCAAAAACTCTATCTCTCAATTCTTTAAAAAGCAGCCAAAATGAAGGCAAAATAAAGACCTTCAGAGATAACACAGACTGAGAGAATTTGTAATTTTCAGAGCTTCCTTACAAGAAATACTAAATGAAGTCCTTCAGGCTGAAAAGAAATGATACCAGATGACAATCTGAATGTATACAAAGAAATAAAGTGTAGAAGTATGGTAATCACGTAGGCAAATGTAAAAAACATATAGTTATTTAGTTTTTTCCTTTCTTCCCTTAATGATTTAAGGACAATTATGTATAACAGTAACTACAAAACTGTACTGTTGGGTTTAAAATATATAAAGTTCTAATATTGATGATATTAGCATAAAGAGATGAGGAAATGAAAATGTATTTGCTTTGAGGAAGTTTTTAAACTACAAATCCAAAATTAGACATACGAGGTCTGTCCAGAAAAGGTTCAACCACTGTTAATATAACAAGAACAGTATGCAAGACATCGATGTAACGTCCTTGGCAGCCACGGAGAGTGGACTGGAATGTGTTGATGACTTCACTGTACTAGTCAGTGGGGGCAGTAGATGTCATTGAGTGAGCATGTGTACTGTGCAGCCGACACATTCAAAATGACTGAGTACAGCAACAAATCTGCATCAAATTTTGCATTAAGTTGAATATTCCTCCATGAAAACTATTCAGATGATTTAGAAGGCCACAGCTATAGACAACTGGTGATTGGCAGTTTCATCACGACAACAGGAGGGTTCATAAATCAATGTCTCACATGCAGTTTTTTTCTCACATGGAGAAAGACCAAATCACCCAGGTAACTCAGTCCCCCTACGGCCCAGATTTGGCACTCTGTGACTTCTGGCTTTTCCCAAAACTAAAATCACCTTTGAAAGGGAAGAGATTTCAGACCATCTATGAGATTCCAAAAAATACATCAAGGCAGCTAGCTGATGGAGTTTGGGAGAACTATGTGAGGTCCCAAGGTGTCTACTTTGAAGGGGACTGAGGTGTTATTGTCCCACATACTATGTCTTTTGTATCTTGTATCTATCTTCTTAAATAATGTCTGTATTTTCCATATTACATAGCTAGATACTCTCTGGACAGACCTCATATATCTAAGGCTATTCAAATAACATATTTCTTCCTAAGTGAGATTTGGTCATTTGTAACTTTTAAGTATTGATCCATTTCATGTAAGTTCTCAAATTTATGGGCATAAAGTTATTGTTGGTATTTCTTTTTAATCATTTTAATACTTGTAGCATCATCTTCTCTTTCATTCCTGTTACTGGTAATTTACATTGTTTTTCTTTCTCTCCTAACCAGTCCAGCTACAGGTTTATTGCTTTGTTATGTTTTTTTTATAACTAGCTTTAGATTTCTTTTTTTGTTTGTTTTCCTTTTTCATGAATTTCTGCTTTTATCTTTATAATTTCTACCTTTTGGTTAAGAGTTATATTTAATGCTGCACTTTCCATCTAAACATAGCCTATCTATACATCATAAATGTGATGTTATAGTCTTATTATCATTCAAATCAAATACTTTCTAAATTTAAGGTCCAGCTGCAGGTTATGCCAGTTCTAAGAAGCCTTCCTCGATAATCTCGGTTAACACTGATACACTCCTAATAGCTGATAACAGCAAATTGACAATCACATACGTCAGAACAAAATAATTTTAAGTTCTTTCAAGTACATACACATACATATTTGTTCTGGCTATTATTTCCTCTTCAGAAAGGTCTAACTTATCTTCTTCCATATCACTAACTTTTACTTGTTTCACTACTTCCAAAAGCAATGAATCACTGGAAGGCTCTGAGTGTTGGACACCTGTTTAAAAACACAATATTTATTAAACACCAAGTAAAAAAAATCATATTACACCTCTTTTGTAATTTCTGACTGTTAATTACATGACAATGTGTTACATGATATAGAGGGTACTTAGTTTTCTTGATTTTATGGCATCAATTCTACTGACCAACATATCAGTGCAACTTAAAAAAAATTAAAAGCTAGTACTAATTTCACCTGTAACTTAGTCACTGAACCCAAGAGAACACAATGTCCATTGGAACACAGGTGGCTATGTGTTGTAACTACAATCTAGTATACACATATGACTCTTAACAATCAATATTTTGAGGTTCTTACAGACCTCTCTTCATAAAAGGAAGAAACACCAAGTCAGATGGTTAGAAAAGAATGGCTTCCTAAAGAATTATGGAAATTCTTTCAAATCTGCTTCGAATCACTGCTAGGCTATGTATTTTAAAGCACTTTTTCCTAGAAAAAGACACTGGCTCCCCTAAGATACTAAGTATCCCGAGTTCTGTAAGAACACACTGTAAAAGAAAGGCCTAGAGTTACTAAGAATTCTAGACATATTTAACATCAGTCTCAGTCTTGGTAAGCAGAACTAAGGGGAAAGGACCATTATTTCACTGTACCATAATGAATATTAGAGAACACATTTCACATGAATGACAGTATAATTTTACTGTTTTAAATTATGTTGTTTGAAAAATTACAACTAATTGAAACAGAGAGCCAAAGTAGGTTTAGGCCAAAGGTAACAACATGTAAAATATACAAAAGTTTAAATATCAATTCTAAAATGTCACCCTTCCTTCATGAATAAATAATTTTGAAACAATAAAAACAACAACCAACCCCATCAATACCCTTAATATCTTCCACAAATACATAGCCATTGCAACTCACCTAGATTATCTCTCAAAGCACTAGCTTCCTCATGGGTTTTGAAGTTATAGTTTGGTACCAATTTAAGTCTCATACGGGAATAATTTTCTACATTAGCTAGTTTCCAGTGAATTGGATTTTGTTTTCTGTGAATATTCGTAAGTAAAAAAAACACAATTATTTAGCTTAAAGTTGCAAAGACTGACATAGAATAAGAACATATCCAGTATTTTACATATGTTTAACACCATTTTATTAAAATTCACATTCGCTAACTCAATTGACTCAGAAACAATTCTGAGAGAAAACCAATGTGAGTATACACAGCTACAATTTACACATGAGGTATCTACGGCAGGCTAATTTTTTTCCCTAAAAGGCCATGTGGTTTATAGATAGCAGAAATAAGACCTGAACATAAATCTTCAGATGTATAATTGGACATCTTTTAACTCTTTCACTGTTATATGGGAGGTTTTAACTAGCTGTACGAGTTTATTTCAAATACAGTTTTCAAAATAAAATAATTGTATTATAAACATAACATAATTGCAAATGAATCAAAGATCTAAATATATATAAGAGTTAAAACTCTAGAAAAAAAGATGGGATAAATCTTTAAGACCTTAGAGTCAGGAATGCTTTCTCAGATATGATATCAAAAACACAAGCAACAAAAGAAAGAAATAGACATACTGGACTTCAAAATTCAAAACTTTTTTGTGCACTAAAGGGTGCTATCAAGAAAGTGAAAAGACAGTCTATGTAGTATTTAAAAATAATGTATCTAATGAGGGTCTATTATTGAGAATATAAAGAGAACTCTTACAACTCAAGCACAAAAAGTCAAACAGTCCAATATAAAAATAGGCAAAGGACTTGAACAGAGATTTCTCCGAAGACGACACATACAACTGGCCAACAAGTACCCAAAAAGACACTCGGTGTCATTAGTCATTAGGTGAATGTAACAACATCATAATTTAGTCATAATTTAAAAATCAAAAAATGACAAACACTAGTAAAGTGGTAGAGAATTGGAATCCTCGAGTGTATCTAATGGAAATGCAAATGGTGGAGCTGCTGTAAAAAGAAGTCTGGCAATTCCTCAGTAAGTTCATCACAGAGTGATCATATTACCCAACAAATCTGCTCATAGGTAGATACCCAAAAGAATTAGAAACAGGCAATGAAACAAACACTTGTTCACAAATGTCCCATTGTTCACAAGGAAAACAATCCATTAACTGATGAATAGACAAAAAAAACATACAATGTAATATTATTTGGCTATAAAAAAGAAGTACTGCTACAAACTACAATATAATGAAAACATTATGCTAAGTGAAAGAATCCAGACACAAAAGGCCACATATTACATGATTTCATTTATGTAAAATATTCACAACAGGCAAATCCGTAGTCAGAAAGCAGACTGATGGTTGCCTGGGGCTAGGAGAAGGGCTAATAGGCAGTGACCACTTAAAGGGTCCAGGGTTTCTTTCTGATGTGATGAAGATATTCTAAAGCTGGACAGTGGTGATGAATACACAATATGATAAGTATACTTAATGCCACTAAAGTGTACATTTTTATAAATTAAAATTTTATGGTGTATTTTAAAATAAAAAGGACTATAAAATATATACATATATAATACAATATTTTGTGACATTACTTAGAATCAAGTAAAAAATTGTAAAATCTTCAAGCACAAAGCATCACTAACTATAGATCAAAAAGGCAGTGTCAGGAAGACAGAAGTAAACTGATTCAAAAGAAACTATCACGGGGTAAAAGGAAAGGAAATAAATCCATGGCTGAAAAAATATAAATATAAATCTCAAAAAATATCACAGCTATAATTTACAAAAGATAATCAAATAAATAAAATTATTTTTATAATCTTTTTTTTGTTTTTGAGGAGGGATAAAGAGAGAAGTACAACAATCTTTGCTCTTAAGGAGCAGAGTTTGGAAGATAAAACCTACACACGACCCACACACAATTCAGAAAACAAAGAACTCTAATGGTAGAGATAAAAACCAATTCAGGTATGTGTCTTAATTATCATTTTCATCAATATCCCCAATGTGTACGTGACAGCACTGAGGTTCAAAATGGATACTTCCCTACGGTCACGTAGTTTATAAATATCAGAGTTGGGACTTGAACCCAGGGGCTCTGACTTCAGTAGCTCATTTGCTCCAACACTGGGGTCCTACTTTTCTCAGGCTTCTTTCTCAGGGACAAAAACTGTTATCTGCAGATCCTGTGCCTGGATTTCTCCTTTCAGACTGATGCTAACTGTGGACTTCTTGCTTACTGCGAGTCTTATGCCCCTGGCACCACCTTACTAGCAAGACTTACTCCACGCTGTTGGCATCTGTCAATGAGTTGGACTGGCTCTTTATTCTCCTGAAACCACACACACAGTTGATAGGCTTCCCATGGCAGCTGGAGATCCCAGTGGCTGCTGCCACAGGGACCTTCACTTTCTTATGCTAGAGCTCAGATGCAGGCCATGCGTTTTCTTCTTCAGCACCAGGACAGAGGACAGCTCCAATAAATTCTGCACTGGGGAAATTCCACTCAATATTTCATCTGAAATCGCTCTTTCAGGTACTGTAGTATAATGGTCAATTTTACATTTTTGGTTGTAAGGAAACAAACTCAAATTGCTTATAAGCACATAGGATATATACAAGCTCTCATAACTTGCAAGTCTAGGAGTGTACTTGGTCTGGATGGAGCCAGAGGCTTCAGTAATGCCACTAGGGATAAGATGGCCAGCCACAGCCCAAGACTCACATTCTCTTAGCTTAGTGATCCCAAAAGACACAACCTTCCCTGACAGCACCAGCAGTAAAGTCTCAGGGAAGAGTAATTGGTTGACTTGAGCCTCTGGCACCTTTTTGATAAGGTGAGTTGGGAGGTGCCATATGGTTTTTTTTGGGGGGGTCCTCAAAAAAAGGAGGGGCGTTAGTACCAGGAGAAGGAAAAGATGCTAGAGAGACAAAAAATTAACAAGGGTCCCTGTAGGTGGCATCCTCAAGGGAACTCCCACAACCCACAAATAATCCGAGGCCTGTTGTGATAGAATAATCATTCCCCTTAGTAGCACCTGAACTCAGCTTTCCAGAAGACTCAGCAAAGGTTCCAAATTATAATTCACATACCTCCTCACTGTCCCTTCTCCAAATAACAGGTCCAGAGACACATTTGTGAACTAGCTCCAAGAATAGGCTGGGGCGCCTGAAAATACCTCACAATTTATATGCAAATAAAATCCTAACACCCAATCCAGGCTACATTTATAACCTTATCTCAGCACTGTGGCACTATACCATGGTTACGGTGCCACAGTGCTGCCTGTTCTCTAATGGATTCTCAGAACGTGTAGTAAATGAGTATTTTTAAAGGAAAACTTAAATGTGATAAAAAGAGCACTTCCCTTATTTTGCAACAAATAAGATCTTCTCATTCACCTGGGAAGTGAATGACAAGATCCATCTGTGAGGAAGTCCTTTGTGTTTCACTGCCCAAGACACTAATTTCCCTTCTTCTTAAATTTTATGTTTTTAATTTCTTTGTCCTTCCATCATTTTCATTCCCATCCCCCAGCCCACATTCTCTCTGGCAAGCGTCAGCTTCTTCTCTATGTCTATGTATCTTTTTCTATTTTGTTTTATTAATTTGTACTGCTCTTTTTAGATTCCCATAAGTGAAATCACAGTATTTGTCATTCTTTATATCACATTTCACTTAGCATAATACCCTCCACACTGTCACAACTGACAAGGCTTCATTCTTTTATTGCCAAATAATATTCCGTAATAAATAAATATATATATTTATATCTATAAATCTATCTCACATCTTCTTTATCCATTCATCTATTGATGGACATCGTTTGCTTCCATGTTTCCAATATTATAATACCAATAATGCTGCAGTGAATATACAGGTGCCTGCAATCTTTTCAAATCAGTGTTTTCGGGGGTTTTTTTGGATAAATTCCTGAAGTGGAATTGCCAAACTGTATGGAAGCTCTATTTTTAATGTTTTTGATGAATATCCTATCATTTTCCATTGTGAATGTATTAATTTACAATCCACCAACAGTATACAAAGCTTCCCTTTTCTCCATATCCTCATTAGTACTTGCTATATTTGATATACTGATGAGAGCCACTTTAACAAGTGTGAGATGATCTCTTACTGTGGTTTTAATTTGCACTTCTCCAGAAGATTACTAATATTCAGCATCTTTCAATATGTCTGTTAGCCATCTATATGCCTTCTTTGGAGAAATGTCTGTTCAGGTCCTCTGCCCATTTTTTTAATTGGAGAATTTGGGGGTTTTGGTATTAAGTTGTATGAGTTCCTAATATATTTTAAATGTTGTGTATTTAAAACAATATACAAATTCAATGCAATCCCTATTAAATACCAGCTGTGGCTGGTATGGCTCAGTGGATTGCGTGCAGGCCTGTGAAACCAAAGAGTTTCTCCTATTCCCAGTCTGGACACAGGCCTGGTTGTGGGCCAGGTCCCCAGATGAGGGTGTATGAGAGGCAACCATACATTGATGTTTCTTTCCCTCTATTTCTCCCTTCCTTCCCTTCTTTCTTAAAAAAATAAATAAATAAAAGACCAATGGCATTCTTCTCAGAATTAGAACAAATCCCAAAATTCATATGAAACCACGATACCCCAAATAGTGAAAGAAATTGTGAGAAACTACAAAGTGGAAGGTATTGTTCTCCCTGATTTCAAACTATATTATAAAACTATAATAACAAACAGTATAGTACTGATGTAAAAAATATATATAGATCAAGAGAATAGAATAAACAGCCCAGAAGTTAATTTTCACTTATACAGCCAACTTAGGAAAAAGGAGGCAAGAATATACAATGGGAACAGTTTGTTCAATAAGTAGTGTTGGGAAAGCTGGGCAGATACATGCAAAAAAAACGAAATTGGGCCCTGGCTGGTGTGGCTCAGTGGATTGAGTGCCGGACTGTGAAGCAAAGAGTCACCAGTTTGATTCCCAGTCAGGGCACATGCCTGGGTTGCAGGTCAGGTCCCCAGTAAAGGGCGCACGAGGGGCAACACGGGTAGATATTTCTCTCCCTCTGTCCTTTCCCCTTTCTCTAAAAATAAATAACATCTTTAAAAAAATGAAATTGGACCACTTTTTTTTACAACATATGCACAAATAAATTCTAAATGGACTTATATGTAAGAGCTGAAACTATAATACTCCTAGAAAAAAACATAGGCAGTAACCTCTTTGACACTGCTCTTAGCAATATCTTTTTGGATACATCTCCTCAGGCAAGGGAAATAAAAGCAAAAATAAACAAATGGGATTATTTAAAACTAAAGTTTTGTAAATCTTAAGAATCCAACAAAACAAAAAGACCACATACTTAATGGAGAGATGATATTCACAAATGATACATCTGATACATGATTAATATCCAAAATATATGAGAAACTCAGTATCTATTTTAACTTGGGATTCTGAAATTCATACCCTTTCTAATATTCGTTATGTAACCAATGAGTACGTGACTTGTGACTGCAATCCCTGCCAGCAATTTCTTTGTTCCATTTTTGTTTGTTTTCCAAAGGTCATCAATGACAACAGTTGAGTGTGTTTGTTTTGGTTTTAACCTCTGTATTTTACATACCTTGAAGATAACCCATAGTTTTGAATCTTTTAAAAGTTTAATATGACTGCATTAACATTTTCTAGGTCTTTAAAAACTATAAGCCTAATTCTAATGCATGCATCATATTCCAGAGAGAGGACATACAACTTCACAATTCATTTTTTAAAAAAATAAATGTGTATCTCCTTCTCTGATCTCCTATATTCCTTTATTTTTTTTTAATTTTTATGTACTGACTTCAAAAAGAGAGAGAGCAACATCTATTTGTTGTTCCACTTATTTATGCGTCCATTGGTTGCTTCTTGTATGTGCTATATGAGCCCTGACTGGGAATCAAACCCTCAGCCTTAGCATATTAGGGTGATGCTCTAACCAACTAAACTACCTGGCCAGGGCTCCCTGGTTTTTTAAATTGAACATTTTTTTATACTGGATTGGAGAAACCATTGGTTTAAAAAGTTCTACACTAGAACTAGAGGAAAAAAGTTATTTAATAAATGATATACTCATACCTTTCAGCCCAAGGTCCCCTTTCACATGTAAGATAGACCTGTATTGCCTTCCAGCGTCTCAGAGTGGCTAATTGTTGACCGCTAAGTTGTTTAAGCATATTATTATACCTCAAGTTCTCTTGGTATGCTTTTCGATTAAATGGCTCCACAAAATTTTTCTTAAAAAAAAAAAGGCAATAAATAATACCACTGAATCACACTTTTACAGGTAAATTTCAATGCCATAACTTCAAAAATGTGACCCAACAGAATCTTACAGTGAAAGAAAGAAGCTGGTAATCAACAGGATTTTTACTCTACTAGAATCATTTTCTTTAATGAAGCACAATATAATTCTAGCCATAATCCATTTATATTTTTTAAAACTTACTAATCAACAAAGAGCCAGTGTTATGAAATAAACATGTGTTTTTATTTGGCTTCTTTAATTTGTTTCATCAGTATTTTATCATTTTTAGCCCATCAATCATGTACATATTTTATTAAATTCATACCTAAGTATTCCATTTTTTAAGATACTCTAAATAGTATTTTTTTAAATTTCAGTTTCCAATTTTTTATTGCTTAACATGCAGAAATATGATTAAATTTTGTGTGCTGATCTTGAGTCCTGCAATCTTGCTAAACTCAATAGTAGGAAATTTTTTGGTAAGATTCCTTAGAATTTTCTATACAGATAATCGTGTTATCTGCAAATAATTTTATTTCTTCCTTCCTAATGTAAATGTCTTTTATTTCTTTTTCTGTTCTTATTGCATTTGCTAGGACTTATAGAACAATAGTAACTGGGAGTGGTGAGAGGAGACATTCCTGCCTAGTTCTCTACCTTCTCTATTCTACCGGAAAGCACTCAATTTTACACCTTCAAATACCAAGTTCACTGTAAGATTTTTGTAGAGATTCCCCTCTATTTCTAGTTTGCTGAGAACTCTGGTCATAAATGGATGTTGAACTTTGTCAAATATTTTTTTCTATCTATTAATATGATCATGTATTTTTGATAAGTTTACTAATGTGGACCTTTATATATATATATTGATTATCAAGTGTTGAATCAGCCTTGTGTTCCAAAGATAAACTCTCCTGGTTGTGATATATTATTTTTTCATATATTGCTGGATTTGGTTTGCACCTATGTTCCTGAGGGATCTTGGTCTGTGGTTTTCTTGTACTATTTCACATGATTTGAACATGAGGGTAGCATTGCCCTTATGTAACAAATTCAAAAGTGATCTCACTTTTCTATTTTCTGAAGAAATTGTGAGGAATTGGTGTAATTTCTCTATTAAATATTTGATAAAATTTGCCAGTGAAACAACCTGCATCTGAAGTTTGCCCTTTCGGAAGGTTTTTATTACATTAAATTCAATTTCTTTAACAGAGAACTACCCAGGTTATTCACTTATTATTGAATTAGTTTTAAAAATTTGTATTTGTCATGAAATTGATTCACTTTATTTACGTCATTTCATAGACTGGTTTGTAGTAGTCTTTTACTACTATGTTGATGTTTGTGAAGTCAGTGGTGACACTTCCCCTTTCCTTTCAGGTATTACTAATTTTTTTACTTTGTTTGCTTTGTCAATCTGACTAGAAACTTATCCATTTTACTGATATTTTGAATAACTAAAATTTTGGTTTCATTGATTTTTCTCTATTGTTTTTTCTGCTTCCAATTTCATTGATTTAGAAACTAAGACTACTTTCTTTTTTCTAGTTTATTCAGGTGAAACTTAAATTATTAATTTGAGGCCTTTTTCTTCTAATATAAATATTTCATCCTATACATTGCCCACTAAGCACTGATTTATACCCAGACTCCGTAGAGAAACCTATTAGCTTAATAGGCTTTTTACATAATCAGAACATACAAAACATTCTGATATTAAATTTTTATTAATCATAGCTCTTCTTTCAATTCTGAATCAACTTTCAGTCAGAAATACTATTTGTTTTCAAAGTTAAGACTTGTTAGTCACTTGAATATTAAATGCCTGAAATCAACATAAAAAACTAGATACCAAAAGCGCTTAACAATTTTTACCTGGAACTTGAGTTTGCTTTCTCCTCCTTCCCGGTCTCTTTTATGCATATTCACCATTAAGGCTTCATAACAATTCTTCCAATAAAGTGCCATGTTCTCATGACCATCATAAAATGTATGGGTTTCATACTGCTTCATATAAGGTATAATCTTATAAAAATATATATACAAAATTTAATATCTACTTCTATAAAATAATAACAGTAGAAAAATCTCACTCAAAAAATATAAAACTTACATATTTTTCAATGTAAACTTGCCATTCATTTGAACTGCAATATTCTTGAAAATCTTCAAAAAACGAGGAACTACCATTGGTAAAAGGTAAAGAAGGCAGGTGCAAGTTCATGAAGAGAAGTTCATAAATTTTGGAAACCAGGGTACGAACAAGGGGAATCAGAAATGAGTAGATTTCCGTCTGTTCCTTGATGGACTGACTTAGAACATGTTCTAGCTTCCCTAAAATATAACAAGCTTCTTCCTGATTTTCAATCACTTTGGTCTGCAGAAGGGTGTTTAGCTTAGCTGATGCCATAGCACAAACCTGGAGGAAAATAGGTGAGAAAAAGCAGAATAAAGTAGACACTTAGTGATAGCAAAAGTTTTTTTACTCTTCTTGAAGTTTAAGAAATTATAAATGTATCACATGTTTAATCTGGAGTACACAGTAATGTTGTGGTACATAACTAAGCACCCAACATCCATTCTACTCCTTTTAAAGTCTGCAAGGATAGGGGGATGATGCCATCTCTAGTTCTAAAAATAGGTCCTAAAGGATAAAAGGCAAAGAGAATAGTCAACCCCTAGCTGCAGTGACTAGTTCATTCAACTCATATCATTGTCTGTTACAGAGATTCATTCAGGGACAGCCTTATCAGCCCAAATTCAGAACTTTCACATAACAACTGTTAAGGAATGTGAAGGGTCTCAGAATTTATTTCACCTCCAAGCTAAAAAGTTAGCCTACTACAGTTTCACAGACACTGGCAGAAGACATCAGAATCCTGGAAACAAAGATCAACAGTCTTAGCAACAGCCACAATATCAGTGTTTACGTTGGTCCCCATACTGCAATTCCCATGGTGAGAGAGAAACAGGAGTACATGATGCCTGCACACACAGTGGTTGCATTATAGGAGAGGAACCCTGAGCACACGGAACCCAAACCTTTTATATGAAGCAGTAAGTATGCGTAAACTTTCCCTGGGAGGGAGGCAGTATCTTTATTATGCTGGAGAATAAACAAACCTGCCTTTTGCTCTCAAGGGAAGACATGATCTGTGTCTTCCAAAGTTGTGCACTATACATGCACCCTCCAAAAGACCATACGAAGCATCCAGCATCTCTATTCATAAGCTATGCAGAGATCCATGAGGAACTGTCTTACCAACAGTGACTGTAGGAAGGACTCTCCTTCTCTGGATATGAATAAGGCAGCACGTAGCCCCTATAGCTGTTGGCAGTCATTTTGTGACAATAAGAGCAGCCAAGTTTAAGACAGCTTGACACACACTGGAGAGCAGTGCTGCAAGAACAGCAAATAAATGGAACTGGAGCCTTGATTGCATCATGCCTTAAACTCAACTATGAAATTTTAAATTACATGGTGCAATGAGTCTTAAGAAGTTGAACTTGATGCTTCTGTTACCTGGAATCAAAGCATTCTGATATGTAAAGAATACATACACAGGAGACCAAGTCCTTGATCAGAAATCTAATTATCCTTGAACTTCCCAAGGAAAATATATATTCCGGGTACAAATCCATTCAAAGGAATATTCTGTATTACTATTAAACTGTGACCTTAAACCTCAAAATAGAGGGGTAAATGAGATCACAAAGGGGACTCCTTTTGTCTACAACTAAGATCTAAGACTTAAATCCATATCAGGACAAATGATATAAAGTGTCTCCTCTCTTAATCCTAAATCCCAATTTTGAATCTTATTATTTTCAAAATTTAAAAAAGCAAGAAAACCTCCCAGAAAGTATTAGAACCTGACATCACTTCAAGAATGCATCTGTGTCCAAGAAGGCTGAAAAGAAGCAAACAGCATCGGAGGAAACAACCTCTAAGAAGGCTCAAAACTTTTACTTTTCTATTTTTACCTTCAACTTCTACTAATCAACCCTCTCTGTCCTCCTCAGATTTTCTCTAAACCTCTTCATTTTAATCTTTGGGTCTGACGTAAGCAGATTAATTCTAATACAAGCCAGCAAATGTAAGGGAGAAAGTCACATGTTTTTCCATCACCAAGAAAATGCCAGTGCTAATATTCTAAGATTTTATGTTAGGTGTTTTTTAAAATACAGCTTATATAAAAAGTAGAATATTCAGTACTTTGCTTTTAACTTAATATTATGATATAAAACAAATAAAAGTTTATAAATTTATTTAAAAGTTTAAGGAGACTTTGAATAAATACAAAATAATTTAGTTGACCACTGCCTTAATTTTTAATATAAACACATCCTACATACATGTAATCTCCTCATCATAAACAGTACTGCCTTAAGGTCACCTGAGAAAATACAAAAAATACTGATGCCCTAGTTCCCTATTTCTGATTTAATTACTATGGGAAATGCTCTCCACAGATTTAGAAAAAGCTCCTCCACCAGTGGCTGTAAGACAACTGGGAGAGTAGAGACCCGGACAAATCAGAGACCATACACTCCATCTAAATAGATGCAGCATTTCTAAAGAACCACTCGGGCTCACTTTAGACTCAAGCTGGAAATCTTGGTGTTCAGGTAAAATTTCCTAATACTTAACTGTTGGCAATTAGCTAATATGTACATGTCATGCAAAAGAAGTTTGCTAGCCACATTCATTTTGCAGGCAGCTCTATCAAAACTGCTTTAAAGGAAGAGATTCATTTCCTAGCCTTTTAACATGCACAACTTCAGAAACATAATCTTTCACTTCCGAAAGAATGAAATTAACTGGCTAGTGGGAAAATGACGTAAATCACTAACTTCTGGTAGATAGGACCAGTCTTATTTGTAGGTGCTGTACTCATTTATTTTATATATATATTTTATTGATTATGTTATTACAGATGTCCCATTCTTTCCTCCCCTTTATTCCCCCGTCCTGCACGACCCCACCCACCAGCATTCCCCCACCTTAGTTCATGTCCTTGGGTAGTACACGTAAATTCTTTGGCTTCTCCATTTCCTATACTATTCTTAACCTCCCTGTATATTTTGTACCTACCATTTCTGCTTCTTATTTCCTGTACCTTTTCCCCCATCTTCCTTCCTCCACCTCCCCGCTGATAACCCTCCATGTGGTCTCCATTTCTGTGATTCTGTTTCTGTTCGGGTTCTTTGCTTAGTTGCTTTTTTTTTTTTTAACGTTCAGTTGTTGATAGTTGTGAGTTTGTTATCATTTTACTGCTCATATTTTTTAAATCTTTTTCTTAGATAAGTCCCTCTAATGTTTCATATAATAAGGGCTTGGTCATGATGTACTCCTTTAACTTGATCTTATCTGAGAAGCACATTGTCTGGATAGAGTAATCTTAGATGTAGGTTCTTGCCTTTCATCACTTTGAATACTTTCTAGCCCCTTCTTTCCTGCAAGATTTCTTTTGAGAAATCAGCTGATAGTCTAATGGGAACTCCTTTGTAGGTAGCTATCTCCTTTTCTCTTGCTGCTTTTAAGAGTCTCTCCTTATCTTTAACGTTGAATAATTTAATTATGATGTGCCTTGGTGTGTGCTTCCTTGGGTCCAACTTCTTTGGGACTCCCTGAGCTTCCTGGACTTCCCGGAAGTCTATTTCCTTTACCAGATTAGGGTAGTTATCCTTCATTATTTTTTTCAAATAAGTTTTTGATTTCTTGCTCTTCCTCTTCTTCTAGCACCCCTATGATTTAGGTGTTGGAAAGTTTAAAGTTGTCCCACAGGTTCCTAAGCTTCTCTTCAGTTTTTGAATTCTTATTTCTTATTTCTGTACTGGTTGGATGTTTATGTCTTCCTTCTGGTCCAAACCGTTGATTTGAGTCCTAGTTTTCCTTCACTGTTGGGTTCCCTGTGTACATTTTCCTTTACTTAATTTTGCAGAACCTTCACTTCTTCCTCTATTTTGCCACCATATTCAACCAATTCTGTGAGCATCCTGATTACCAGTGTTTTGAACTCTGCATCTGAGAAGTTCATTATCTCTTTGTTACTTAGTTCTATTTCTAGAGCTTTGATCTGTTCTTTCATTTGGGCCATATTTCTTTGTCTTGGTGCACCTGTTTCACAGTAAGGGGCACAGCCTTATGTGTTCACCAGGGCGGGGCAACCCACATCACTGTGTCATGATGCTGTATGTGGGTTGGGGTCTCAGAGGAAACAATGCCACTTGCTCAACTCTCAGCCAACTTTCAGTCACTTCCCCCACTACCCACAAGCAAACTAGGCCCTTCTGGTGCTGATTCCCAGGTGGGTGGGTTTGTGTACCTTCTAGGACCCTGTAAGTCTCTTCAACAAACTCTCCTGTGAGGCTGGGAGTTTCTCCAGTGCTCCTCACTGCCGTTACCCTCACAGGTTTTTTTAGTCAGAGGTTTTGAGGCTTTATTTCCCTACAATGGAACCCTGGGTTACACCATCTGTCTCACTCCCCAGTTGTTCTTCCCAGTTTATCTGCATGCAAATGCGGAACTGCCCAGTCTGCCACCAGCTGCCTTACCCAGCCCCATCCTCCAGCTGTCTCCTTGCCACAAGTCCTCTCCACCTCAGCTGCCTGCCTATCTCTGCTCCTCCTACCAGTCTGAATGAATGTTTCTTTAACTCCTTGGTTGTAGGACTTCCATACAGTTAGATTTTCTGGCAGTTCTGGTTATTTTTTGTTTTTAAACTTGTTGCTTAAAAATGTGGTTTTTGCAAGGAGGCAAAGTGTATCTACCTGTACTCATTTATTTAACACGTATTTATAGAGCCCTACTATGGGACGGACATTGGATAATTGGTGCTGAACAATTTAACAGACATTTTATTTGGTGAAATTTCATCAAGGAGAAAAACAGAGAGTGACTATGAGTGGAACAAAATGGAGTTCAGTATCTAAAGTAAATAACCACCCAGCAAGCTGTTGCAACGGCTTTAACAGCCATCAGGTTAATATTAATGAAAAAGCCAAAAAAGCTATTTCCACTCTACTTCTAGGTAGAGGAAAAGAGAATACTACAATGACTGTCTATGGGTGCAAAGACTGTTGGTATTTCAGACTACTACCTTAGGGTACAGTTTCAGAGCAGAATTACTAAACTACGAGTATAAAAACTTTTTACAGTTCCTAGTTCATATATTTTCAAACTGCATATAAAAGGCTGTATGTACCATTCAAACTTTCACCATCCCTATATCACAATGTCCATTTTCTGGTTTAGCTTTTTTGTAATTTCCATGGTTTTACAATGAATATGTGCTACTCTTATACTATTAAAAAAAACTATCTTTAAAAAGTTAGTAACATGGGGAAATGAGTTTGATATAATTTTAAGAAAAAGTATAAATTTATCAAACTACTGATGATTTCTTTTTTTTTAAACTACTGATGATTTCAATCATCTGAAAAAATACATGCATAGAAAAAATACTAAAATAGCTATTTTCTTTTAGGCCATAAGATAATAAATAAGTTACATATTTTTTCTTCTTTATGCTTTTGTGTATTTTCCACAAGAGCTTGTGTTACTCTTATGATCAGAAAAATATATCTATTGAGAAATCTGGCCTTTTTAAAATAGAGCAACCTTATACATTTTTAATCTCCTCATGTTCTTATCAATACCGTATCAAAATTATGTATATCACAAACCATCTTTACCCAGATGTCCTTAACTTCAAGTACTTAAAATCCTAATATCAAAAGAAAAGAAAAAGGGTCAGGTAAGGAGTTATGGGATACCTGTCATGACTAATCCAACCTAGGTAATCATAAGCATACAATGTAAATACAAAGATGATGGATTAACATTCTTATGGGCCTTTACCAACCTTTAAAATTTTTAATTTAAAATACAAATAATAAATATTTCTTGGGTCTGTATTTTGTTTATTCTGGACACAGCACAATACTAATACTTGGTAGACAGTAGGTGTTTGATGAATGAAAAAAATATTAAATACAATGTAAAACTGGATTACTGGAGTAGTAAACCAATAGGATATGATTTTGAAATGAACTACTTAAAAATAATTTTCCTGAAGTATAAGCCTTAAACTGCACATGTATAATCTTTGCAAGCAGGATAACTCCTACCTGTACTAAATATAAATATGAGTAATGTCTTCTACTATAAGCTATGTATAAACACTTTAAAGGAAATTTTTAAATTATGCTAATAAACCCAAGAAGAAATAATTAGCTGTCAAGCTGCTTTCTAATCTCATAGAACTGAACCTAGAATGAAGTCATAAATATTACTGGAACTAATAAAAAAATTAAAACACTAAAAACACATGATCGTTTAGTTAGCACACAAATGATTCCTATACTGCTTGAGAGCACAGAAAATAGTGTAAAAATTTTTAACAAACCTGTAAATTACCCTTTCCAATGAATCCTAGAAGCAGCTGGATTTGCATCTGAGAGAGTTTTACCCACACTGGACTTTCAGAATACCAAACCGAGAGAGAGTCGAAGAGCAGCATCATATCCTCTAAAAGCTATTGCAAAGGAAAAATTCAAAAAGAAAAACATTCAATTATTTAATCTACTGATGATGAGTTTTCCCCAACACTAATACCAAGTAAAAACATTCCAAACCTAGTTCAATGTATAGTTAGTAAAAGCCAAATGACTTATCTTAGTAATAAGCTAATAAAATCTGTGACTATCATACCTTATCCATGGCTTATTGCATCTTATAAAATATTAATACTCTGAAAAGAGGGAATACAAAATTTGGTTATTTTTTAAGATCTTATTTATTTTTAGATGGGAAGGAAGGAAGAGAGGGATAGAAACATCAATGTGTGGTTGCCTCCCACATGCCCCCTACTGGGGACCTAGCCCACAACCCAGGCATGTGCCCTGACTGGGAATTGAACTGGCAGCACTTTGCTTCACAGGCCAGCACTCAACCCACTGAGCCACACCACTCAGGGCAAATTTGTTTGTCTAAGTAAGTCCTTAATTATCAAAGAAATAATTTCAAAGACATTACTGCACCTTCTCAGTCCATGTATTTGCATTAGCTAGTTCCTCTGACTGCAGAAAGTCCTGTATTATCAGCATGAGTCGAAAGGCATTTTCAGCAGTTACTGGATTAGTTTTTGCTTCTCTGTTTTCTGCGACTGCCCATTCTAACATCTTCTGCAGCAAACTAAGTGTAAAATAAAGTTCTCTTAAAATGTTTTTAAACTTAGAAAAATAGTAGAATATAAAAAAAACCAAGTTATTATTTCATAAGACTGTATCTCCAGAGATACACCATCTCTGGCAGGCATCATAAAACACTTGGAGAATTTAATAACAATGAAGCAATTTTTAATCTTTAGAATATCTATTTTTAATACACCTAACGCTAAACTGTGAAATAAAAGTTACCTGTTGACCTAATAAAAAGCCATGAAAATAATTCACATTCAAGTCTCCATGAAATATTTAAAAGTTTCTCTAAAGCTGAAATTGGAAAAGTTAGAAAAGAAAGACTTATTATGCCTTATTGTGGGTCAAGCTCTGTGGAAAATAAAGAAGTAATTCTCCCCTAGTGTGCTACCGTTAGTGTTCTATCATAAGCAGGGAACTTGATGCTTTAGGTAAGTAATTTTCATGAAAACACTACTACCTTCCCTTATTATGGTAACACCCAAATTTGGGCAAGACCATAGAACAGAAGCACCAAACACTTAGATATTGCAGAAAACAATTTAAACGACAGGAATATATAATGACTTAAAACCCAAATCAATTTAAGATTTAAATCTCTTCACATTGGAGCTGGTTTTTGGACTTCTCTCTAGATCCCAAGAGAATGGTGACAGAAAAGGAGCTGAAAACAAAGTCTCTCCTTTTCTCTACATCCATAATGGATGAATGTTCAATAAAATATCTTATGCTCCTGTGCACTCCAATGAGAGAAGGGAAGTCACCAACCAAATACTTACATTAGTTTTATTTCATCTGATGGTCGAAGTAGCTCACTGGATATTCCTGATTTAGTTAGTGCCACAAACACTTGTCCCCGTTCAAGCCAAGTATCTTCATCCGACTTTTCTAGTCCTTTACACATTACATAGTTCAAAATATTTGTCAGTAATTGAAGAAGCTCCTCCTCACATCTCTATAAAAACAAAGTAATATCAAATTATTGGAGGGAAGGGATGTTAATTAAAGCACATAAGATCCATCACATACACTGACTATAGTCCTGTAACATATCATTATTAAATTGTCTAAATGAACCTGGAACTTTACCAGTAAGTCCTAGAAATACAAGGATGAATAATATACTCACTTTGTTGTCAAAACATGCATAATTTAACGACATAAGCTTTTAATATCTCAGATCACGAGACTTAGAAATAATATATAATGAAATTGTTAACAATTATACATTTCTAAGAATCAGAAGTATACAATAGACATATATAAATAAAAACAGCATTTGGACAAATAAGGTATTTTACCTCTTGGCTTTCAAGTAAAGAGAAGTCATCACTAAAGCCCACGTCACTTGCGATGCTGCTTTCCTTGTCGGACTGCACAGAAAATGATTTAGTGGACTCTACTGGGGATGGCGTGCTAGGTAAGCTATCTGGCATCTGACTTCCACTGTCGCTCAGTTCACATGAATCAATGCCACTGAGACCTAAACTTAAATGGGAAGGGTTATTATGCCAGAATTCTTCCTGATTCTCTGATTTGAAAGACAATTCTCCCACAGAGCTATCTTCTTGAAATAATGGTGTGTTTGAATCTAGAGACTGTCTATCCTCCAAACTCCAGGGGTCTGAAGGCACATCGGCTGAGGCAACAGAGTTCATTTTTTCATCATCTGTCTTTTCATCAAAGTTCCTCTTAATATCTTCGGATGATATATTTTTATCATTGTCTTTCATTAAAATAGTCCTATTGTGCTTATGAGGAGTATTTCCATTTTCAAAATTTGCTTTAAAAAAAAGCCTAACTAAAGTGTCTTGCCAACCCACTTGTTGAGATATTTGATGTGCTGCATCTGGCTGGGACTGTAGAATCTGTAAAATCTGCAAAGATATTAAGAACACAAAGTTTGTCAAAACATACACAGTACTTCACATCAAAAACAATTTCTTTTCAGTTATTTTAATGATGAAGTGACTTAATGAGACACTTTCAGAAGGTATACTTCCAAAAAATTATGTTTACAACTAGATTAGAAACTATTTGGAGGGCAGACATTGTTTGTAACTAATCCACTTATTTCATTATGGAATGGGAATGTACTAAAAAATTTGCTGAGAGATAAAAGAAAAAAGATTAACAATCCTCCACATGTCAACACCCTCATGTTATTAATTTAATTTGGTCAGAGAGAAAATATAAGCAGAGTGAAGGTATATTTAAAACATAATAAAGTTATATCCTCTTAACTAAAGACTTCCCACAGCCCATTTGTTTAGCTAATACTGAACATTCACTACGTGGCAGGCACAGGTCTGGTACTAGGGTCAGGAGAGTAGAAAGGACACATGAGAGACTCATAGAACTTAACTGCTAAGTGCTCCAAGAATAATGTTTTCCCACTTCATGTTTTTCCTGGCAAAATTAATGGCTGTTTTTGCAAAAACATTTTTTTCATTCACTCTATATTACATTTAAAAAACCCCACACCAAATAATTCCAAAAAAACTAATTCCAATAAAATGGAAGCTGCTATTTAACTAGAATGAGAAATTAAAATTAAGGAGTAGACACTGACATAGTAATGTGCATGACCTCCTATATCCAACTGACTTCATTTATTTTTTTAAATTAATTAATTTATTTTTAGAAAAAGGAAGGGAGGGAAAAAGAGAGGGAGATTCCCCCAACTAGGGACCTGGCCTGTAACCCAGTCCTGTGCCCTGACTGGGAATTGAACCGATGACCTTTCAGTTTGCAGGCCAGTGCTCAATCCACTGAGTAACATCAGCCTGGGTTGATTTCACTGTTTTTGTGGAATGAAAACAAGTTCTCAGAAATTCAGTTACAGGTACCTCTTTCATCAGAATTTCTAACTGTGACAAGTTTACGACAGAAGATGAATACTGTTGGCAGGGACTTTGATATTAACAGTTCTAATGTACACTGATGCTGATATAGAAAGTAACGAGGCACAGTGACATGTGAAGTTTCTTTCTTCATTAATACTATCAATCAGTGAGCTACCATTACTCCATAGGTGCAGTATACCAATTCTTTTTTCTTCCAGATTAAGCTTTTCTCAGATAAACACTAGGTTACACTGATAGCTGTTCTTTTTTTTTTTTTTTTTTTAAATTTATTTATTTATCTTTAGAGGGAAAGGAAAGGAGAAAGGGAGAGAAACATCAATGTATGGTTGCACTTTGCGCATCCCCTGCTGGGAACTGGCCTGCAGGGAACCGGCCTGCAACCCAGGCATGTGCCCTGACTGGGAATCGAACCTCGATTGTCTGGTTCGCAGGCCCGAGCTCAATCCACTGAGCTACACCAGCCAGGGCTGATAGCTGTTCTTAACTGCACACTGAAAGGAAAGGCTTCAAGGACAATATGGCAAAATCCATCAAAATGTAAACTGTAAATACTCTTTGACACAGGATTTCCATTCATGGAGTATGTCTCACAGATGCATTAACACAAAAAGGTAAAAGTATATGCAAAAAATACTCTTAAAAAAGTTTATTAACATGAAAAAAGAGGAAAAACAACCTAAATATCCATCAACAAGAAACCGGATAATACTTTCTAAAATAGCCATAAGATGAAAAACTATGCAGCCATTAAAGAGAAAAAGATATATCCACATTACTGATGGAAAAATTAAATTAAATTAAATACTAGAGAGGTCAGTGGTTACCAGTGGAATCTCTATTAATCAGAAAGAATCAAAGAAGATAACTGATGGCTGACTTAGTTCAAGGTTAAATGTGTGCACTAAAGGCAAATCACTGTTAGAATAGTCAAACAAATTATAGAAAATTCTTCTCACGAAGTTCAAAAGATTCAGGAACTCAAAAATACAGTAAATGAATTATAAACAGTCATAAATCACTGAAAGTTCTTTTTTTTTTTAAAGTTCTTAATAAAGAAACTATTCTGTAGTAATAAATTTTTGACACTAGAAAGGGTATATGTACTTTCAGGAGCCCATCTAGGTAGTGGTAACAAAAAGAAATTTAAATGCTGATTGTGAGGACATAAAAATTAATCTCAAAAAAGGAAACTACAAAATTATGCTATTTATAAAATAAATATTAAAACATGTCTGGTAAAAATACTCAATCTAAAAGTTATTCAGAGTATAATGACATTGCTATTTTTAAAGTGTATCTTAAAAGTTTACTAACCTTTCTGCAGATGACCACCCTGACATTTATATACGTTCTGTGAGATATATATACCACAGATAACAGATCTTTGAAATTAACTGCAGTATCTATGGTAGGGGAAAAACAAAAAATTAAAATTAAATTCCAGAGATAACCAAAGAAAGAACTGTAGGCAATAGTTATATAAATGCTGAAATAATTGCTTCATTTTTTTACTTTTTCTTTTGCTGTCAATAGATGCCACATTTTCCCCAGCTTTATTAAAATATAATTAACATTAAAAAATTGTGTAAGTTGAAGGAATATAACATGATGATTTGAATATATTGTGAAATGATTACCACAATAAGGTTAGTTAATACATCCAACAACTCACATAGTTAACATTATTTTTTGTAGTAAAAACATTTAAGATCTGCTCTCTTAGTAACTCTCAATTACACAACACAATAATGTTAACACAGTCACCATGCTATATAACGGATACTCAGAACCTACTCATCTATCACTAAAAGTCTGTACCCTTTGGCCACTTTCACCCATTTTCTCCATTCCTTTAGCCCTAATAACCACCAGCCCTGATAGAATCTACAGTTTCTATTATTTTTTTTGGATTTCATACATAAGTGAGATCATACCGTATCTGTCCTCTGACTTATTTCACTTAGCAAAATGCTTCGGAGATTTTTCCATGTTGTCATAAATGGCAAGATTTCCTTCCTTTATATGGCTAATATCCCACTATATATATTTATACAGACCATGCCTTCTTTACCCATTCATCTGTCAACAGACACTTAGGTTGTTTCCACATCTGGGCTGTTGTGAATAATGGTGCAATGAACATGGGAGTATAAACCTCTTAAAGATGATAATTTCATTTCTTTTGGATATATACCCAGAAGTGGGACTGCTGAATTATATGGTAGTTCCATCTTTAATTTTTTGAAGAACCTCCATACCATTTACATCATAGTGGTTGCACCAGTTTACATGAGCACCAACAGTGAGTGCACAAGGGTTCCCTTTTCTCCACATCTTCACCAGGACTTCTCTCATCTTTTTGATATTTGCCATCTTAAAAGGTATGAAGTGATATCTCCTGGCCGTGACTTGCATTTCACTGATAATTAAGGATTTTAGCACCTTTTTCATGTACCCATTAGCCATTTGTACATGATCTTTGGAAAAATATCTATTCAGGACCTTTGTTCACTTTTTAATTGGATTTTTTTGCTGTTGAGTTGTTTGATTTTCTTATATATATATTTTCAATATTAACCCTTTATCAGATTTTCACTTGCAAATAGATTGTCTCACTCTGTACTTCGCCTTCTTATTTTGTGGATGGTTTCTTTTGTTGTGCAGAAGCTCTTGTGTGCTATAGTCCCACTTCTTTTGACTTTTTTCTGCTGGTGCTTTTGGTATCATATCCAAAATCTCACTGTCAAGACCTATGTCAGGGAAATTTTCCCTATGCTGTCTTCTAGTAGTTTTACAGCTCAGGTCTTACACTGAAATCTTTAATCCACATGGGTTAATTTTTTGTGAGTGGTAGAAGGTAGAGAGGGGTCCGTTGTTATTCTCCTGTATGTAGATGATCAGTTTTCTGGACACCATTTATTGACCAGACTCTTTTCCCCACTGCATATTATTAGATCCCTTGCAAATATTAGTTAATCGTACATGTACAGGTTTATTTCTGGGTTCTTGATTCTGTTTCACTGGTCTGTGTGTCTGTGTTGATACTTACAGCACACTGTTTTGATTTTTTTTATTGTTATTTTTTATTTAATTATTTTTCAACTACAGTATTCTGTCCTTTACTCCCATCCCAGCCCACCCCCCCATGCCCCGTTTTGATTTTTTATAGCTTTGTATCATAGATTAAAATCAGTAAGTTTGATGCCTCCAACTTTCTTCTTCTTTCTCAAGTTTTTTCTCAAAGAAAGAATTGTTGGTAATAGTTATATAAATGCTGAAACTGTTGTTTTTTTAAATAGAAATTACAGACATTTAAATTTTACCAGACAATAGGTTTAGAATGCTTGATATCTTCTGAGTAAACTGTAAATAATTATTCTTTTGATTGTGTGAACATACTATCAATAATACTTGGTCTTTACACTGTTATCTTTTTAAGTAAATGCTTTGTCTTATCAACAAGATGGTAAACCACTCAAAACAAAGACCTTACTGTTACCTTTTGAACTCCCAACACCTGATTTAAATTTTATAGTTTTTAGTATGGACTAGAAAAAGGTTTATAAAAAATCTGAAATTAGTTTTTATTTTGCCTTTAAGAATTTAAGCTCCATAAAGAAAAAAGATAAAGTATTTTGTACATATTTTCTCTAGTGTCCTTTTCTTGAAATAGACATTCAATTATCTATTTACTAATCAGTCAGCCAATAATCGTTAATCCAAGGCCTACCAAATACGGCACTATGTTATGTCTTAGGAAGAAAAGGAAAGGTAAATAAGAAACAGCACCCAAGGAAAGCCTCATTGATCAAATAACAGATCATTTTAAAAGCAACCTAAGGAAGGATGAAAAAAGAACCTCAGGAAAAAAATAATTGAGAACTGTCAAACAGAAGCACATTACTATGGAGAACATTTCTTAAAAGCCATCAGTGTCATTAGCCTTAATCATACCTGTATTTATAATCTGATTGGTGAGGTTTTTAATGAGAGAAGTATTAACAGGTGCTTCATTCAGAAGGAGTCCCAATCCTGAATAGCCAACTTCTCTGAGTCGAATACGTTGTTTACTTCGTTCATAAACATTTGTGCATTTCAACATCTGCTCCATAACCTGGTCACAACAATACAGTCTTCTCAATATAGAGAACTAAGAACAGTTTGTCACTTAGGTTAATATTCAATTACAATATTGATTTAGAAGGTTTTTGAAGCATAATTTTATTCCTGAGATACAAAAGAATAACCAGCACTAATAAGAAAGGTGGAATGGGTGGCTTTAGCCAAGGTTCAGAGCTTGGCACAGTCTAGATAGTTTAAAATATGTTCTAGACCCGGCTGGGTAGTTCAGTGGTTGGAGCATCATCCCCATACACCAAGGTTGCAGATTTCATCTCCCATTAGGGCACGTGCAAAAATCAAGCAATGAATACATACATAAGTGAAACAATAAATCAATGTTTCTATTTGCCCCTCTTTGTCTCTCTCTAGCTATCTCCCCATAAAGCAATTTTTTAATTTTTTTTAATTTTTAATTAATTTTATTTAGTTATTTTTCAAGTACAGTTTTTTGTCTTTTTCCCATCCCAGCCTCCCCCGCCCCTTGCTCCCACCTCCCTCCCATTTCCACCCCCCTTAGTTCTCGTCCCTGTGTCCTTCCTATTTGTTCCTCCAAATCCCTCCCCCCTTTTTCCCCTTAACTTCCCTTCCCTCTCCCCTCTGGTCACTGTCCCCTTGTTCTCTATTTCAGTGTCTTTGTTTTTTTTTCTGCTTGCTTTTTTGTTTTGTTGTTTAGCTTCCTGTTAAAGGTGAGATCATATGGTATTTTTCTTTCAGCACCTGGCCTATTTCACTCAGCATAATGCTTTCCAGTGCAATTTTTAAAAATTTTTTAAATAAATAAAATAAAATGTGTTTTATATCCTTTGACAAGTTGCAAACTTTTCTGCCTCAGTTTCTTCATCTGTAAAGTGGGGATGAAATAATATCCACTTAATAAAGTTATTGCCAGTGCCTGACAAACAATGAGTGCTACATAAGGTTAGTTACAATTCTCCTGTGTAGACTCACATAAGTCAAAATGGAGATGAGAAGTTTTATATTGAGGATGGTATGACAAAGTACATTTTCCACTGAAATGACTGGTAAGATTACAACATAATTAGCTTTTAAATATGTCAACAAAAACATGAAAAATATATATTAAAACAAATGTAACAACTTAAAATTACAAGTAGATATGAATATATACATTCATAAAATGTATATATTCCAAGTAAATTTATCCACCATAACTTCCCCAAAATATAAAGACACATAAAAAATGTTTTTACCTTAAAAATGATTTCTCTTAGTTTGTCAGAGTACTTCTGATTTAAGAGCAAGGCATAAAGTATGTCAGCATTTCCTGGTTCAAACAGCAGTAAGAAAAGCTGACCTCTAGTTGGACTGGCACGCAGGAGACTAAAGAGTATATCCAAAATTCCAAAGAGCTTTTAAAATTAAATAATACAAAACAAATAACCACACTCATATATGGAAGCCAAATACAATCATAAACCACAGTTATTTAACTAAATCTCACATACCCTAATGTTCTAGCTTAATTGAACTATCTGATATCTTCTGAACCTCACCTTTCACTCCATTATGCTTTTGGTTTATTCCATTTTCTTTTGTATATCTTCTCACTACTATATGTAGGTACATATGCTGCTATGCTGCTCTGTCCATATGTAAAGCCATCTCTTCATAAAGTCTTTCCTGGTCTCCTCAACATGTAATACTGCCCTATGAAAACCTCATAGGACTTTGTATCTCTCTTATAAATGTTATCATACTCTTTTTTGTTACATAATTATTTACAAACCTCTCTTATTCACCCCTGTCTCCATTAGGCTACAAGTAAAAATGGTAATTGATTCATCATTATAAACCTACAATGGCTAGTATTACATATATAAATAGCTATAGATAGATATATAGATACATTTTCAATAATTCTTTAAAGTGACCAAGAAAATATCACTAGCAATGAATCATTGCGGGTGACAATAGAGCTGTCATAAAATAAAATGGCTACTCATTATTCTCAAACAATGAGGAACTTTTGAAGTAGTCCAACCTTACATGGAAGTTGCCAAAATTAACTTATCTATATAATGCAAATTATAAAGTCATGTAACTACAGAGTAAACAATAAATATTTCATGATACAGGAAAAAGTATTTGAGTCAATATAAATTAAAGCTGCTCAAATTTGGTGTTGAGAGTAATACGAAGAAAGAGCACGGAAACAGCAGTAAATACACGCAGTTTTTCTAGTCCCAGGTTTACAGCTGTGTGACTTTTTAAGTTGTCACCAAATATTTCTGAAGATATATTTTCAAATGCACAAGTGGGAAGAGTAACTCCCAGTCTGTATATTTTATGCCAGTGTTTCTCAAATTCTGCCATGTACCACAGTCATCTGGAGGGGCTGATTCAGCATTATATTTTCATTTCTACAGAGTTCCCAGGTGAGGCTGGTCAGAAACTATACACTAAGAATTACTGTGTTGAAGAGTAGTTCTGAGCTGCAAATAATGTATATAGAACTACTTAAAAACACGCCCTGGCTGGTGTAGCTCAGGGGATTGAGCATGGGCCTGCTAACCAGACGATTGCAGTTCAATTCCCAGTCAGGGCACATGCCTGGGTTGCAGGCCAGTTCCCAGCAGGGGAAGCACGGGAGGAAACCACACGTTGACATTTCTCTCCCTCTCTCATTCCCTTCTCCTCTAAAGATAAATGAATAAAATCTTTAAAAAAATACAAATACACTTCTAATTTATTGTATGCAAAACTTTTAGAAACCCATGTTATATTCAAATTCATGTTGGAAATCTGCAGGCGTTCCAGTGGTGCAATTGGTTAGCGTGTGGTACGTATAAGAAATGTGTCCAGTAACTCTGATGATACATCAATATACATTACGTGACCTATGAAAATAGGCTCAGAATTGCCAGATAAAGCAACTATTTCCACATTCTCCTTTCTACTTTCTACTTCATTAAAATATTTTATTATACTGCCATCTACTTTATTAAACTTTCCGTTAGGAGAAAAAATTTATTTCTTTAATGGAATAATCTCATATGTGAAACTATAAACATTTCATTCTTCAAATATGTTTATTAGACATGCATTAAGTATAAAAGAAGATGACATAGCAACTTCGATGTTAAAAATTAGATTATCTTGAGCCTAATACCTGTTCTTCTTCATTAATAGCAGCTATGTAACCCATGATACTTTGTATCTCTTCATGAGTTCCACCTTTGCACAGAAAGTATTTAATCAGGCCATACAAAGAAGTCCTAATTGTTCGGATATCATCTAGAGACAGCTCACTATATTTACAATCAGTTCTGAAAGAGAAAGTAAAAGTGCAAGAATTGATATTTAAAATTTTTATATTTGTTACTTGTTAAATAAAAAAATTATAATTAAAAAAGATGTTTCCATGTAATTATTAGAATTCATAATATAATATTATTAATCAATGTTACCTCAAAACTTTATTTTAAAATAAGTATTCATTTAGCTTCTTTTTCTAAATAGAAAATCTTTTGAAGTTAGGAGTTTCAATGATAAAGATAAATTTATATTTCATACTTATGTAACACTCACTATGTGGCAGACACTGTTCAAAGTGCTTTATACATTATTAACTCATTTAATTTAATGATCAACACAACCATGGAGTGTCTCAGTTTTATCTCCTTGTTCCAGAACAGAAAACCTCAGCACAAAAAAGCTAACTGAGTTACCAAGGGTTAGTTAATTAATGAAACATAGGATCAAACTCAAAGTATATGATCCACTGTTCATCCTTTCAACCTCCACACTTTCCTGCTAGAAAAATAAACAGTCTAGACATTCCAATCAAGAAGCAGACAGAAAATAGCAAACTGAGGAGTAAGAACATCATACCCATAATAAATCCTAAGTGAATCTAGGAGAAACTGTACACCATACTTCTTTCGGAAAACTCTCCTGCTGTCTTTGATAATGGTGGAAAGATACTGTATATGACCTAAAAGAGAAAGTTCACTCTTAAATGATATACCTAAAATAAAGTCATCTATGTAGTTATAAATTTATAAACAACTATAAGATTTTATCTAAGAGCCTGTTCTCACCAATTCGAAAGGGAAAATCTCCATGGTTCCAAATACGGAAATCAAAGAGTAAATACTGATACATTTGTTGCAGGAGCTGCGTATTTTTCTCTAATGATACCTGTTCAATTAGTAATTGAATTGCCATCAATACATTAACATCCATTAAGGTGTTGGGCACCTAAAATCCAAACAGAGTAAGGGTCCTGTAAAATTCAGCTTAAATAATTGTTATTAAGCTATAATTTCAAACAATTTATTTAGAACATCTACTAAATATAAAACTCTTCATTAAAAAATATATAAACTTAAAACATTATTTTTTCTGAAGTAATGCTAGAAGATATTTTCCTAATGTTATAAATTGATCAAGTATCCCAAATAACAAAGCTAACAAACAAGGTCCTGTTACACAAGATAAGTAATTCTTATATAAGATGATTCAATAGTTCCTAAATCTACTTATGAAGTAAACTATATCCACTAATACAACAAGCTACACTAGTGTAACAGTGTGGTTTTTTAAAAAATACTTACTTAGGAGGAAGAAAAACCCCAACACTATCTGCTAATTATAATCATCAGCCACATCTTACGTTAGACTAGCTCACCTTCTGAAGGAGGGCACCAAGAGTGGCAACTCCATGGGAGTGAATAAGATTGTCCTGGTTAATAGGATGTCTTTGAATAAAGTGTTTCACAATCAAGATAAATGTCGCAACTAAACTTCTCTCTAGTCTTGACTCTGTGGAATCGTGAACATGGTATTAGTTATCATAATTACTCCAATTACTTTTATATCATATTTTCTATATCATAATGAATATTCTAACATACAAAGAATGTGGCTAAGGAATATGCCTCCAAAGGTCACTTGTAGAACAAAAATATGAGAGAAATCAGCAATTCCATGTTTTATACTTACATACACATGTAAGTATTTTCTCTACCATAAATTTAATAATGTCATATTTTCACTAAGAGTACAAACTAAGGATAAGAGTAAAACCAAGATACGTTTTTGACCAAAGTACTGTAAATTTTCTAAAGTACACTATTAATAAATTAGGGATGGGCTACTTGGCCTACAAATGGTTAAGTTTCTTCCTAATGGTATCAAGATATTTTAATCTATTTTTCCATTAACTCACAAATTGTTTTAATTTCATCTTAATACCTGATGTCTTTGTGGGGGTCGATACCGCCCTATCTCCTTCTATAGGTGTTAATAATTCAGAAACTGTTCTTTCATTCACTCCTTCAGGAATTTGTCCTTCACTAATATGGCTAATTTGTTCCAATAGTGGAAAGAGTACATTTAATCCACCTATGCAGTTTATGATGTCCTGAAAAAGAACAATTTTTTCATCTTTAAAACAAGGGCAATTTTGTCATTTAACATCTACAGAGTATGTATGAAGTTACAATTTACTAAATCTTTAGGCAATGTATGGTACAGTCTACACCGATGGAATTCTTGTATGGGCATATGCTGTAAAGAGCAGCCTCCACAGTCACCATAACCAATCCTCAACAGAGAATGAGCCAGACCATTTTTTAACGCAGCTCTGTTTTCCAAAGTTCAGGAATTCCAAACACAGGCAATCTAAACATGACCCCGTGAGTTCACTTTATAATGTAACACTAATGATGTAACAGGAAATTGTCATGCAGCAATTAGGCAATTAGGATAGTAAATCATAAGGAAAAAAACAATGTATTTGGCAGGAGAAATATGACTGACTTCTAATTTTAGTTAACAAAAAAGGTGGAGTGGGTGGCTTCAACCAAAGATCAAAGTGACTATTTCGAATAGTTTAACAAAATATATTTAGTATCCCTTGACATGTTACTAATTTCTCTGCCTCAGTTTCCTTATCTCTAAAGGAAATACCATTAGGGATACTAATTCCCACTTGGTGAAGTTGTTAAAAGAACTAAGTAAGCTAATATACTAAAAGCGCTTGGTGCCTGACAGAATAATAGCTATATAACATTAGCTATTATTAAGTGCTAAGATGTTCTAAACTGCCATGTAGACCTAGCTTAAGTTTATACACAACCTTTCCATATTTACAAGCCTATAAAACCAATCTTACAAGTGACAGCAAATGTTAACTTACAAATTGGTAAACACATCATAAATCTTATTACCCTAACAGATAAAAAATATTGTCTTCAAGTGAAAGATTTATACCACACAAATAACATGAAATTAATTTTAACTGATGGATTCATTTTTACACAAGAATCATTCTAATGATTTGTTCCACTGAAAGAATAAGTAAATTCAACTGGTGTTAAGTTACTAGTAGGGGCTGAAATCTGCCACATACTTTTAGGGATTAAATACATTAACAGGGAGTACAATTAAGACAACATATGAGGGAGGACGCCCCAGTATTTATAAAAATCAGTATTTAAAAAAATCTGTGTATTTATTCTTACATGTTTAAACTCAGTCACCTTCAAACTACTCTCCACCTGAAATATCAAAACTTTTTTTCCACTGCTCAAAACAGTGTTTGAACTCATTGATTTTGATGCCTTTTGGTGCTTCTGATGTTTTTTGTTTCACCTCTTCCACATCAGCAAAATGTTTCCCTCTGAGGATTTTCATTGGGGACACATAAAAAAGTCCCTAGGGGTGAGGAGGTAGGGTGAATAGGGAGGCACGGCACAGAAGTCACTCCATTTTTGGTCAAAAACTCCTGAACACTCAGTATGGTGTGGGAAGGTGCACTTGTAAATAACATATCATGAAATGTACAAATGTATTGAAAGAGTATTCAAAATAAATTCACTGAAGCCAAATGCAGCCTCTCACAACAATACCAGCTGGTACACTGATACAGATGGGTTCTTAGAACACTCATGTGGTGTGGAGACCCAAGCTACAAGGGCTCTGACCTCTAGAAGATAATTCCACTTTGTCTGGGAGTTTTTTGGTTCCCCCCTTGTATTTTTCTCCTAAAAATTGTTAAGCTGATAGCATGTTTAAAAAGTAAATTTCTGGCAAATCAGTCTTTCACTACTTATTTGTTCATCCTTCAAACTGTATATCTTGCCTGCAAACTTTTTAATGGTGACATTATTCAGACCTGATGGTGCTCAAAAGATAAACCATTGTAAAGGATCAGTAAACTTACATAATGCATTGCCTGCCATTTATCATTAACATACCTTAATATCCCAGTTTACTACTTTGTTTCCTGTTAACCTTCCATGCAAACAGTTAGTAGATAAATCAAGACAGATTGAATTTTTGCAGGCCTAAGAATAAAAATAAAAAACCAAAGGAAAAAAACAAGTTAAACAGCTAGGCGCAATAAAGACAAAACATTAATTACAGATAGAACATTTCACCATAATTTAAAAAAGTATATAGCATAGTTAATAAGATGCCTACAATATTAAGTTTAGTATTAGTATTCTCTAATTATTTCTTAAAAGAATCAAGGGCTAGATTCTAAAGTACTCATTCATCAAATGCAGGTCACTGTTGCTTATTACCTGATAATTTAACTGCTGCTAGAACCATTCACCAACCACATAGTTTTAAATTTTTCCTCTTTTATAAACCAATGTATACAAGGAGATTTTCTTGACTTAAAAAAAATTCAATGGTTTATTCCCATTAGTACTTCCCTAGGCACAATTTCATGGTCCATAAAAAAGTGGACTAAAGCTCTGGCTGGGTGGCTTAGGTGGCTGGAACACTGCCCTGTACACCAAAAGGCTGCATGTTTGATTCCCAATCAGGGCACACACGGGAGATAACCGATTGATGTTTTTCTACCACATCGATGTTTCTCTTGGCTGAGGTTTTTTTTTTCTCAAGTGTGACTGAAGGATGATATAAAAATCACAGAACAATATATTACAATATGAAAATCCAACCACATGCATAAAATACTATTTTCCCTCATTGTACTGACTGATTCTAGTTGTATTCAGATTAGGAGCTTAGTCTGAAACTCTAGAAAGTGTTGAAGTAATTTGTCAACTTCCATAAAGGTTTCTAAAGCACGTAACTTCATATTCAATCTGTGAATTTTCAAGTAATGAAGCATCCTCGAATCTAATCCCTACTCAAAAAAGAAACCTACAAATGTCAACACAGATGATGCAGCTACTGCCTCCCTCTTAAGGCAGCTGAGAAAAACTGCTTTAGTGAGACAAATGTAAACTGACTTTACATTAACTCAGTGTAAACTGTATTTCTGTCAGAGACAGAAATGTCTTTCTCCCGTTACTACCTTACTTTCAGTACCTGTGTACCTATGACCTAATTTCATAATTATATGACTGCCTCCAGTCTCCCATACCTCCAAGTTGATTTCCACATTGCAACATGAGACCTTCTTCTCAAAGCAAACTTTGAATTACACTTCTGCTTAAAAATCCTACCCGATGCCTACTATTTAGCCTAGTACAGGTTTGCCACGATCTGGCCTCTACCTGCCCTCTAATTTCATTTTCTGCCGTCGCCTCTTCCTGCTTCGTGCATTATACTCAAATACATGCAGAACACAGTTTTACGTTCTATGCCTTTGTACGTGCCGCTTGCTGTGACTTCCACATCCCTCCTCAAGTTTGTGTTTAAAAACACAAGTCAAACCAAGTTTTCTATGATATCTAACCTCCTGGAAAAACAAACCATTGTTCCTTTGTACCTGCACTGTATTTTGTATGTAATTCCAACACAGACATATTATATAATGGATAAGGATATGAATTAAACCAGCTGGCCATTCACTAGAATTATGAGGTGAGGCAAGTTACTTATCTTTACTCAGTCTCAGAAAAACTAGAGCTTAGAAAAGATAGATACCACGAGCCCCCTCAGAACTTTTGTGAAGATTAAATGAGACAATACATATAAAGCATTTAGCATAGAGCATAATGTTATAAACATCTAACAAGAGGTAGCTAAACAGAAAAATGCTCATAAAATTACACTGCCCTTAATTTTTTTACACATTAACGTAACTTTACATTTTAAGCTTCTGATAAGGCCACGGGCTTTAACTGATTCATCTTTGTATCCTAGAAGTTCAGACAATTCTTGGCACAGAGTAGACACTCAAATTTTAAGCAAACAGATGGCTAAACACCTCCTAAAAATGAATACAAAAATAACAAATAACAAACTGTTGACCGTCAAGAATCTTCTATAGCAGCTTTTCCCAAACTAGCATTTATTACTGAGATAAAATACAAAATGTGTTCTCTGTTCAAATAACTGGTGCAAAGGGAGGATAAAACAAAAGTAAATTAGTTTTTTTACAGCAGAATTTTCAAGCATAATTTTACTCTCCAAGAGGGATATACAAAATGCATCCCCCCAGACTCATGTAACCAGAAAATCCATGTAGCATGCCATATCACCATATGCGAGAAACATTCCATCAATAAACGGTTTTACTGCATATACTTAAAATGTTTTGGTTTCAAAAAAGAATAGTGACTATATTTTTAGTATGTCGGAAATTTTATTTCCAATGGTAAAAATTCAACCTTTAATTCTTAAAAATCACTTAAAAAATATGGCAACTATAATATCAAAAAAACACACTTAGCCTTCACATACCTAGATATATAATATACCAAATACATTAGGTGAGATTAAGTCTAATTATTTCCTATCTATACTAGATAGTTGTAATGAAAATAAGTATAAGATATAGCCTCTGACAAGAAAAAACTTAAATCTAGTTTGGTAAACAAACATGTATCTTTGGAAAAAAGTTAAAAGGGAAACAAAAAAAATAAGAGACTCAGAGACACTATAACCAATGCAACTCATGAACCTGACAGATCCAAGGTTAAACTTTTTAAAGTAATTTTTTAAAATCCTCACCCAAGGGCATGTTCATTGATTTTAGAGAGAGAGGAAGGGAGGATGGAGGGAGGCAGTGGGAGGGGTGGTGAGAAAGAAACAGACAGACACATCAATCAGTTGCCTCCTGTATGTGCCTCAATCAGGGACCCAACCTGAAGCCTACACATGTGCCCTGATCAGAGTCAAACCTGCAACCCTTTTTGGTGTATGGGACGATGCTCCAACGAACTGAGCCACCCACCCAGGGCCTCCAGAGTTAAATTATTAAAAGACTAAGCAAGTATTTTAAGGAAAACTGGGAAAATTTGAATATGGGTTATATAGTATTTGAATTATTGATTTTTTTAGATAGGATAATGATTATGTGTAGGGAAAAGTCAGGATTAAAGTGTTTTTATAGGTATGTCAATCTGCTTTCACAAATGATTTGAGACAGACTGACAAAGAAAACTGTGGCAAAATGTGGTAACTGGGAAATTTAGGTGAACAGTATATAAGATTCCGCCTTACCATTCTTTCAACTTCTCTCTACATTTGAAATTAATCAAAATAAAAAGTTAGGGGAAAATACCAAGTAATAAGTAAATTTTATTAGACTAGATTTAACAAATGAGTATTCGATGTAAGAAATTATGGCCATACACTAGCAGGCTAAACTAAAAAAAAAATCTACAATGTATAATCTCACGCAGCAAAAGCATTTTCTATGTCAATGTCAAACTGAATACAATGAAAGCAATTGATAAAGTTTGTTTATGCTTCTTCTCCCTTTTCTTCTTTCCAGTTCTACCTTTGATCTTCTTTCGCTCAGTCCTTGCTGACCTTTTTGTCCAAGGGAAAAGGACCAAGCATAGGTTTCTTTTTCTCTTTCTAAGTAAATGTTTTTTTTTCAGACTAACATATTTTAAAAGTTACAAAGCAAATGTTGAGCAAATTGTTTTCTCTCTCCTCCCCCAAAAGTAGGAGTAAAACTTTTAAACTGTTTCATTAACTGAAGTCAATTCATTAGTAGAAACTCCTACTACAGCTGTTGCCATTCATACTGTTGGGATGACTAATGATCGCATTTGAACCAGAGTTGAGGCACACCTTTATTTTTAATGCTTTTCTGCTTCCTTCAAAAAGTAATAATTTTAAACATAATTCAAACCCTTCCTTCTCAATTACCCACTGAAATGACAAAATTTAAAAAGGAATTCTACTTCATTGATAGCAGAGTTGCAACTAAATGAACAATCCATGCATTTACTCCGACCTTTGCAGTGTAGTGAAGAAGGACGTTTCCAGGCAGGTCAGCCAGGTCAGACTCTTGAAATTTCCAAGGGCTTAAACAGTTTGGACCTGAAAATTATTTATATACATACACACATATCAGTGAATAGACACAGCCTCTTTGGTTCTATGTAATTGGAACAAAATTCAAAATTGAGCTCTTTGAAGCTCCTAACACAGTTAAAACACACTAGCCAAAATGTACTTTATTTTTATAACACTTCCAATTCATCCAAAGCCTGAAAAAGTTGGCAGGATGAATCAATCTCTACTACAAAAAGGAAATTAATAAAATATTAAATATAACAAAGTTTATCTATTAACTTATTTAATGTAAACCAATTAAAATTTATATGACAAAATAGCAATATAATCAATGATTATATCACAGAAATGAGATAAAAATGAATAGGAAAAAATTCTTGACTTTACAAAAAAAATCAAAGAAATACAATTAAAACTGGTTCAATTTTACATCAAAAATGGAGGAAATAGTATTCACCATTCCACCTTAATGAGGCTGTGATGAACCTGGTATACTTATGTATTACTGGTAGGGACTGTCGATTGATATATCCCTTTGGGAAGCTGATTGGGTAACATATTTTGAAAGCCAAAAAAATATTCATCACTTTAAATATTCATCCTGAAAATTTACCATAAATAAATCTATCAAAATAAGAAAAAAATAAGTACAACGGTTCATCATATTTAATATTTAAAGTTTACATCAATATTAAATATTATATTTTGGAGATTAAACCCTTGTCTGAGGTATCACTGGCAAATATGTTTCCCATATGGTTGGTTCTCTTTTTATTTTAATACTGTTTTCTTTAGCTGTGCAGAAGTTTTTTATTTTGATTAGATCCTATTTTTTATTCTTTCCTTTATATCTCTTGCTCTAGGGGACATATCAGTGAAAATACAGCTCTGTGAAATATCTAAGATTTTCCTGCCTATGTTCATAGCAGCACAATTTACAATAGCCAAGTGCTGGAAGCAACCTAGGTGCCCATCAGTAAATGAATGGATCAAAAAACTACGGTACATTTACACAACGGAATTCTATGCAGCAGAAAGAAAGAAGGAGCTCCTACCCTTTGTGAAAGCACGTAAGGAACTGGAAAACATGATGCTAAGTGAAATAAGCCAGGTGGTGAGGGACAAATACCATATGATCTCACCTTTAACAGGAACATAATCAACAAAAGAAAAAAGCAAACAAAATATAACCAGAAACAATGAAATTAAGAACAATCTAACAACAGCCAGAAGGGGGGGGAACTGTGGGGAGAAGGGTTTTCAGGAACTACTATAAAGGACACACAGACAAAACCAAGGGGGAGGGTGGAAGCAAGGGAGGGAAGTGGATTTGGCTGGGCTGGCAGGGAGTGGTGAGGAGAAAATGCAGACAACTGTAATTGAACAACAATTAAGAAGTAAATAAATAGAAATAAAAATATTAAATATTATAAACAAGTAAATTATAAATTATGAATCCAAATATGCAGCCATTAAAACAGTCATTATGAGCACTATATAACAAATAATTATTATTTATAAGAGTAGACTTATAAGTAGAAACAACTGTAAGAACAAAATCCAAACTACACAGATGTGATGATTACACTAAATTATTTATTAATTTGGAATTTTTTGGATTCTAAAGCTCAACTTCAAATATTTTGGTGAGTTTAAAAGTAATGAAAAGATTCTAAACTTTGAAAGTTTGGACATTCTCATTTATCTCAAAGCTCCCATGTAATCTAAAAAAGGAATTTTGACAAATAATAAGCAATTCTTCAGTTAATATACATGACTACTTAAAGGCTTAACTCCTGAATAATCTATGAAAAATAGATATAATTTTAAAAATAATTATGATCCAATACTAATCTGTGCACATTTTAAATCACAGCTGAAAGAAAAAGCCAAAATAAGAACAGCTCATAATTTTATCTAATGACTCATAATTCTACTGTCTTCATGAATTCTTCAGCTATATTAACACATGAATTATAAAAATGACAAGTTTTGAAAACTCACGATTTTAGAACCAATCATGTAATTTCTTATGAAGGCAGACTTATATTGTGTTTCATTTTATTAAAATCTCTCAAAAACATTATGGACTGAATTATGTACCCACACAATTCATATGTTGAAGGTATGATCCCCAAATAACTGTATTTGGAGATAAGGTCTTTAAAGAGGTAATTATGATTAACTGATATCCTGAGGGTCAGACCCTAATCCAACAGGGACACTTATAGGAGGACAAGACACCACAGATACTCTCTGCACATATACAGAGAGGAGACTCCATGTGAGCACATAGCCTAGAAGGCAGTCACCTACCAGCCAGGAATGGAGGCCTCACCTGAAATCAAGCCTGACAGAAAACTGATCTTGAAATTCTACCTTCCACAATTATAATAAAATAGTATTTAAGCCATGCAATGTGTGGTATTTTGTTATGGCAGTCCTAACAAACAAATAGTACACAGTTTTATGGATGACATTTGAAATATTTTCCAAAATTCTGCTCTATTTAGCCTATCAAAAAGAGTATGGTGTACTATAATTAATAATACTGTATAACATACTTAAAAGTTGTTAAGAAAGTAGATCTTTGAGAGGTGGAGGAAGGTATGGGGGGATAAATGGTGATGGAAAGAGACTTGTCTTGGGGTGGTGAATACACAATACAGTGTACGGATGATGTGTTGTGGAATCATATGCCCGAACCCTGTTATAATTTTGTTGTTGGGGTGACCAGTGTCACTGGTGTCACTGGTCACCCCAATAAACAATAAAAAGGAAAAAATAAAGATCTTAAATATTATTAACACATATTAAAATGGTAATTACGTGAGGGGATAGAGATGTTAACTATTATGGCAATCATTTTGATATATATATATATTAAAAATCTTCGTTTCGTATACTTTAAACATACATATATATCAGTAACATCTCAATAATACCAAGAGGGGAAAAAGTATGGTATGTGATGGGGGTTTTTTTCCCTTTAAGTTTCAACTAAAATAAATATACTCTTCAGCCCAGGCCAGTGTAGTCAGTTAGTTGGAGTGTCGTCCCATAAACCAGAAGGTTTCGGGTTCAATTCCCAGTCAAGGCACATGCCTAGGTTGCAGGTTTAGTACCCAATCGGGGCAGGTACAAGAGAAAACCAATCAATGTTTCTCTCCCTCTCTTCCCCTCCTTCTAAAACTCAATAAGCATGTCTGCCCTCAGATGAGAATTTAAAAAAAAAAATACACTTTTCAGGTTTAGGCAACAAAAAAACACACTAAGTTTAATTAAACAATATGAATGTAAATATACTCACCTGCTAAATATAACGCCTTCACCTGGGGAGGTTGTAGTGCTTCATAGAAGATGATAACAGACCCTAGTTGGCCCTCCAGAGATGTGGGACACCCCCACTCACTGTCCTGGGTTCCTGCTGATATCAATTTGGTAACTGATTTTGATTTTTCAATTGTTCCTCCCCAGGAGGCTGATGACAGAATTCCACCAAAGGATGTCCGATGAGGGGTAATGGGAGAAGAAAAAGGTGGATCTGGGATTTGGGATGGCGGTGGAGTGGTGGTTCTTTGCCCAGCTGAACCAATGCAGCATGAAATAAAAGGCTAAAAATTAAGAAACAAACAAAACAAATCACACAAGTTTAATTAAATTTCTATCATCGCATTTAAAATGAAACAGTTCATAAACTTAAGTACATCTGCCAGATGATACATATGTGCATGTGCACACTTAAGCTCACATTACGGATGTTACCTTTGGCCTACCTGACTTGGATACATTACTTTTATAACTCATATCCTTTTTCAAAGTTTAAATTTCTAATGAGTGTATAGTAACAAAAAAGTGTTTTAAAAACTTTACTATATTCTACAATAGAGAAAAGTCCTTCTCCCCTTCAAAATTATAAACAGAGAATTAAACATCAGTATAATAATGCTAATTATAGGTTATCCTGAAATGGTCATTGACATAAATATCGACAAGAAATACCAGAATCTAAAATGAGGGAAGTAATCTAATCCATCCTTTTACCTTCACAAAAGGTCCTTTCAAAATCATCCAAATACTCTGAAAGAACTTTTACACTAATGTTCTTTAAGAATCACCCTAGAAAATAAATCATATCTTATACCTAACTATAATACAATGTAAAGATTTAAAGTTTCTTCATTGCTGTTTCAACTTCAATGGAGAAGGAAACGAGTCCACCATAATGATTTATAACTGTTCCTATACTTGGTGAGTTTATTAAATGATCCTTTGCTCTGCTTTATTCAATTTCTTTGGTTTCCATTTGGCTGTTTTAAGTCTTTTCTTCTAAGCTTTTAATTACATTTGTTTCTTCTTTGAATTGTTTTTCTTTATTACATGTTGTCTGACTTCAAATAATGATGACAGGCTAACTGAATTAAATATTAACTTACTGTATCTTAGTGTAGAGAAAAATTAAAACTTATAGCCACGTACTTAGAACAAGGAGAACTTTCTACACTAAACTAAAATTTTTCAAAAGTTCTCAATGAACTGATCCTATGAACAGTAACTTAGCTGTGCTCACTTCATTCATGGCAGGAAACCGGAGCGGGGCAGAGGCCTTCTGCTGCCCATTGTCGTAGATGTAGACAAGACTCTGCCCAAAGGGCCTTTTTCCAGGCATATGAACAATGGTTATGTTGTGCTGGCAAAGTAAGACATGTTTGAAAGGAGAAAAATCATATTAAGTTCTTGGAACGTTTTCAGGATATTACTCTATAACTAGTTTGTGTGAAAAGCGCACATTAAGCATAACTAAATGTTGAGTAAAATGATCTTCAAGTAACATTTTTTGTAGTACTATGAAAACATGACTATTCTAGAAAATCTACACGTAACTGTAACACAGTATATTTTCCAAGTCTGTGAGTAGTTTTTAGAACCAATTTTTTTCTAATGAGAACCATTTCATATTTTAAGATAAGCAACAGAAATGAAGTTTTTAACAATTTATGTTCTCATTCCAAGTCAAATTTAATTTTAGAACACTTGAAAGAAATATTTTAATTTTTAGTAGAAAAATGATTACTACTAAATTTACAATAATAATGATAAATGGCATTAACCTCCTTATAGATAAACTTCCACATGAATACAAAGTGAAAATTAATCTACTCAAAAAAACATACTTAAAAGTTGTTAAGAAAGTAATCTTAACAACTGATATACATGCAACAAAGGTGTGGTTTTTATTTCTTTTTAAGATTTTTTTTTTGAGAGAGAGAAGAAGGGAGGGAGAAAGAGATGGAAAGAGGTATAGATGTGAGAAAGAAACATCAACTGGTTGTCTTTTATAGTACATATTCCAACCTGGCACCAAACGTGCAATCCAAGCATGTGCCCCGACCAGGAATCAAATCGGTAACCATTCCCTTTGTGAGATGGTGCCCAAACAATGGAGCTACACCAGTCAGGGCAAATGAGTGCTTGTTAAAGGAAAGAATCAAAAAGTTAAATGTGATGCCCTAAAGCCTTACCCAGAGAGAATCACAGAAACTGTGGTCAGGAAGCATAACTGTTGCATATTCTCTTTTCGTGCACACTGCCACAACCAACATACCTGAATGGGTAATAAAAGCTTCAAAACCCATGCCACTTCCTGTAAAAAAGCTAACAAAAATACATATTATCACAACTTTTGAAGTCAGTTATTCAGTTTATCTGAAGCATACAAAACCATAATAAAGGTCATCATGAATATTTTCATCTAAGACATTGTGGCTTACATTCTATTGCCACACATCAGTCCGACTTTGGATCAGAGATGATTTTTAAATCCTTTTTGGGCATTAAGAGTTAATTATAAAAGGTAGTCTTACAAGTGGAATTCCATTAGTAAACTATAGTAAACATATACATTTTCAAATCTTAAAAATTTGCCTCAGATTCAAAAAAGATGAATAAAGGTCTTAACAATCAAAGGTATATTAAAACCTACTGAAGTAACTAATTTTGGATGTATATATATAGGTTTTCTGATCCTTCACATAATTATATAGCACCTTCCGTGGGACAGATTCAATTTCAAGTTTATTATTCCTTTGTTCTCCATTTTTATAATATTTTTAAGATGGGACTTGTTTCCAAACTAAACTCAGAACTAGCAAAATATTTGAGATACACAATTATTATGAAAGCAACAAAGCATCTATAATTAAACTGTGCGTATAACTTGTACATTTGAAAACTAGATTCCTGAGCTGCATTTCTGCTTTTGAGCTCAACAATTTATATACCACCGTGGGGGAAAGGACTGCTGCTACTTTCATTACAGTTACCTGAGAAATAAAAATGAAAATACATAAAGTAAAAACTAAATGCTTGGAAAAGCTTTTTCCTTTTTAAGAATCACAGCATATACCCGATGACAGTATTCACTTGTATTTTATAACTTGTACCAGTACCTGTACAACTGTTTTCTTTTTCCTCCTTTGTTAGCATTGCCAAGCGCCAACTGATCCTGATCTAAGCAAAACCAAGCACTGAAGGAAAAGGCAGATCCTGGCCATTTCTGTATGGAAGGCACAGAAATTCCTGCCATACTATGTGACAAGTTGAAATACTGCAGTGCACTCTCTAGACTCTGTTTTCGAGCCATTGTCAGGATTGCTCGAGTCACAGGAGTAGTATAAGGGTGAAAACACTCAGATTCATCCACTCTTAGCAATCTTAGTAGTCGACGGATTTCTTCTGAGCTCACTGACTGACTCCCCAAGGAACCATGGAGAGCAATCAGGTTCTCAGCACAAGTTCGATGGAGTGCAGGATGGGAATCAAGAGTTTCGATGATTCTAATTCCCATGTTTGCATTGACACAAGTGGTTCGACTCTGCCTATTAATACAACAAATTCTTTTCAGCCAATCAGAGATGAAGATCTGTAGGTCTTGGGATTCTAGCTCAGGAAGCCACTGGATAAGAAGTAAGAGAGGCTGGACATTACTAATGCCCAAAATTCCAACTGAAGTGTGGTCACCCTCTACAGCCTGTAAAGCAACGTAAGAGATAAAAAGTTAGTTACCATTTTTATAGAGAAATAACACAACTTCTAACAAAGCTAAAAAACCTCACCATATTCATAAGTTCTTTAAGTAGTTCCAGTGACGGCTGACCCAGGGATTTTAATACTTCAAACATATGTGTATAACCAATTCTTTCTTTAAATACTTCCTAAGGGAGAGAAAATCAACATATCAAAGCACATTTTCAAAGACCAGATTTGCTGGAAAATATTTTTAAATGTTGTATAACATCCATTTAAGCTAATTAACGTTAAGGATTATAAACTCAACATTTCTGTTTTCTCAAACCACGTATCTTCATCTTAAAATGAACTCCATATACATTCTAAAATATAATTTATAATAATCTACTAAAATATATAATAAATGAAATTAGCAATAGTTGCATATTATAAAATTATTTTACAGGTTAGGTAACATGACACTTTACTTTCTTTGATTTATAATTATAGCAGTATTACATTAAACTAAAACAAAAATGGAGAAAAAATAAGGAAAATATGGGAATAACAGGAATCAGAGAGCAGCCTCAAAGGACTAATGAGTCCTGGCAATTTTGAGTAGTGACAAAAAAAGAAAGAAAAAAAACCTGGGTAATTTTCTTTTGACTCTTTGTATCTAAATGGTCTGAACTAGCTAGAGCACAAAGATCACCTTAGTAAGATCTAATCACATATTTTTGAAATAGTGAGACACAAAACCAATACGTAAAATATGAAGACAACCAAAAAACCGAGCAACAGTTAACTGGTTCAGTAAAGGAGGCAGAACTATACACACTCATCGTAAAAATTAAAAGATTTAAACAAGATGAGTAAGACTGGTTGTCTCTGAGAAAGGGAACTAGTTGACTATGAACAAAGAGTAGGAAAAAATCTTTTCAAAAGGTATATTTTAAATGATCTTTTCATTTAAATAGTATTTTTAAATTTTTAACCATGCAAGGCATTATACACTATAAAAAACTGATGCTGCAAAAAGCTTTGAACACCATTTTAGGTTTGAATTTCCTAATACAGTATAAGCAATCCCTTATACTGCATTACTACAGAAGCCAAATTACTTAGAACTTAAAATGATCTTTATCTTTATAGAAACTGTTTTAAATGATTAAATAGATTCTCAAGCCAGCCTGTAAACAATTGTAAAAGCCTATTTAACAGAAATCCAACCAAGAGTTATATGAAGCAACAACACAGGGCAAAAGTTCATTTCCTAAGAAAAATCAACAAAGAGTGGAATAAAACTAATGGCTTGGCTTAGGAAGCAAGGAGGAATTCATTCATTTCCGGTACCAGAAAGGTAATTAAGGCATGAAACATATTAAAGGTGATGGATAAAAAGGTAAATGTTAACAATAGTAGTAGTATTTTAAGCATTTACCATGTGCCTGGCACTATGCTTATCACTTTATACAGATGTTCTCACTAACCCCCAAAACTACTCAATGAGGAAACTACTAGCCCAAAATCAGCATAAGTGGACAGCAAGAAAGAGCCAGTGGTTGCGAAAGAAAGAAAAGGGAAAGAAAATCCTGAAGGTGACTACAAACAAAGAAGCAGAATTTCCATGGCCAAATGAAAAAACAAGTCCCAAACTGGTAGAGCTGTTGACATATGAAAAATGTTCATGTTCTCAGCAGTCATAAACCAACCACATAGTGAAAGACTGATTATTTTACTAATGAAGAAAAACTAGGATATAAAATTTAATTCTCTAAACACACTATCATAGAATCACTTAAAATAATCATTTCAACACCAGTGGTCTCTTCCCAAGTGTTTACTGTCAGGGTGTTTAACCTGTGGCCTGCAGGCCATATGCAACCCAGGCAGGACGGCTATGAATGAGGCCCAAACCCAAGTCATAAATTTACTTAAAACATTAGATTTATTACTAAGTTTCATACTAAGTTTCATTACTGAGATATGAACATTCTCTGTACTAGTAATCACAAACTTTGGGACCTGCTCAACAATTTTAAAACATTATTGAAGGGGCTGCTGCATAATTAGGGTTATTATGGGAGGACTTTTTTGCTTGTCTGTGGTGGTGGATATCATGAAAATTATGCACAGGCCTTTTTTTTGCTCATCAGTTTTCCTTAGTGTTTGTGTATTCAGTGTGTGGCCCAAGACAACTCTTCTTCTTCCAGTGTGGCCCAGAGACTCCAAAAGGTTGGATGCCCCTACTGTAAATCTGTACTGGCCTGCAGTTTAGTCATCAATGTCTTAATCCCAAAGCAGTGTCCACAGGCATCAGTCTTTAAAATAATCAGAAAAATGATTCCTATACTAAGATATTTTGTGAACTATCATATTTTGCTGTGTATAATAAGCACCCACATTTTTGGCCCAAATTTTCAGGAAAAAAACTTTTATTCTAATTTTTAATTCAATTATTTATTTATTTATATTTAGATCCTTGTTTTTTGTATTATAAAGGAATTTTAGTATTTATTTTTGAACATATATTATGATACAAGAAATTTTATGTAACAAATAATTACAAAACACAAGAACAGATACAACCTATTTCAGGTACTTCCCATGTATAAAGTGCATCCTTATTTTTCCCACAAAAATTTGGGCAAAAAGGTACACATTATACATGGCAAAATATAGTATTTCATTTTAGGCATGAAACCATATGCATTATACATTTTCGTACATGACTTTGGGAATTACATAATAAAAACTGGTACAGTGGTACCTTGGCACTCATCATTAATTTGTTCCACAACTCACAAGGAGTGCCAAAACTGACGAGTACCTAATGATGAAGCATTTTCTCTTGCAGGGCAGTGTTGTGGCTCATATAAGTTCTAATAAGTGTGATGCTCTAGTAGTCCTGAGCAAGTAGTAAGCGCTGAAACATTTTTTTCCTGTCAAAATGTGACGAGCTCAGGGTTTGATGAGTTCTGAAGCCGATGGGTACTGAGATATGACTGTATATCTAAAATAACATTTTGGAGATTGGGGATATATGTTTCACCTTAGCAGCTGGAGATTTGTTCATTACTGCTGTCAAAGCCTGAATGGTTGATACAGCCAAACAATCCAAATGTCCCTGAAATGCCTACCAGAGGAGGAAAAAAACAAGAAATTACCAAAAGTAATCGAGATTTGTTAGTTAGGAAACCTCTGTTTCTGAAAACCTGAAGAAATAATTACTTAACATGCAATACATTCCTCTTCCAATGAAATGGATTTCTGAAACACTACAACCTGCAAGGAAAGTTACCTACTTGACAGAAAATAAGCCACATGTCAAGAAGGATATGGTTACATTCACTCATTACATTAAAATTTGGGGGAAAAGAAAACCACAAAACACCAAGCTTAATTCATGCTTTTTTTTTTTAATGGACCATCTCAAGAGGAAGGGAGGGAGGTCTATCATTGGAAATTCTATTTTTTATTTTCCTTAAAAATACACATGAACATCCTAGCTTAATATTTTATTAAGCATATATAATGTCTAAAATAGTCTTGGCTACTTAGTTTTCAAACCCTGAAATGGTATATGTGCATATACCAATCAATTAATCACACTTCCAAATAATAAAGTGTATCTATTTTTATATAATATGCAGAATTTAAAGCAGAAAATGAAAGATGCATCTATGAGCAATGTCATGTTTTTGAGAAGGTAACCTTTAATGCTAAAAGTAGTAAAAAAAGGTAAACAGTTTTGCCAGTTTTTGTTTAATCTTCAACATAAAAAAAAAGGTTAAATTTCAGGTCACTTCATTTATAGCAAAAATAAAAACAAAAAAATACATAACCTCAACAATACTGAAAAAACTGAACATGACTCATATCATTAAGCTTAGTCAACCATGAAACTGTAGCATAAAGACAAGAAAGTTGTAAAAATAGTCCCAAAAACTGGCTTTTGGGAATATATTACTATGACTTAAAGGTAGTCACTCCAAAAATAGGATTTTCTTCCCTTCCCACTAAAAAAGATTTGAATAAAAGGGAACTGATTTGATCTTTGTTATTTTAAGCCAAGCAGCTACCACTTTCAGGCAAGTTATTTAAATTGATATCTTGGCTTCTGTTCATGTTCTTTGTTTATTAAACATTATATAAGCATCACATAAGTAACAAACAATATGCATTAAACATTCTGTGTACAGAATTTCATACAAATAAGATCTTTCCTAGACTTTAAGAGGACTAGGCATCACAGAACCTAAAATTAGAAATACTAACATAAACTCTAAGAAGAAGCCTATTATAACTATTTTATGAATCTATAGGAGTGCCTTAAAAGGGACTAATACTTAGAGATATCTAAAACAGTACTCTGAAAATTGATGTTGCACATCAAGAATAGAAAACTGATTACCATGTCTCTTTCTATACCACAGCTCTATTTATAAACCTGAACATCAAGATAATGTGAATTAGGACATCATGTAAGCTTATCAAAATGTGAAAACAAACATTTTTGGAAAGAAAAAAACAAAGCAATTCTGTAGGTGGTCTATCCAAACTAAATGACCTATTTATTACAAAAAGCAACAAATTATATATTTCTACCTATCCCCATATAGAGTTGAATATTTAGAAAAAAAAGTTAAGTTTTATTCTAAATTAAGACTCAAAGGGTTCAGCATCTTCTTCCCTTCCTCCAAGATTCAGGTTGTCCACTGAATTACAATCATTATTTGAAATCAAGAAGCAAAGAATCAAGATATTAAAAGTGACCATACATATTCACAAAGCCCTGACGTCCCAATACACCACAATGCTTAGGAAAAGAAGCCCCAAAATTATGAAATCACCACCAGGTGGACAGCACTGATACTGGGATCCCGTTCCTGTACTTTATATCTTCCTCACACTGGAAAGAATGCACACAGACACAAATGAAATACTGTTGATCATTTATCTCAACCACCAAAATTTTAATCTATTCATCTTTCAAATAAAATAATTAAAATTACTTTTAGCAATATTTAATTATTGCTAAAATAGTTTTAATATATCTTAAAAATATTTTATGAAGATTAGAATTAGATAATGTTTGTGTGTTTAAGACAAAAGAAGAAAAGTACAGGAACAGTTGCTCCCACTGACTGATTTTGGACTTCAGCTGAAACAAGATGCAGGCTTTGTAGATACCTGGTCCTCATTTATTTCTGTCAGTAATTTGTTGGCAAGGTCTTTCTCGTTCTTGTCTGCCACCTTATTGTTAGCATTTAAAAATAGCTGTTAAAAACAGAGACAAGAATAATGGAGAAAAAAACATTAAACTGTTACCTATAAGGAGAAATGAAGCTTAAATGGGATTCCATGTCTCTTGAAAATAAATCCAAGAATCCACTTATGAAGTATACCACATTTACACTGACAATCAACTATTCATTTTTATAACAAATATTAAGTTCATATTATTTATTCTCTCTTGGAACTCAAAGAACTAAAATAAAAAAACAGCAATAATTAAATTAGTTAATATGCCTAAATTCTTAAAGAACCAGGAGAGAGAATGTTTCACAGAAAAGAAAATGTGCTACTGATACAGACTAACCTGTGGTAATGATGCACAGTGAGGGTTCCGTAGTCATGTATGTTTGTGAAATGCTATTCAACTACCTTTAAAAAGGGTCTTGGGTTCTTTGCAGAAATACTTTTTAAAGTCTCAAATATGCTGATATGTAGTTTGACAAAGGAAGTCAATGTGTAGCATTTTCCAAATTTATCTGACCACACATTTCGTTAAAACAGTTTTGCAAACACAAATCAACAGTATCAAGAGTTGAGCGTAAGCAAGTTTGTATACTAAAAAGGAATCAAGTCTTTCAGTTTAAGTATATAAACTCAGCATCCCATAATGTCTCAGTCATAGTCTGGGTAAAAAGAAAGAGTTGAAGTGAGAGTGAAGAGAGAGAGAAAGTTAGACTTATAAGGGATTTATCAAGAGCACCCTAAGAATAAAGTTCTTAGGAAGTTCTATCATTTCAGAAATGAGAAAAGTCTAGTAATGTGCTGAAATAATGCAACATAAAGTGGATAAAGGTATGTAGCCTGATGTGGTAAATAAAGCTTAATCTAAGAATAAATTAGTGTTCATAATATAGGCTTTGGAATTAGAATCCTGGATGTGAATCTTGGTTCCACTATTAACTGTCTAAGGAAAAAAACAAAAAGCAAAAACACCACTTCTCCAAGGTTATTTTCTCAAAAAGCAAAAGATTATTATCTCATGAAATAAGAATGCAGATTAAATGAGATAATCCATGCTAGATTATCAGCACAGTATCTGGCACAAAATAAGGGCTTGATAAATGAAAGCTGGTATTATAATTATCACAAATTTTTTCTAAAATAGTACTATTTCATACTATCTAGTTTAAGGGATACTGACTGCTCAAAACTGATGAAAGCAAAAATGAGTCAAGTCTCTCTAGAAAGCAATCTATATCAAGAACCTTTTTAAAAGTTCTTATTCTTTAAACTAGTATTTTTATTTCTATATATTTACCCTAAGAAACAGAAACTTTATGCCATAATTTTAGAAGAGATGTTTACTTCAGCCTTATTTATTGTATAATAGTAAAAAGTAAGAAACCACCCAAACACCCAACAATAGTAGAATAGTTCAATAAATTACAGTTCATCCATAGGCTGAAAGAGAAATCCTCAAACTTTCTTGTCACAGGACCCCTTCACCACTTAAAAATTATTGTGAGAGCCCCAAAGAACAGTTATGTGGGTTACAGCTATCAGTATTTACCATATTAGAAATTAAAATCAAGACATTAAAAATATGTTTATTCATTCAAAAATAACAATAAATCCATATATGTTGACATAACATTTTTATGAAAAGTAACTGTTACTATCCAAAATACACCTTATACTCACATTTGTGAGAATGGCACTGCTTCTATATTTTTACAATTTTTTAAATGTCTGACTTAATAGAAAATAGATGAACTCTCATACCTGCTATTTCATTCAGATCATTATGATAATGCTGTTTGGTTAATGTTTATGAAGAAAATCTAGCCTCAAAGAGAAACATTAAGATTTGATTTTGCAGACTCCCTAAAATCATCTTGGAAACCTCATGCTTTGAGAACTACTGGATTGAAATATTTGTTTATCTGGGACAGGCAGTTGGAACCTGTCCCAGAGATGACAGGCAGGTGGGAATCTGTCCCACCATCCAGGGTAGCTGTGGCGATGGAGCCAGTGGCATCATGGTGATTGAGTAGCTTTTATTCAGGTAGGGAAACTGCTCCCTCAGGTCCTCCGACAGTCATTAAAAACAAGGTTTTGAAAAATATATGATGACAAGGCAATTCTACTGCTGGGATTATGTCCTAAGAACCCTGAATCACCAATACAAAAGAACCTATGCACCCCAATGTTCATAGTAGCACAATTTATAACAGTAATGTGCTGGAAGCAACCTGAGTGCCCATTAGTAAATGAATGGATCAAAAAACTATGGTACATTTACACAATGGAATACTACACAGCACAAAGAAAGAAAGGGTAGGTCCCTTCCTACCCTTTGTGACAGTATGGATGAACTGGAACGCATTATGCTGAGTGAAATAAGCCAGGTGGTGAAAGACAAATACCATATGATCTCACCTTCAACTAGAACCTAATCAACAAACAAGCAAACAAGCAAAAATAACCAGAGACATTAAAATTAAGAACAACTGACAGTAACCAGAGGGGAGGTGGGAGGGAATAATGTGGGGAAAGGGAGGAAGGGTTTTCAGGAACTATAAAGGACACATGAACAAAACTAAGGGGGGCGGTGAAAACGGGAGGAAGGTGGGGATGACTGGGGTGGAGGAAGTAGTGAGGGATAAAAGCAGACAACTGTAATTGAACAACAAAAAAATAATTTAAAAATAAAAATTTTTTAAAAAGAAAAAATATATGATGACATATATTTTAGAGAAGGGAAGACTCATTTTGGTTTGGGCATATTCTTGATATCACACCATTTAAAAGCAGGATACAAAAATATTCAGTAGGGCCCTGGCTGGTGTAGCCCAGTGAATTGAGCACGGGCCTGTGAACTAAAGGATCACGATCACGGTTCGATTCCCAGTCAGGGCACATGCCTGGGTTGCAGGCCAGTTCCCAGCAGGGAAGGCACGAGAAGCAACCATACATTGATAAAAAAAAAAAAAAAAAGAAAAGAAAAGAAATTCAGTAGTAACAAATATATTCACATTAAAAATATATACACAAATATTGTTCCACATATTTTGACACAATTTTAAATTTTAAAGGTTATAAATATACTGTGTAAAAAGATTAAGAAAAATCTTTCATAATTCTTTTTTCCTTCATTATATTAATTTTGATTGTATAGTCCTCTAAAATTTAAACAAAGTTCTATTAAAAAAAAGTTGCTCATGGTAACTAAAACTCAAGGTCACATCCAGGTAGGTGTGATTCCCAAAGTAAGTATACCATTCTATCCACTCCCAACACTCTTTTCCATAGAACATCCTTTAGTTGATTCTTTCATAAATTCTCATTCCTAAGACAGCCTTGATACATTTTTGTTGTAGTTGATTTTAAGAGGTAGATGTTAAGAAACAATCCAATCCTACTCCCTAGCCCAGTTTTTGCCCATGGGTCCCTTACACAAGTTCCTTGACTTGACCCTTTGTCTTCTTTCCCCCTTATCCCCTACCCAGCTACCCTCTGGAAATTGTCACTATTTTGCTTGTTTGTTTTGTTGATTAGGTGTTTTAAAATGCATTATTCCTATCATAAAATTCAAAGAAGTGATTCCATGGATTTGTAAGCACTTTACAGTATGCTGACACTCATTTTGGCAAGCCCTGAAGTCTTTACGCAAATACTTAAGGACATTAATGCGTACTTAAACTGGCTGGTGAATCTCATACACACAAAAAGCATAAAAACTGCAGCAGTCAACCTACAGTTTTCCAGGTAATTCATAAATTATTTATGTCACTTAAAGCTTTGGTTGACAATGTTTCCAATAGGTCTGAATATTTAAATAACAAATATTTTTATTCTCTATTATTATAAACTAAAATAAATGATTCCTTCCTTACTAACAAAAAAGTTTAAACAGAAATCAATCACAGACACCTGTAGTAGCATCTTGTAATACACTTAGAAACTTGAATTTTTATATATTCAGGAATCATATCACCTACCTCTATCAAATATGTGTGTTCATCAGTAAAACCTGTAATTCTCCTATATTTAAATCACAAAAAATACTTTTTCTTACAGACTAAACAGTGAGCACTAATACACTTACAAAACTATATGCATCAATAAACTTAAGGTCAGAAGACACACCTGGATAAGATACCCTTCCTCCATCAGGTGTTAGTATTGAGCTAATCATTAAATAAATCTTAGGACATATTTCCTTATTTGTATAATAAAACAGGCAACTTATTTCAAAGATTCCCCCTTTTTATAAGACTTAATGACTAATGTTTGATGATGAATCTACAGTGATTCTGACTAGGATATTCTGGAAATAAAGACCACTGCCAGGTGGGAAGGCCACTGAGAAGGCCAGGTCCCAAAGCCTTGCTTTCCCTTCTGAAATAGGTTTCTTTCTTCTCCAGTATTCCTTGTTTCGAAATAAAATGTGGTAACTGGTATCAAATAATTAAGTTTTAAAGTACTATGACTATCAGCAAATTTACAGACCTATTATAAGGAGCTTTGGACTATCCCATGATAGAAAGAGCAAATACTATCTACACATCATGACAAATATTTCAAACAAATTTTTAATTTTTAAAAAGATGTTGACCATGACATGATAGAGTTTTAAAATCATACGAGTCTCATATATTGAAGAAAGTCACCAACTAATAAAATGTAGTTCTTACTGCATTTTAATGTAGTAAGTTCATACTATTAAATTTTAGTTTTTACTACATTTTATGATTTACCCTTCTATATAATGTGTAACTGGCAAGCTCTCTACACATGTGAGATTCTGTCTTCATCATTGAAATTGTCTTTATAGCTGAAAAAGCCAAATGACTTTTTTACAACAAAAGGTTTTATAAACATTTCTCTTATGCTGCTTTCATTGTCCCAAATTTCTTTCCCAAGAATAAACAATTTTTAAAAGGTGAGGGAAGGCATATCAAATCTCCAGGGGTAATCTGGTATTTACACTGACTTCATAGATATTCACTTCTATTACTTAATATATTTTTTACTGTTTTACTGTCAATTAAGCATCATAGTTACATAAATGCTTTCAGGGATACTCCTTCTAACACTATAGAAAAATTCAAGGAGCTGGTATTAAAATTCTTATTTTAAAGTATTCTCACAGAATCAGAATAAACCCCTGGTACTTTTCAGCAGGGATTCCATGAAAGGAATAGCTCAAATAGAAAGGTAAAAGCTCTGTGAAGCAGTTTCATTTTCAAAGGCTTCTCCAGAAGCTCTCTAAAATAATTCTGATACCATCTTAAATTTATGGAAATACATAATGAACAGAGGTACTAGTTATATACTCACACACAAATCTGCTAAAAGTATAAACTAGTGAAAAATAATTTGTAAATGGACAGTGTATATCAAGAACATCAATAATATTTCTATTTTTCTACACTTCCAATTATTTAAGTTGTTTTAATATTAATACAATGTTCCCTAACCTTAAAAAAAGTTTATACTCTTTGACATACTAATTCTGATAGAAATAAAATTCTATTTGATGAAACTTGAAAGTTATGTAACAGCAAAAAAACTGGAGACAAATTAATTATCAATAAGGAATAGTTGAGTACATTATGGTATATCCACTTATTGTTGTGCAGATATTATAGACATAACAAAAATACTAATGAAATAAATGAAACAAAAGCACAAAATTATATGCATCAGATGCTGTCACCAAATTTTAACAATGCATAAGAAAAAAATACTTTAAAACTCAACAACAAAATAAATGAACAATCCAATTTTAAAATGAGCAAAGGTCTTAAACAGACATTTCTCCAAAGAAGATAAATGACCAAAAAGCCCATGAAAAGATGCTATCACTAATCATTAGAAAAAGGCAAATCAAAACATGAGATACCACTTCACAACCATTAAGATAACAATTATCAAAAATGTTTTTACTTTAAAAAGAAGAAAATAACAACTCTTGATGAGGATGTAGAGAAACTGTAGCCCTTGTACCACTGTGCATTATTGGTAGGAATGTAAAATGGTGCAACCACTAGGAAAACACTATGGTGGTTCCTCAAAAAATTAAAAATTGAATTAATATATGATCCCACAATCCCAATTCTGGATATACACTCAAAAGAATTAAAAGTAAGGTCTTGAAGAGACATCTGTATACGCATACTCATGGCAAAATTATCCGTGACAGTCAAAAGGTAAAATCAATATAGGGGTCCATAGACAGATGAATAAATTAAATGTGGTATGCACACACACACATTATTTGGCCTTAAAAAGGAAGAAAATTCTGCTAAATGATACAACATGGATGACTCTTGGGGACATTAAACTAAATAAAATAAGTCACACACACATAAAAAACCCCTGTATGATTCCACTTACATGAGGTACATAAAATTGTCAAAACCATTCAGAAAGTAAAATGGTGGTTGGTGAAGAGAAGGGAAAATGTGGAGTTGTTTAATGGGTATAAACTTTCACTTTTATCAGATGAAAAGAAATAGGGAATAAATGGTAGCGATGGCCGCACAACTACATGATGTGAATGTACTTAATAATGTGTACTATACACCTAAATATGGTTAAGACAGTACATTTTACATGTGCACTTTACCTAACAAAATATGGTGATAATAATTTGCTCAAACTTGAATCAAAACATAAAATAACAACTTCTTAAAAATCAAAGAATAGTAATAGAAAAATACCTTGCAATTCTGTAGCAGTCGTATGAGATGTTCAAAGCAATTACTGTTAAGAAAAATGGCCTGAAGAACAGGCCTATCTGTGCAGTTGAACATGGCTGTAATGGTATCTAGGAAAATAAAAATAAAATCACCCATTTATAAGGTAGAAAATTTTGGATCATAGAAATATTTACTCAAGCCATATTTTAAATTTAGGCTTTTCAGATAACAGATATAAATTAATTAGAAATAATAGGGGTGAGTAGTTGAAAAAAGAATCTGTATTTCTTACTTGATAAAAAAAGTGAACATTTCTATACTTTATTATTAAAAATATTTAATTTTTCATATGAGTGATATGTATTTCCCAGAGTTTACTTGATTGTTCTTCCATACTAATGCTCAAGTGTTAACCAACTGAGGTTCCAACTTGCTGTTATTAAACAACATGTGGTTGTATTTGGCAACACTGTCTCATTTATCTATATTAACTAACAAAAGGCCTTTATGAAAAAGAGACTCAGTCAATCCATTTGTGATGATGCTTTGCTCTTTTTTCCTACTGAAGGAATACCTGCATTCAGAAGTAAAAGAACATTTGGTGTAGATAATATATATAGTTTCCAATAAAAAGTTCATTCAATATAGCCTCAAGCTTCCTTATAAACTCACAATGTTTAATAATTATAAAACACAACATGTTACAGCATATAAAAGGACAGACACAGCCCTGGCCAGGCAGTTCGGTTGGTTAAAGTAGTCCCAATACACCAAAGCTGTGGCCTCAATCCCCAGTATCAGGGCACATACAAGAAACAACCAATGAGGCCCTGGCTGGTGTAGCTCAGTGGATTGAGCACGGGCCTGGGAATCAAAGGATCGCGGTTCGATTCCCAGTCAGGGCACATGCCTGGGTTGCAGGCTGGTTCCCTGCAGGCCAGTTCCCAGCAGGGAATGCACAAGAGGCAACCATACATTGATGTTTCTCTACCTCTCTCCTTCCCTTCCCCTCTAAAGATAAATAAATAAAATCTTAAAAAAAAAAGAAACAACCAATGAATGCATAAATAAGTAGAACAAATCAATGTTTTTTTTATCCTTCTGTCAAATCAATAATTTTTTAATAAAAAAAATTAAAAGAATAAAACACATAAAATATAGATCTTATTTCCCTACAGAATCACTACTGTAGTGGCTCATTAAGTTTCACCAAAATTTTGATATCCAATATTTTTAAATTAAATACTACATACCCACCCACATAAGCATTTTTTAAGTCTGTAGAGCTACACAACAAACCATTAATATTCGTTATATCTGGATGATAGGATATAAAAAACTTATGTCGTTTTACTTATCTGAATTTCCTAGTTTAACTGTAATAAAAATATTTTAATTCTATAAAAAGGAACTCTTAATTAGTAATATTTTAATCTATCAGTCTAACAAAGGAATACAATAAGAAATCACATATTGGTGAAGGAGCTTACAGAGAGAGATAAATAAGCACAGAATGACACATAATAACCAACACAAAGAGAAACCAGACAGACACACACAGAGGCAGAGGTTCTGAGGACAAGGAAACAAAAACAGAGGGTTCTCTGGAGGAAGGACAGATGTGGAAGTAGGCTACAGAGATGCTACAGAAGTATATACAAAACTGGTTGTATGTGACTCTTGCTATAGGTTAGAAACTACAAATAGCACTTTCTAAAAATTTACTTATCCTAGAATTTCAAAATCATAGCTGACTTTCTTTTTAACATTGATGCTTTTAAAAAATAATACTTTCAAAAGAGAATTTTGAAGCTCCACTTTTGTCACTATTAAATAAAGATGTATACACAAATTTCCCTATTAATAATCTTGAAATCAAAATTTAAATAGTCTCACAATATCTGAATTAAACAATCAGTACTTTCTATACAATGGCTTTGTATTTCAAATGAAGTGGAAAATATAAAAGTAACAAAAGGACTCAGAGAAACTTTATGCAATACTTACTCAGCATTTTTATCTGTAGAGTTATGAACCAGCTTTCCCACTCTCTGGACCGCCTTTGTTTTGGTAAAGCTGAGTGATCTGAATTTAGCAATTTAAAATAGTTCTCCAGAATAGCGCTGGTTTCCACCTGACGCTGGTCAGAGCTGCTAGTGAGAAGAATATGCACCACTTCTGTAAGGCACTTCAGAGTCAGTTCTACCTTCCTACCCACTTCGTCAGGATTTCTGTCCTCCCAGGAATCACAATCTGCCAACACTCTCATAAGAACTTCCATGGTGGCTGGAGAAATTGCTTGCAAAGCATTCTTCTGAAATATGACAAACAGCAAAAGTAAAACCCCCAAATCTGAAGTTTTGTATGCTTGGAGAAAAAAAAAAGCTGTGGCCAGGTGGTTCAGCTGGTTGGACAGTTGTCCCATACAACTAAAGGTGGCAGGTTGAGTCCCAGGTTGGGGCATGTGCAGGAGGCATCAGACCACTGTTTCTCTCTCACACCGATGTCTGTCTGTCTGTCTCTCTCTCTCTCCCCCCTCCGCCTTCACCCTTCTTCTCTCTCTAAAATCAATACACATATCTTCAGGTGAGGATTTTTTTTAAATAGCTTTAAAAAAAGCAATTTAACAAATCTTCAGACTTTTTATTTTAGTAAATCAACATAAAAAGAATTTTAATCAGATACTTTGACACTGCTGGTATTTTATCTGCCTTCATTTCCTCACTAACAGAATTCTGATTTTCTTCACACAGCAATCTTCTCACATAGAAAACTCACCACACCACCTTGCATCTAGGAATAGCCATGTGACATAGTTTTGGTCAAGGGTATATGCCAGCAGACTATGAAGAAGCTATCACTTCACAAATAAAAAGAAAGAACCCTCTGCTCTTGGCCTTTTCACCCATTCCCTGCCTGAAATGCAGGCATAAGGCCTGGAGGCACCTTTATATCACAAGGAAATAAACTCAGGAATTTAAATAAGGAGGCTGGCCCTGGCCAGTGTGGCTCACTTAGCTGGAACATCATCCAGTAACCAAAAGGTTGTGAGTTTGATTCTGACCAGGTCACATGAACACAGTTAGGCAAAATCATCTGAAAGTAACAGCAGTGAAGCTATTAGGACTTGTTATTATCAACCTAATATTACTGATGGAGTTTAGCAGACGAGATAAAACGACATCAAATGTCAGCTTTTCAGTATCTCATTTAAAGGTAGCTGGCATTTGCCATTTGTCTTCATCTCCCTCTCCACCTTTGTGCCTAAAATGCAGACAAAAGAGAGCCAGAACTCTAGAAGCTATCTCGAAGCACAAGAAACAAACAGTAAGTAAAAACAGACTGACAATCAAAGGAACCTGAATACCTGAGGATCCTAGAGCTACCAGATTAACTCTGGACTGCTTACTGTTGTTTTCTTTTTTTAATGACAGAAAAAAGTGAACATCTAATTTAAGCAGTTATAATTTTAGTATTTACAGGAAATCATGAAAGTTGAACTAATACACCTGTGAGTTACTTAGTACTTATAAGCACATGTACTTTGTTAAGTGTTTTACATATACATTATTTGGTCCTTATGACTACCCTATACATGTTACTATTTCCACATTATAAAAGAAACTAAAACACATGTAAATAGTTTATCCAAGGTCATACTTACAGATAGATATAGGATCTAAACCTATGTCAATCCGGCTCACAAACCCCTGTGTTAACATAACACGAAACAGAACAAATACGCCAATGGTAAGCCCAGGCATGATGCTTTGGGAAGGGAGAATAGTCATCGGACTTCAATTTTTCTGCTCTTTATGACAAGGCCATTCATACACATGTAGATATTCAATTCATCTAAATCCTCTTTCACTGATGCTATCATCAACAAACAACGTTCTGACTTCAACACAGCAGTTACTTAAGCTATAACTTGATTATAAGGATTGAGTATTTTAAGTACATAAAATAATAAGTTGGCCTTTTAGTATCTGCTTGATTTCTGTTAGTTTTAACTACTGGAAGTCTCTCAGGGCACTATTACCCTTGGGCATTAACAAAAAATCTGTGTTCAAAAAGGGAATGGGATCCAACCAGCTTCTCCATTAGCAATGGAGAAATGCAAAAGCAATGTTGTTTCCAATTTTATTCACATACACTTGTTAGCTCTTATTTTTAGTACAGTATTGGAGAAATGATGGACATTGGGAGACACTGAAATAAAAGATAGCAGCTAATAAAGGTAGGTGATAAAGCAACAAATTAAAAAATACAATGTTGGTCACCAGTCCTCCTACTACAAAGACACTCCCCTTTTACTAGAGTGAAGAGATGAAGGCAAAGTAGCCCACGAGGAAACCCAAGTAATATTACTAGCTATACCTGTGATTTTTGTAACCAACAGAATCATATAAATTTCCTTATATTACTGTTGTTGCAGTGTCTTAAAACTCATTTATCCTTATCTCTTCTTCTAAATTTTCATTAGTTATTAGACTTCCTAGTATCTCTTTTATTTAATGTGTTATAAAGCATATTACTTTGCTACAAATTTTATTAATATTTTAATAACAGTATTTTAGTAAAATTAGTTTCCTTTGTGATATGTATTTAATTATAGGCATTCGAAAACATGCTAATAAGCGGCTCTATTGAGCTGCCAAAAGAGTATGTGATACAAAAAGTGTTAGAAACCTCTAAACTGTGTGCATAAAGAAAATAGGCAGAATGTCCTTTTTGAACTATAATCCTCTTTCAACTAGTAATTATACTCAAAAGTTCACCACAGACAGCTTTGAAGATACTCAACTTAAAAAAAAATTACAAAATAAAGAATACTTTTCTTAAGGGTTTGTTAAAAACCTCGTTTACATGCACTTGGTAATTTTAAGTCAACAGAAGAGTGACTAAATTCATGTATCTTGGGAAATCAAACTGCTAGAGCTCCATTTCATCAAGTGGACTAATACAGCTGACTACCCTCTATACTCTAAAGTAAGAACCAGCAGCTGAAAAGCCAACTAAAGTAAGGACTTATGAGACCAAAAACTGTTAAATCTAGTTATGCATTAATATCATTTTTAGTACTAAAATTATTATTTAGGTTTCTAGGAAGTTAACAAAATAAAGAAGTAGACTAGTTTTAAACAAGATATAAACTTAGAAAAATATCTGTATGTTTCATTAAATTATAAGAAGAAATTAATACATTAAATAATCCACGGAAAGCTTTTTGCACTGGTAACTATCATTTTGTGTATTAACATTCAATACATTCCTCACCTGCCCACCGGCTATAATGGCTCCAAAAAGATGCAATAAGCAACACTTAAGGCTTTCCTTGAGATGTTCACTTTCCTGAAAACACTCTGTGAATATAACACACAAATAAACAAATAAATAAAATTGCTCTTTCACGGTATTATTTATGTCCAAGGAATGTCTGACATTGAAACATTAAGAACTATTTGTGAATAGGCTAAAATCTGTTAAAAGGCAAGGTTCATATGTATTTTTTCACAGGAAAGAAAAAGAGAAACCACCTATCAGGTAGTATTTTAGATACTTTATGCCATCTCATTTAATTCTCATAATATTCCAGATGAGGATGATATTTTTGCCCCCATTTATGAGTGAACAAATGGAAGGTCCCAGGGCTACTAAGTAACATCAAAATCAAAGTAAGAGAAATTAGAGCTGTTACTTACGATAAAAGAAAGGGACAAATTCCACAGTGAGAGACGCTGGTTTGTATTTCTGTCTGCTCTTTTCCACCGTACTAAGGATTCGTCTACCATCAAAAAGAAGTTAATACCAAATTATATCACGGACAAGTAGAGATAGTACAAAATAATTTGTAAAATTGTTTTTACAATTAGTAAAAATAATAAAATAATTTTTATTGTTTTTACTAATTGTAAAAATAATTTTATAATTGTAAAATAAATTTAATATTTTATTTTTGATTTGTGTACTGAATAATACATCTCCAGGACTGATATAATCTTAAAGAGGAAGTCTAGTCAATAACTTAAATGTTCACCAATGAAAAGGTTTCTTTTTTAGAAGCAAGCAAAAAATTTGAAAATGCTTAATGGTGAAACATAGCAGCCAGGTAAAATCTCCAAACCAGAAAAAGAAAAAGGAAATAGCTATTTAAAATTTCCAATCTGTAAAGGAAGTTGTTTAGCAGTTCTGCTGATTTGATATCTAAGGTAATAGTTTATTACTACAGTACCACTGACATTCATCAGTAATCAGGGTACTCTGTGCCACTGTATGAAATTTCACCTGAACACAAAGAGTCCATATTACTTGCCTCTTCCATCTTAAGGATATAGCTCCAACATGGGCTGAGATAAATTTTGTTTTTAATGACAATGCCAGTAGCTTTGATGGCTGAAATATTTCCACAGACTTTCGTAGGGCCAACACAAATAGCATATACTTTTACCAACTACATTTCAATTCAACGCAAATGAGTCTTTACATGCATATGGTGGTGTGGGGAATTGGGAAAGAAAGGTTACTGTTATAATGATAGACAGGTAGACTGATGAAAATTTTAAAAAATTACAGACATTGGTTCATGCCCTGAAAAGCTCTTAATGTTGTTAGATAAAGCCAACAGAAATGAAAAATACTCAAAGAAATACCACATAGAAATTCCATATATCTAAATATAATCTACTAATAAAGTATTGAATTAAGATGTCTTCTTAATAACTATAATTGAAATATTAAAATTAATTTCCTTATAATTATTCAAAGCTAGAAAGAAAAGCCAATTGACCATAGAATAAGCCAAACAGGATAGGCACAGCTGGACTCAGTAATGACAGAATAAATAGATCTATGATCCAGACTCACTAGAAATCATATCAGACACCATTTGCTACTGAATGCTTTCTAAATCTATGACCATTTCTACTGCAAGGAGGCATAAGAATTACCATTCTGTCTGTTTTTATTATAATGTCAAACATAACATCCTAGGATACTATTAGATCTTCCTAGTTATTAAGACCATTATCAAAGATTCTATGTCTTTACAACTGTCCTTACAATTACAGTATTACTGGAATTTCAAATAAAAAATACACTCATGCCTTTAAAAAATTTAGTCATGTTAAAAAATTAATTAAAAAAATGAAACTTATTTATATTTTAGTTACATTTTTCCATGAGATTATTTACCTCTTACACTTATATCAATTATAGCATTAATAGATTAGATATATCTTACCCAAACATCCTGTGCTACAAACAACAATAAACATTCTCGCTTAACATAATGAAAATGTACTCCTGCGATTTGTGATTAATGACTCGTTCTAAAGGCCCTGTATTAATGAAACAGACGGAGAGCTGTTGGGGGGCGTGTATAAAAGATGAAAGGATTAGCCAAAAAACACATACGTAGCACACAGACACAGAAAACAGCATGGTGATAGCCAGAGGGAAAAGGGAGTAGGGGTTAGGCGGAGGTGGGCAAAGGTAGGAGGGAAGGGGGACAACAAAAGACTTTCCTTGGGGCAACGGGAGCACAATACAGGGTGCAGATGGTGTTTTATTGAGTTGTTCACTTGAAACCTATATGGTTTTGCAAACCAATGTCACCCCAATAATTTCAATAATAAAAAAGCCCTGTACTAGATGTAACATATAAGCATAACTTCCATTATTAATGTGGGAACATTTAATATACCAACATAAATAAAGAGGAGAAATCATTATACATAACACAAACAATAAAGCATAAGTAGCCCTGGCCAGTGTGGCTCAGTTGTTTGGAGCACCAGCCTATAAACTGAAAGGTCACGGGTTCAACTGCTGGTCAGGGCACATACCTAGGTTATGGGTTTGGTCCTCGGTTGGGAAGCATACAAGAGTCAACCAATGGATGTTTCTCCCCCACATGGATGTATGTATCTCTCCCTCTCTCTCCCCCTACCTTTCCTCCTCTCTAAAATCAGTAAGTATGTCCTCAGATGAGGATAAAAATAAAACTAAGATAAAATAAAACAAAATAAAATAAAGCATAAGTAGTTTACATTGCATGCTTTCAATCGGTTAAGATAGAGCAGCTAAAAATGAACTTAATCTTGTACCATTTTTGGAACACAGCATACTTGGTTCCTCCACTATCATATATAATATTAGGGTCAAGTATCTCACATTTAACAGACGCTAATACATACCAACAAGTTACTGAGAGTAATGCAAAACGTTCGTCTGACCCGAAAATGTACTGAAAATTTCAGTACATTTAACATTAACACATCTATTCCACCTACCATTCATAATCCAGTTTTGTCAACTGACCCAATAATGTCCTCTACAGCATCCCCTAACCCCCACCCCAGTAGAGCTTCCTGTCCAGGGTTAGGTCTTTCATCAAGCTGTCATGTCTCTTCAGCTTCCTTTAATCTGAAACATTTCCACCACCTTTCTTTCTGACACTTTTAAAGAACACTGTCCCCACCCTTTTTATTCATTAAAATGTTCTTCATTTTCGGTTTGCTTAACGTTTCCATATAACTAGATGCAGATTATGCAGAACTGGCTGGAATACTATACGAGCAATGATGAGTCCTGCTTTGACTTGTCACAGCTAGAGGCACAAAATGTCCATCTGCTTCTTGTTGATGTTAGTTTTGATTACCTAGTCAACACACTATCAGTACTATATAAAATAATTAATTTTTCCTTTGCAACAAATTTGTAATCCGTGGGGAAACATTTTAAAACCATGCAAAAGTAAGTCCTTATCAAAACTTTTGTCATCCTGGAGGAAGTTTTGGATGAGATTAACCCTTAAACTGGTGAACTCTGGGTAAAGGAAATTGCCGTCCAGAAAGTGCCTCATCCAATCAGTTAAAAGCCTGAGTAAAGAAAAAGACTGGCCTCTCCACCAGTAAGTTGCCTTCTGATTTCATCTGCATCAACAGGTCTGGGTGTTCAGCCAGACTGCCTTTGGACTGCGACTGGAACATTAGCTCTCTACCCACCAGCCTTCACTATAACTGCACCACTGACTTTCCTGGGGCACAAGCCCAATCCACATGAAAGATTTGGATTACAAGCCTCTATTATCATATGAGGCAGTGGCTTATAATAAACTCTTTCTAAACACACACCCCTAATGGTTTTATTGCTATGGAGAACCCTAACTTTATAATAAAGACAGTTTCTCTCGAGGCATAAAGTAAATGTATAAATAAGCAGATAAGATTATTATATTTAAGCTGGAGTATGTGTTTATAGTATTCTACTTCTTGCTTTAAGTAAAGGATGTGTTATTTAAATAAAATATCACTATATAGATCATAAAATTATTACCATATAATCTATGTAAACATTCTCTCATAATTTTTCACCCTCATTTAATGCTGGCTGTTCAAAGTGAGGGTATACTATCCTAAAACCCTGAGATCTATAAAAACCAAACATTTCAGTAATGACATGTAATAGGAAGTGGGAATTGTTTATAGGTGGGTCAGGTTAAATGGAATATGAAAATGAAAAAATCTTGAGATTGAAAATACAGCAGATTTGGGACATCTGAAAAAGAGGTCTTATTGTAGATGATGATACAAATCTTATTCTGTGCCCACAGGTTAAGAATGACATATGACTCTAAAACTCTTCTCTTTAAGCTCTGTACTGGTAATTATGCTATTATCACTAAACTCCAAATCCATCATCCTATATTCTATCTGCTTTGTGATTCTGGGACAGGCACTCTGCAAACTCTATTTCTCTTTTCCCAGCCACCGTACTGTTGGTTTAGAGAATAGTGAGTACTAAATGGAGCCCAGAAGATAGAGCAAAAAATGAACTGATTCCTTATTCCTTACTTTTTACCAGCCAATAGTTCTGAACTGTAGTATTCACAGTTGGTTCCTATCTTCAGCTTATTTTTGGCAATCTCAGAACTAGACTCTTCATGGCTATTCAGCAATATCCACACTGGCTAAGCAATACTCCTTCCTCAGAGGTCTAAGCCCCAGCACCGCAGGGCTGAACATTCCACTTTCTGGTAACTCCTGTCTTTTCCCTTTGTTCCCACAGCCCCAGGGAAGTAGCTGCTTTCAGAAGTCACTGTGTTTGTATTACATCAGTGTCCCCTATGCTTTTTAAGCTCTTTAATACCTATTAAACAATTTCCTTGTATTGACTAGTTATAAAAAATACAATAAAAAATGAAATAAAAAATATAACAAGAAATAATTAAGATATAAAAATAACTCTGTTTCCCATATTCACAACTGTAAACTTACTTACTTTTGCCTCACCATGTATTCTCTCTTTTTAAATAAAATTATAGTATGGTTTCTGTTTTCCTTACTAGACCTTGACTGACATAAGCTCCACAAATAAAAATAAATGGATAAAATATTGTTACAGTTCATTTTTTAATTATGAAATATGGATTAAAAACGAAGACCTTTCCTCGAAAAATATGACTGTGCTTTGAAATTTCCCTACCCAATTATTAGCACTTAATTGAATTACAAATAAAAGTGCAGGGAAAAACTGATTCTCTGGAAGTGGCATTTATCATGAATTCATTACCTCAAATATAGTTCTCTACTTTAGAGACAGAGATGGGGGTTGTCTTAGGCACATCTTACCAACTGCTTTCAAAGAGACTTGCTTTGAAGAATTGTATATATTATGACATTAAGGTTAAAATGAAAACTGTGATTTACAACACATACCCTGATATTCTGTGTCTCCAATTCCGATATGGATCATATAAACTTTCACAAAATGCCAATGCATGGATCACAAATTCTTCAATAGATGTCTGATCTGCCAATTCCTTCTCTTTTTTTTTGCTTTTTAACTGAGAATAAAATTAATCATAAAATTATGTCTAGTTAAAAATATTAAATTGTACATCACTCTTACCTACATCATTAAAGAACTACGTTTCATTCATCATCTAATAATAAATTGTCTTTATTCAAGTAAAAGCCTAAGTTCTATTTGAATCTAAAGATAGTCAATTAATTAGATGAACTGAACATAACTTCTCAAATTTTATTAATTTCCTAGAAAGGGTTTCCAATAAATAACCAAAGACTGTTCCAAAAAAAAACAATGTGTTCAACAAGAGATGTTTGATGAATACATAAAATTATAAATTGTGATTTAAAAAAGTCATTTATAAAATATTTTAATTTTTAATTAAAATAAAATATATTAATAAAGGTTTTCCTACTTTTAGATAATATGTAGAAGATGCCCAAAATATACTGTACCAATGATAATTTTAATTCTATTCTCTATTACTATGTCCTCTGAAAATATTTAACTTTATTACTATATTACTAAAAAAAGTAAAACCTAGTTACTCTCAGCAAAGCAGCAAAACAGAATATATTAATTCACACCTACTTGCTGGATATAAAGTGTTGTCATAGTGATGACATGATTAATGTAAGAGCAAGTGCCAATTTCTTCCACATTAGATAGATTTCTGTGAGGAAAGAAGTACATATATACTTGTTACATGTGAGAAAAGTGTATGCTCATGTATTAAGGTTGGATTTTGAAAACACATTGGCATATTTATTTAACAAATAAACACATTTATTAAAGCTTAAAATCAATAGTTACATAACTGCTTTCTCACTGAAACTGAAATACACTTCAAGCAGCATATAACTATTATAAACAAAGAAATATTTAATAAGTACATGATTAACATTCATTATAAAAAAAACTAGAAAGATTATGAAATAAAAACAAAAGAAGAAAAATATCACAAATATTCTTGCAAGCCAAACATTAGCAACTACATACATTCTGAATTATTTCTTTTCAGTGTTTTTTTTCCACTGCAGATTCTTAATTTGGGTTTTGTACATATTATAGTCATTTTAACACATTTGCAGTTCTATAGTTTTCACTTTGCTTTTTGAAATTATAGTTACTTTTTTAGAATTGAAGGAACAGTACATTTCCTGTTTAAAGCAGTGGGTCAAGACTTCCGGTCAAGATGGAGGCGTAGGTAAATAAGCCTCGCCTCCTTGCACAACTACAGCAAAAATTACAACTAGACTACAAAACAAATATCCTCCAGAAACACCAGAAAATTAAGATGTATAGAAGTCAAACAACCAAGAAGTTAAAGAAACTACATTCATCCAGAGAGGCAGGAGGGGCAGAGGTGAGCAAAGAGGTGCAGAGAGGTGGAGAGCCATGGACAGGCACAAGAGACGTGGAGAGTCATGAAGACACAGAGCGGCACAGAAGGGTGCAGAGATGCAGAACAGGCGATACCACATCCACAGGTGGTGAATAAAAATTGTGAGGGACACCTCAAGCACCAGGGATCCCAGCCCCAGACCAGACCACCCAACCCAGGGTTCCAGTACCAGGAAGATAAGTCCCCATTACTTCTGGCTGTAAAAACCAGTGGGGGTTCAGGTGAAGGAAGAAATGGCAGGATTCTCAGCAGACCCCTCAAAAAGGGCAAGCAATAGATTTAGAACTGACACAGACTCACCCCTTAGGGACTGAGCACCAGGGCAATAGTTGGAAGGGCACCAGTGGAATTCAGGGAGAGACAGCTTCCTCCCAGGCAAATCTCCAGAGACCAGGCAGAGGCACTGTCCCCTCTCTGAGCCCTCTCCCACAGACAGCCACAGAGCAGTGACACAAGTTGCCCCACCCTGGCAATTACCTAAGGCTCCACCCCATACAACTTACAGGTACACTTTTCTATAATAGGCCATGCTACTAAGTCAGGGAGTCAAAGCAGCTCTACCTAATACACAGAAACAAACACAGCGAGGTTGATAAAATGAGGAGACAAAGAAATATGAACAAAATGAAAAGAACAGAACAAAACTCCAGGAAAAGACCTAAACTAAATGGAGATAAGCAGCCTAGCAGATGCAGAGTTCAAAACACTAGTTATCAGGATGCTCAAGGAACTCATTGGGTACTTCAACAGCATAGAAAAGACCCAGGCAAAAATGAAGGTTATATTCAGTGAAATAATGAATAATCTATAGGGAACCAACAGTGGAAGGGATGAAACCAAGAATCAAATCAACGACTTGGAACACAAGAAAGAAAAAAAACATTCATCAGAACAGCAAGAAGAAAAAAGAATTTTAAAAAATGAGGACAGGTTTAAGGAGCCTCTGGTACATCTTCAAACGTATCAACATTCAAATCCTAGCGATGCCAGAAGAAGAGGAGGAAGAGCAAGAAATCGAAAACTTATTTGAAAAAATAATGAAAGAAAAATTCCCTAATTTGGAGAAGGAAATAGACAAATAAGTCCAGGAAGCATGGAGAGTCCCAAAGAAGATGGACCCAAAGAGGACCACATCAAAACACATAATTAAGATGCCAAAAGTTAATTAAAGAGAGAATCTTAACAGCAGCAAGAGAAAGGCAGAGAGTTACCTACAAAGGAGTTCCCAAAATACTCTCAGCTAATTCTCAAAAGAAATTTTGCAGGCAAGGGACTAGCAAGAAGTATTCAAAGTGATGAAAGGCAAGGACCTACAAACTAGATTACTCTAGTAATGGCAGCGAAGCTACCATTTAGAATGGAAGGGCCAATAAAGCGATTTCCAGACAAGGCAGAAGTAAAGGAGTTCATCATCACCAAGCTATTATTATAGAAATTGTAAAGGGACTTATCTAAGAAAAAGAAGGTCAAAACTATGAACATGAAAATGGCAATAAATTCATATCTATCAAAACCTGAATCTAAAAAACAAACTAAGCAAACAGGAACAGAACCATAGACATGGATATGGAGAATTATCAGCTGGGGAGGGGAGGGGAGGGAAGGGGAGGGGAGGGAGAGGGGAAGGGGGAGGGGAGGGGAAGAATGGGGGAAAAGGTTTAGGGATTAAGAAGTACAAGTTGGTAGGCACAAAATAGACAGAGGGATGGATGATAAGAACAGTATAGGAACTGGAGTAGCCAAAGAACTGACATGCATGAGCCACAGACATGGACTAAGGAGGAGATTGCTGGAAGGAATAAGGGTACCATATGGAGAGGGACAAAGGGGGAAAAATTGGGACAAGTATAACAGCACAATCAATAAAATATAGTTTAAAAAATAAAAATAAAAGGCAGTAGGTTGATAATGCTTGGAAATTAACTAATATATGGCCCTCGTTTTTATTCCATTTTTAAATACTGAGGTAAGACACAGAAAATGCTAACATTTCCTGTATCTAACATCACCACTCTTTTTCTTGGTATAACAAAACAAACTCTTAATTTTCTCTTTTGAGACACTGTGACATTGAAAAATATCTTGTATCTTGAAATCCAGTATATGCTAAACAATCAGAAAAAACTGAATTAGTAGATTTCTTAATATAAGAAGTCAGATTAGTGCAACATCTTTGAGAAACAGAGTAAAGGAGAGGTAAAATTCAAAGACTGTGCAGAGGATCCTGGGAAAATGATCGACTAGAAATGACCAGGAATCTGTCTCCACATCCACAAAACAACTGCCCTTGTAGAACTGGTCTGTTATAACTATTTGGAACTCTAGTCTACTCAAGGTTCGTGGCCGACTTGGACAGTAAATTGCAGTTAATGTTGGTTAATTTTGATCAACTCTAGCTAACAGCAGAGGTAGTAATTACCCAGCCCCCTAACCCAGCCATGAGAGAGTCAGCTAAGCAAACATTCCTGGAACAATTTGCTAATAGCTTAAAAACTAGCACGGGCAAAAAGGACCTTATCCTCCAAATACCAGGGGTTTGTGCTCTTTTACTGATTGCTGCTTTTTGTCGCAGAGGTGCAGACAAAGAGGCAGGGCAGCCATTGTTGTTGCACCTATCCCTACTGTTGCAAGTCCCTCTCCCTCTGCTGAAGTAAGTTCCAGGGAATTTAAAGGGTCACCATGGAACGATCTCAACATAATAAAAGCCATATATGAAAAATTCACTGCAAACATCATACTCAATGGTGAAGACTGAAAGTTTTTCCTCTAAGAACAGGTATAAGGCAAGGATGGTTACTTTTACTGCTTCTATTCAACCTAGAGCTTCCGCTTCCCCAGTAGGGAACCTCTAGCCAAAACAATTAGGCAAAAAAAGGAAGGAAGGAAGGAAGAAAAGGAAGAAGGGAGGAAGGGAGGGAAGGAAGGGAAGGAAGGAGGGAAGACAGGAAGGAGGGAGGGAGTGAAGAAGTAAAAAGCATCCAAATTGGAAAGGAAGAAGTAAAATTATCTGTTTGCAAATTACATAATATTATAGGTAGAAAACTCTAAAAAGTCCACCCCCCCAAAAAAAAACTGTTAGAACTAGTAGATGTAATAGGATAACTATAATAGCATAATCGATAAAGTATAATAGAAGAACTAGTAAATGAGTTCAGCAAAGTAGTAGGATATAAAGTTAACACATAAAAGTTCATTGCATTCGTTTAACACACAGAATAATCTGAAAAGGAAATCATGAAAAGAATTCCATTTACATTACCATCAAAAGGAATAAAATAGTTAGGAATAACCAAAGTTGTAAAAGACTCGTACATTGAAAACCAAAAAACATTGCTGAAAGCAATTAAAGAAAATATAAATAAATAAAAACATTGTTCATGGGTTGGAAAACTTACTATTATTAACATGTCAATATTAATGAAAGTAATCTACAGATTCAGTGCAATCTCAATCAAAATCCCAATGATGTTCTTTGCAGAAATAGAAAAAAATCCATTCTAAAATTTATAAGGAATCCCAAGGGACCCCAAATAGCCAAAGTAATCCCGAAAAAAATAAAAATAAAAAACAATAAAATGGAGGCCTCACATTTCCAGATTTTATCTTAATACAAAGCAACAATAACTAAAACAGTATGGTACTGGCATGTAAAACAGACATGTAGACCAATGGTACAGAACAGAGAGCCCAGAAGTAAGTCCTCACTTACGTAGTCAAAGTATTTTTTGACAAGGGTGACAAGATCATTCAATGGGAAAAGACAGTCTTTACAAAAATGTTGCTGGAAAAATTGGATATTCAAATGCAAAGAATGAAGTTGTATCCTCACTTTATACCATATACAAAAACTAATTCCAAATGGATCAAGGACCTAAGGGTAAGACCTAAAACAATGAAAGTCTTAGAAGAAAACAGGATGACAGCTTTATGACATTAGACTCGGTAATAGTATCTTGGCTATAACACCAGAGGTATAGGAAACAACAAAAGACCAACTGGACTTCATGAAAATTTAAAATTTTTGTGCATCAAAAGACACTATTAAATAGGCAAACAGAACGGGAAAAAATATTTGCAAATCATATGTCCAACACCCATAATATATAAAGAACTCCTAAAACTCAATATTGAAAAATAATTTAGCCTCTTAGAGAGACTAAATTAGTGGAGGAATGTTTTAACAACTTTTGCTTAACCTTTCCATGATCTCTGCAATCAAAGGCAAGAAACAATTAAGTAAAACATATATAATAAGTAAATTAAGTTTCTATTTGTCTACTAATTACTATAAAATATTTATGAAATAAATAAATAGTATATATAACAGAAAATGCCTTCGAACAAACAGATTTTTAAGAACAGACACACAGATCAATGGAACAGAATAGAGAGGACAAGAAATAAATGTCTTTATGGTCAACTGATATTTGACAAGGCAAGAGCATACAATGGAATAAATAGACAGTCTCTTCAATAAATACTGTTGGGAGAACTGGACTGGTACATGCAAAAAAATGAAACCAGACCACCATCTTACACCATACACCAGAATAAACTCAAAATAGATAAAAGATTTAAATATAAGTGGTAATACCATGAAAATCCTAGAGGAAAATATAGGTGGTAAAGTTTCAGATATCTTGCATAGCAATATTTTTACAAATACATCCCCTAGGGCAAGGGGAATAAAAGAAAAAATAAACAAATGGGACTGCATCAAATTAAAAACTTTCTGCATGGCTAAAGAAACCATCATCAAAATAAAAAGGGAACCGACTGCATGAGAGACAATATTAGCCCATGATGCACTGGACAAGGGTTTAATCTCCAAAATATATAAAGAGTTTATCCGACTCAACATCAGGAAAACAAACAACCCAATTAAAAAATGGGCAAATGACATCAACAGACACTTCTCTAAAGAAGACATACAGAGGGCCCTAAGATATAGGAAAGGATGCTCAACATCACTGGTCATCAGAGAGATGCAAATTAAAACCACAGTGAGATACCACTTCATACCTGCCAAAATGGCTATCGTTAATATAACAACAAACAATAAGTGCTGACAAAGATGTGGAGAAGAGAGAATTCCAGTACACTGTTAGTGCGAATGCAGAATAATACAGCCACTGTGGAAAACAGTATGGAATTTCCTCAAAAAACGAAAAATGGCACTGCCTTTTCAACCAGTGATTCTACTCCTGGGAATATATCCTAAGAATTCCGAAACACCAATTCAAAAGAACTTATGCACCCTTATGACCACAGCAGCATTATTTAAAATAGCCAAGATTTGGAAACAGCCTAAGTGCCCATCAGTAGATGAGTATATAAAAAAACTGTGGTACATCTACACAATAGAATACCATGCGGCAAAAAGAAAGAATTCCCATCATTAATGACAGCATCAATGGAACTGGAAACTATTATGCTAAGTGAAATAAGCCAGGCAGTGAAAGACAAACACCATATGATCTCACTAATAAGAGAAATCTAATGAACAAAATAAAACTGATGAGCAAAACAGAACCAGACACATGAAAACATGGAATAGACTGACAGCGGCCCTAGGGGCAGGAGGAAGGGGATAATGGTGGAAAAAGAAGGGGAAGGGATCAAAGAACATGTATGAATGACCCATGGACATGGACAAGATGTGGGAACCGACTGTGGGAGTCGGGGGTGGGCTGGACAGAGGACAAAGGGAAAAATTGGGACAACTGTAGCAAAACAAAAAAAAAAACTGTGGTACATTTACACAATGACTACACAGCAGAAAGAAAGAAGGAACTCCTACCTTTTGTGACAGCATGTATGGAACTGGAAACTATTATGCTAAGTGAAACAAGCCAGTCAATGAAAGATAAATACCATATTATCTCACTTATAAGAGGAATCTAACAAACAAAATAAACTAATGAGCAAAACAGATCCAGAGACATACAACCATGGAACAGACTGACAGCTCTAAGAGGGGAGGGGGGAAGTAGTGACTGATTGAAAGGTGAAGAGAGTAGTCAAAGAACATATACGAAGGACCCATGGTCATAGACAACGGTATGGTAATTGACTATGTAAGTGGGGGCGCAGGCTGGGTGGAGGGGGCAAAGGGGAAAAATTGGGATAACTACAATAGCATATACAATAAAATATTTGAAAATAAAAATAAAAAACCAGATTTTTGAGAGATATGTGATGGCCCAACACAACAGTTCTGATATGCATATTATCTTGGAGTTTGTGAAAAATCAAAATGCCCAAGCGCTTTTGTATCAGAAATTCTGCAGGGATCAAGCTCTGTATTTCTATTAAGTTTCCCAGTTGCTACTTAGGCATATCAAAATTTAAGTACCACAGACCTAATTATTTATAAATCTGGAAGATATAAGCTGTAGAATAATTATATTTTCTTGGTACAGTTGTAAAATATTAGAACGATGCACTTCAAAAATGCAATTCACAGTACTAAAAATGAATATATGTCTATATGTGAGGACCACAAAGAAAATAGTGCAATAAACTCTTGGTTAGGAAAACTTCTGTTGCTGTCTCTACTCTAAAGCCATTTTTAAAAAATCTTGGCTGAATTTCTCTATAACTAGGTATAGTAACTAAAAGGCTTTCCAATATAATAACAAAAAGCAAGCCTATTGCAAAAGGTGCTCTCATTCTTTAACATTCTGTATGGAAAAAACACCAATAATAATCAATAAATGCACTACCATTTTAGCAATATTTACTTAAAATAAATAACTAGTTTATTTGTACCAGATACCTGCAAAGAATAATGAAGAATTTGACAAGCAAAATTGATAAGGCTTGCTGTTGTTCCTCTAACCCATCTGCCATTTTCTGAACACAGTGTAATAGCTGGATCCTCAGAACCTGCAGAATATTGTCAGGAAGGAGAGATATTCCTGGAGGCACGTCATCTACCCTACAATATAAGGGGAACAAAATAAGAGTTTAAATACAGGAAGAAAATATTTCACACATTAGAGGAATTGCATATTCAGCTCAAATCCTAAAGAAGCTCTTTTATTTCAGATATTCTGTGCCTTCTCTGCAAGACACCACCAAATGACAAGTGACACTTTAGAAGATTTTTAGAGAGAAGAGGCTAGTCTTACTTCAGCAGAGGCTTACTGAAAAGAGAAAAAGACAGAGAGGCTTTTTATATTTTAAATTTTGCTATTTTTAGAGAAAATGTTTAGAACATAAATTAGTTCATTTTCTATTTAGAAATGTAATATATCTATGCATGTGCACGTACCATTTCTAAAAAAATAACTAGCAAGTAGAAATAGGTATTGTTTAGTACCTATACTAAACAGTATTCACCTACCTATAGGTTACCAAGCCATGTGATCAGAAGAGGGAGAGAAGAGGGTCAGCAAAAGGAAAACAAAATGATAAAGAGGTGAATGTGAAACCTCAGTACGAGCATCAATATATTTTTTAAGTAATATTTCACTATTTTTGACAACTGGTTTCTGTGCAAGAAGACGATATTGTTAGCCCTGGCCAGGTAACTCAGCCGATTAGAGATCTGTCTTGATACAAAAGGCTGTGGGTTCCACCCCTGGGCAGGGACCAACCAATGAATAAATGAATGGGTGGAACAGCAAATCAAGGTTTCTCTCTTTCTCCCTTCCTATCTCCCTAAAAAATAAATTAATTTAAAAAAATTTTTTTAAAGACTATATTGTTCTTCAAGGGCAAAAGCCAACACGAGATGTGGCTGGCTCCTCTGTGTGTCTCTTAAAATTAAAAGTCCCTAGATTCTAAGTCATAAGACCCACATACTAAATTCCACCTCTGTAACATGAAGCACTTCATTTAATCTCTAAAGTTCCCTAGTCAATAAAACTATAGTGCCAATCTGCCTTATTTCTGGCTCTGAAACCAGAAAATCAATGTGCATTTTCAGCTTTGAAATATGTAAAAAACTCCAAAAAATGTAATTTATTTTCCATATTTTGTACCATCACTAAAGCCTTTTCACAAGTCACTTTTTTCTCTTTCTCTATTCAGAAAAATGCCCAAATCTCAAAGAAGCACCCTAAAAAAACTCCTACTGTTAAATAACAATTATACCTTATCTGCCGATAATGCTTAGTATAAAGTATTACTATTCTTACACTGAATGAAAGGCTACTCTGTTCACTGTGGACAGAAAAATTTAAAGCACATTACTAGTAGTCACATAAAAATATATGGTGCTTATTATTAGCCTCTTTCTGAATCACACTGCAATGTACAGTGTTTTATAAAATAAACACCTTACTTTAACTAAATTACACAGAAAATAAATCACAGGGTACATTACCAAGACTGTCAAATTCTATAACCATGTTACGAAAATACATGTTTCATTTTAGTGAAGTTAGGAGTAAACTATATCTCTGGTATTGAAGAGGTAAACATGTTCAGAAACCAAGGAACAGCGATCCACTTTAACAAGCCTAAAGTTCAGGCATCTCAGGGCAGCGAACACTTTCACCACAGGCCACCCTGCGACAAAGCCGCTGACAGCACTGCTACCCAGCATCTGAAATCAGCGTGGTGCAGACAGTCTGACTAGTTTAAGGAAGACTCACTGAGGCTCTGCCCAAACAATCTGTGGATGGAAAAGCATCACTTGCTACAGGAGAGGATGGTGATGATGAAATTCCAGATCTTGTGGAGAATTCTGATGAGGCTTCCAAGAATGAAGCAAACTGAACTGAGTTAACTTCTGAAGATGAACTTGAAGAAGTTACTGGAAGCTGCTGTTTTAAATTATGACTGCTTTCACAAATTTTGTTTATGGATCTGATAAAATCTAGATCTCTAATATTTTTAAGCCCTACCCCCTTGGACACTGCAGCACTTTCCAATTTTTGCTTCTATACAAATCATTTTTTGCAGCTAATTAAGCTAAAGAAGCCTGGGAATAAAGTTTGAAAACAAACTTTATTATTATTATTAAAAAATAATAATAATAAGTCTGGGCATAGCTTTACTTATAGCTGTGGAATCTTTCTTTCTCTCTTATTTATAGATGGTACTAGAAAAGTCTCATTTTTATATATACTTTTTTCTTGTCTAAAAGCTAAAATAGAGGTAATCAGAATAACCAGAGCAACTTCAAAATAAAAAACAAAGATTTAAACATAACTTATTTTCAAGATTAAGCTGAACTATTCCTCCTTACTTTTCCAAAAACATAAACAAGAAAGACAACATCATGTTCTTAATATCCAATCCTAGTTACTTAAGGGATTGGTCCCTTTTATCTTTAGGTATCCCATTCTCTACCTGTACATGCTTTTTACCTTACTAGACAGAAAAAGAAACAGCTTCTAAAAGAGAAACCTATACTTAATTTTTTCCCCCTAATCTCATTATAAAACTGGGGCTTGGTTAGAACATGATGTACAGACAAAGTTAAAATTTCTAGCCGTGTTCCTAATATGATGACGATTTAAGAATGTAGAAACATTTTACTCTAGGACTTTATTGCCCAAAATTCTATGTTCCCAAATCTGTTCCAGAAATCTGTTTCACTCCTCTGTTTGGCTACCGAATGTCTGTACTAAAGAGCTGATAATGTTGTCTCAATCTATCACAGAAAGAAGTCCAGCTTACATTTCAAGGCTTTAAATTCTAGTAAAAACAATCCTTGCCTTGTGTTATGAATTCTCTAACTTGTAAATTCTATAAAGTCAGTTTACTTTAAATGATCACATGAGCTTTCCTTATTTTTAGGGTTGACTAAATTAATTTCACACATCTTGGACATAACATTCACTTGAAAAATTTAAAGCTTACTAGTAGTAAAATCTAAATTTATCATTTTTATCAGTTTTCTGACAAAGATACGAAATACAATTTTAAATAAGCCAACAAAATCACAAAGCAATGATCCTGGCATGCTTTCACTTACTTTTAATACAGTAGTGGTGATATATGTTTACATAATGTTTTTAGAAATTATGCCCCCCCAAAAGAGACATTAATAATGTCAAGATGATAACAAGTGCTGCTTAGTAAACCCCAACCATTCGAAGGCCCAAATCTTAGCTCCATAAAAATCTCTTAGGCTCATGATTTGCAATGTTGCAATGTTTGTAAGTTATTTAAGAAGCACTCCTAATCACAAACTACAATCACTTGATGAGTAGAAAAGCAGTAACATATCATCTTATTCTGAGTTAAAGACTTAATACTGTATAAACCTGTTACAAATACTCAATCTAATAAAGAACAACTCTGAAACCGTACTTACAAATAATGAAGCACTACTGCTTTTGGAGCATAACCACATCCTCTCTTTAGTTCAATGCACTGGTTTAAAACTCTACTAAGTTCTTTCTCTAAATTATTACAATCATGTCTTAACTAGGCTTCTTGCCTTCAGTCTCAACCTTTTTCAATCCAACCTCCAAATGTCACCAAAGCAACTTTAAAAACAACTTGATTATGACACTCTTGGGCAGAAAAGTCTTTACTAGAGACTTCTATAACAAAAAAATTGAAGCCCATTAACAGCGCACACCTGGCAATTCACAATCTGGCCTCCCACTTGATTCTCAAGATTCAACTCATCTGTGCCTACCCTCTTACTGCCTACCTCCATCCCCAAACTGCAGATGCTTTCCTCCTCGAAGATTTCTAATTCTCCAGATATTCTTTCTCATCATCAAATACGACCCATTTCTCCTCTCCCCCTCAACACATCTCTCTAAATTGGGTTTCTTTTGTAGCTAAAGTGTCTACTCATTTCTCCAGCTTTTTAACCCAGACAACCTAAACTCTGTTACCTGACTTACAAGTAGCAGCCCTTCAAGATGGCCTGAGATAGAACTTTACCTGAGAAGTGCGTCTGGGAATTGTGAGAGTTGGGAAATGGTGGTAGAAAGAAGAATGGGAGAAAAAATTCGTATTTGCACTTTGCCATAAGATTTGAATTTCCGTCCATTTATTGATGTTCAAATGTAGCTTTTAAAAATATAAATACTTCACCTCCTCTCAGAAGTTCTTCTAAGGCCCTACTTTACGGCCAGGAATAAATGTAAGTTTCAACTCAAATGCCTGTGGTATAATAAAGAAACTGTATGCAAATGAAGTGGCTCACAGTGGACCCTCAGACAGTTCTGAGAGGAGCTAGCAGAATCGCAAAGACCCCTCTTCCCCCCTACTTTCTGGGAGAGAGAACCTGGTGACTGAGTTCAACCATATGGTCAATGAGGTAATAAGACCCAATAAAACTCTGGATACCCAAAGCTCAAAGAGTTTCCTTAGTCGAACACACTGATGTTCAGGGAGGGCAACATGCCCTGACTCCATAGGGATAGAGTACGGAAGCCCGGCATGAAAACCTTTCCAGGCGCTGTCCTACATGAATCCTTTATGGTAAAACCATAACCACAAGCACAGTGCTTTCAGTTCTATGAATTGTTCTAGTAAATTGATGAACCTGAGGAAGTCGTGAGAACTCCCAAATTCATGGCTAGTTGGTGAGAAGTGTGCAAAGCTCCTAAGACTTGCAAACAGTGTTTGAAGTAAAGGTTGTCTAATGCAGTACTTTGCCCTTAAGTTGCAGTTTCTGGCACTAACTCCACGTAGTGTCAGAACTGAACTGCAGGACACCCAGCTGCCAGGGGCTGACCAAAATGGAAAAGGGACTTCCAGAAGCCAAGTCTAGTATCAGCAAAAAAAGACTGCTGTGTTCAATTAGCAATATCTACCATGACAGCAGGGTTATATAATATAGAGTATCATTGTGTGCCACATAATTGCTATCCTTTATATGTCACCAATGAAGTCTTTGTGCCAAAAATTAACAAACTCACCCAACAGTAAGATTATTAAGTGTTTCTACATACCTGGTAGGCAGCTTTTCAAAGTCAACATCTAAGAATTGTTCATAGCTGGAAACAAAATTTTCTAACCATAGCTTCAGGTAATCTGGATCTTTCTGAAATAAAAACATTTGCATATTAAGCCTATCTGTAGGGGGGGTAAGTTTTTACTCCTAGTAAGCAACTGTAAGTGAATAAATCTATAGAAGAAATAAAGCCCTGGTCAGTGTGGCTCAGAGGACTGAGTGCCAGCCTGGGAATCGAAGGGGTGCCGATTCGATTCCCAGTCAGAGCACACTTCTGGGTTGTGGGCCAAGTCCCCAGTAGAGGATGTGTGAGAGGCAACGGATCAATGTATCTCTCACACATCAATCTCTCCCTTTCTCACTCTATTCTCTAAATAAATAAATAAATAAATAAATAAATAAATAAATAGAATGTTTTTAAAAAGAAGAAATAAAATGAAATTTCTAAGTGATACTCAGGAAGACATATGTTCTAAGTACAGTCAAACCTCCGTTCTGAAACAATTTGGTTCTTGACCAGGTTGTTCATTAAAAAAAAAAAAAGGCTCAGTTGTCCTGACTGGTGTGGCTCAGTTGGTTGGGTGTCATCCGAGTTCAGGCACATCCCTGGGTTGCTGTTGAGTCCTGGTTGGGGTGCGCACAAGAGGCAACTGATGGATGTTTCTCTCCCTCTGTTTCTCCCTCCCTTCCCCTCTCTCTAAAATAATTTTTTTTAAAATGTCTCAGTTGTCTAACTTCAGGTCTCAATTCTCTACCTCACAACCCTCTCACGCTTATACCTGTATGATCAGTCATGCATCTTTCATGTGACAAACAAAGGAGATTGTGTTTTTGAACAAATTGTTTGCCAACAATTTTCTGGAACAAATGAAGGTTGAGAATGAAGGTTCCACTGTACAGCAAACCCTGAAATGGCTTTTCGTGTCACACACAGAGTCACAGTCTTAATATCCCACAAGACTGTTAAAAATGTGCCCTCCCCTCTCTAACCTCATCCATCGTTACCCTACACTGCACTGGCCTGCTGGCTGTCACAGGGACATGCCAGCCATGCCCCAACCTCAACGCCTTTGTAACGGCTGTTTTCTCTCCCCAGAACACTCCTCCCTCAGGTGGCTGAATGGCTAACTCCCTCATTCTCTTCAAGTCACTCTTTAAATAACATTTTCAATGAAACATAATTTTACCACCCTTTCTTAAAACTGCAAATGATTTAAAAAAATTTTTTTAAAGATTTTACTTATTTATTTCTAGAGAGTAGAAGGGAGGGAAAAGAGAGGGAGAGAAACATCAATGCACAATTGCCTCTCACACACCCCCAACTGGGGACCTGGCCTACAACCCAGGCATACGCCCTAGACTGGGAATCGAACCGGCGACCCTTTAGTTTACAGGCCAGTACTCAATGCACTGAGCCACACCAGCCAGGGCAAATTGCAAACCTTCTTACTCACCTTTACCTTTCCCCTTTCTGTTGCCCCACTTCATGTTTCTTTCTCACCTTCTAACATACTCTGTAATTTACTTATTAATTTGTCTGTCACTTCCCATAAAGTGTAGGTTTCACAGTGCAGGGACTGTATCTAGGGCTCACCGTGACTGACCTCTTTTTGTTTACTAACAGATACCAAGTACCTAAAACAGTGCCTAGCATGACCAGGTACTCAATGAATACTTGTTAAATGAATTAATGAGAAATATAAAATGCATAAGTAAAACCAAATTGAAAATGTATCATTAATCTAAACATAAAAATGAAAACTAAAATCATCTAAAAGACAATACTTTTGTAACCTTGGGGTAGACAAAAAACTTTTTATCTGGGACACAAAATCACAAACCATAAAAAAGAAGAAAAAATTTTAATGGTTTTACTCAAAATTAAAAAACTTCCACTCATCAAAAGACATCATTAGGAAAACTGAAAGGCTGCCCTGGCTGGTGTAGCTCAGTGGATTGAACGCGGGCCTGCAAACCAAAGGGTCACCATTTCAATCCCCCCCAGTCAGGGCACATACCTGGGTTGCAGGCCAGGTTCCCAGCTGGGGGCATGCAAGAAGCAACCAACCACACATTGATGTTTCTCTCCCTCTCTTCCTCCCTCCCTTCCCCCCTCTCTAAAAATAAATAAATGTTGAGGGGAAAAAAAAAAGAAAATTAAAAGGCCATATATCAGCTGAAAATATTCTCAGAACATGTATCTGACAGAACTTGCATCAAGAACTTACAAACTAATAATTCAATTTAAAAATGGGCAAAAGACTTAAAACACTTTACAACAGGGGATATACAAACAGCTAAATAGTTCACAAAAGCATGCTCAACACCATTAGTTATTCAGGGAAATGTAAATTGAAATCAAAAAAGCATGATTTATTAACCACTAGAATGGCTAAAATTAGAGAATCTAATCATATCAAGTATACATAAAGATGCAGAGCTACTGGAACTCACATTTCTGGTGGGAGTATAAAATAGTATAATCCCTTGGAAAATAATTTGGCATTTACATTTACTACATAGCCTATCCTTTTTCTCCTGTGAGGAGTGAAAACATATCAACAAAACATTTGTACAAAAATGTTCATGGAATGTTAGACTTGAAACCATAAAAGCCCTAGAAGAAAACAGAGGCATTAAAATCTCAGACATTTCTCATAACAACATTTTTTCTGCTATATGCCCCTGGGCAAGGGAAACAAAAGAAAAAATAAATAAATGGGACTACATCAAACTAAAAAGTTTTTGCACGGCAAAGACGACCATCAACAAAATAAAAAGACTACCCACTGAATGGGATAACATGTTCACTGATACATCTGATAAGCAGGTAATATCCAAAATTTATAAAAACACCGAAAAAAGAATCCAGTTAAAAATGGGCAAAGGACCCAAAAAGACACTGCTCTAAAGAGGACAAAGAGATGGCCAATAGACATATGAAAAGATGTCCTTAATCATTAGAGAAATGCAAATTAAAACCACAATGAGAATCACCTCACACCTGTCAGAATGACTATCATCAATAATCAACAAACAGCAAGTCCTGAGGAGGATGTGAAAGGGAATGGGAGTTCCGGTGATGGGAATGCAGACTGGTGCAACTACTGTGGAAAGCAGTATGCAGCTATCTCAAAAAATTAAAAATGGAATTGCTAAAACATAATGATTCCACGTCTGGAAATATATCCAAAGAATCACAAAATTCTTATTTGAAAGGATATATGCACCCCTATGTTCACTGCAGCATTATTTACAATAGCCAAGATTTGGAAGCAGCCCAAGTGTCCATCAGTAGATGAGAGGATTAAAAAGCTGTGATACATTTACACAATGGAATACTATTTGACAGTACAAAAAAGGAGGAAATCTTACCCCTTGCGACAGCATGAATGGGCCTCATGCTAAGTGAAATTAGCCAGTCAGAGAAAGACAAGTACCATATGATTTCACTCATATGTGGAATATAATGAAAAAAATAAAATAAACTAACAAAACATAAACAGACTCAAGAAGAAAAGACTGACAGCTGTCAGAGGCAAGGAGGGTTATGGGACAGGAGAACAAGTGAAGGGATAAAGAAATAAAAAAATGAAGCCACAGACAACAGTATGATGATTACCAGAGACAAATGGGGGTTGGAGGAGGTAGAAGAGGGTACATGGGGGATAAGTGGTGACGGAAGGAGATTTGGAGTGTTGAACACAAAATACAGTATACAGATGTTTTCTTATACAACTATACACCTGAAATCTATATAATTTTATTAACCAGAACTACCCCAATAAAGTCAGTAAGAAAAAAATAAAATATTCATAGTGTTCTAAAAAATGTTCATAGAATTATTTTTAATAGCCCAAAGCTATAAACAAACCAAAATCCATCAACAGGTTAAATGATAAAAATTGTGCTATATTCGGCCCTGGCTGGTGTAGCTCAGTGGCTTGAGCACGGGCCTGCAAACCAGACAATCGCGGTTCGATTCCCAGTCAGGGCACATGCCTGGGTTGCAGACCAGTTCCCTGCAGGCCAATTCCCAGCAGGGGACGCATGAAAGGCAACCATACATTGATGTTTCTCTCCCTCTCTCCTTCCCTTCCCCTCTAAGATAAATAAATAAAACCTTAAAAAAAATTGTGCTATATTCGCACAGTAGAATGATATTCCCTAATAATGAATGAACTATTGATAAAACAAAAAGAAATTTTAAAACCATGTTCAGCAAAAGATGGCAGGAATTCAAGTATATACACTGTATAATTTCATTTACACAAAGTTTTAGCTTGGCTGGTGTGGGTTGAGTGCTGGCCTGTGAACCAAAGGTTGCTGGTTCGATTCCCAGTCAGGGCACATGCCTGGGTTGCAGGGCAGCATCCCTAGTGGGGGCCACGTGAGAGGCAGCCACACACTGATGTTTCTCTCCCTCTCTTTCTCCCCTCTTCCCCTCTCTCTAAAAATATAAAGAAATAAATCGTTTAAAAAATTTCAAGAGCAGGGTTATAGAAATTAGACCACTGGCTGTCTTTCAGAACACTAAAGAGGCACAAAAAGGGTACTTTCCTCGGTGCCAGAAATTTTCTATTTTTTTTATTAGGGTAGTAGCTATATTAATGTGTGCTTATATCAAGATTCATCAAATTTGACATTTATAATCTGGTATTTGTGGTAAGTTATATCTCAAAGCTGATTTGAAAAATAATTCATCAGAAAAATGTCTATTTAAATATAACATTATTAAATATTATGTTCAAATTTATTTCCTTCCCCTCCTAAACATTTCTTTATTCAATTTCAAAATGATAGTCAGAAGCTATTAGTTACTTAGTCATTAGTTATTTCCCTAAAATAAAAGCATTACGCTACAAATCTGAATTCCTAAAAGAATGTTCTCAGAATATGCAGACTGCTGACCTTTTGTGTATTTGTTTTTCTATTAATATTCTGTTCCAAAATCAGATCATAAATTGCCACTATCTACATCATCACTGAGAAATAAGATGGAAATGTTTCAGAAAAAAAACTCATGAGAAATTTTCTCAAGGATTTCATTACTTGTTTTTCATTTCCAAGTAGCATGTCCTTCATTTATT